AGCAAGAAAGCAAAAGTCAAGATGGTTAATTGATGCTCGTAAAGATAAATATGTAAAATAATTTTACACGTGTCGTGACATGCGATTTTGTAAACGCAAATATCATCGCAAATAACATTAAAACACTGGATGTGCACCGTCACTGTGATTGCTAATTCGATGCAACATTCAGATATGCGTCATGCCAAATACAATGATACGTAACGTGTTTTCTGCAACAAAATGTTTATTTTTCGCGAAATGCCTTGAGAGTATTTATCGCGAATTTATATAATAATTGAAGAAACACACTAATGGATTATAAAGTATCTCATCGAATTTTAATGATAATCCATACACACAATCTGTTTGAAATGCAATTCGCATTCATGAATATGGTTGGTTATATTTTTTCGACTAACGCATGCAAGCGATAATAACGCATAGGAAGCGGTATAATTTATGTTATTTGTTAAAAATTTATAAGCATTACACATACTAGGTTCTCTCATTATGCGTAATGCGCTCGCAATTTAAATTAATAGAAATAGAGCTCTGTCGTACTCGTGTTTTGCGAACACGGTGAATGATAATAAAGTCGCGCGTCAAGCGTATATATGACGCAAGTAAAAATTATAATATATATTAAGTCAAGCGTATATGACGCAAGTAAAAATTATAATATATTAAATTCGTAATTATTTTACACGAATGTAAGATTTCATTGAAATGTATCATTACACTCGAGATGCACTATTGCAAAAAACTATCTGTCAGGGATAACAACACGAATCGAATTTCAAAATGACGCTCTCGGGACCAATGCGTGCACCCTTTGCATGGCCAACTGATTTTTATCGCCGTGTATCGCGCCGATTTCTTATAGACAGGGTTGGCACTCTCGAAAATCTAACGACCCGTGCGCATAAAACGAGGTCCGTTGCCGGGATCCCTGCGAATTAGGGTGCACAGAGCCGAGGAAAATGTATGTGCATGTGCGGCGGTAGATATGTCAGGTCACGCGGTGACGAATACGATCGTATTAAGGGAAAAGGTCCGCCTTTATCGCCGCATTACATGCTCGCATTTATTCCTGTAGCCACGGCCACGAATTCGGTTCGTCGATACGACGTTCGGTTCGGAAAATATCCGAACAGCTTGTATTTCTTTCCTTCGAGTTTACACTAAAGGAAGACGGAGGAAATTATAGCGGCAAATGCCCTGCGACTGGAATAATCCTCCATCCGTTGAGATATAAATTTAAAATTCTCGAGAAAAATGAAAAATAAAATATTTATACATATATAATATTTAATATTTAGTTAGAAAGATATTTAGTTAGAAGAGCGTAAAATAAAAAGAATATTTATATACAGGGTATCACTTAATTGGCGCCCACTATTTATATAGCGATATTTCTCGTGGAAAACTGAGTTGAAAAGTCCTGAATCATTTTTTTCTATAATGAAAAAAATTTGAAACCATTTTCTTTCTTCTATAATGCGAAAAACTTTATTTTGCATTAAGAATCATATTTCTTCCGTTAAAAGCGTTTTCTTAAAGAAAATTTCGTCAAGGAGGTTGGTGGTTGGCTAAAGGTCGGTGCTTTTGGGCGCAACTTTACTCAATAATTACCGCTTTATTAAGCATTATAGAAAAAAATGGTTCAGGACTTTTCGCTATATAAATAGTGGGCGCCAATTAAATGACACCCTGTACATTTAAAAATGTTTAAGGATGTTTGAAATTTTCTCACGAAAAATTTCGGGAATAATTTCAGATGTTATATTCAAAATCCTCGATTAAGAAAGAAATCAGCAATAAATATCGATTCAACGACGATTTAATCGCAAAGATGGAAAAGAGGGAGACAAAAAAAGGAAATCGCGATTCCGTCGGAGCTATTTCTTTCAGCAATTCGACACAAAACACTTGGCATTGTGCGCTCCTGCAGCTAAAAGCATTCCACGAGGGCGAAATGCGCGCAAAGGAAAGCGCCAGTGTATGTAGGTTAAAATCTGTTGATGTACGGCTCACACGTGGGATCACCTTTTCCTTCCACGTAATGTCCTTTCTCTTTCTTCTTCTCGCGCACATTTCTTCCTCTTTTTTTTTTTTCCTACGTCGACTTCTCGTGCCTCCGAAGCGACGAGAAGCAAACGGTGGGGTTAATGCGCGCACACGCCACGGGGGGTCGACCAATTTCCGGGTTCAACTAATGCACTTATCAGACGGCCAGAAAGGATCCCGGGAGAGAGCCCGTGGGGAGGAAAAATAATTGAGACGTCCCTCTCTCATCACGGTTGGAGAAAGTAGCGCGGTTGCAAGGAAGAGGCGCGCGTCGCGGCAAAGCAAAACGAATTTTTAACCTTTTATAATCAGAAGCGCACGCATCTCTCCTAATTCGACGATGAGGAACGCCCAACGGGGATTGCTGACACATCAACCGAGTCGCGAATTCTCGTCTTGGTAATTGGAAAGTATCCAGTAGAGATGACATCGCCGGTGGCGCTCCTTCTCGTCTCCTTGCGTCTTAGCCAGAATTGCGTAATCTTTCGTTAATGCGTTTATGAATTTCTCTTTTAACTTACATCCCGCTAATTCGCGACGTTTCGCGCGAAAGATGAAACAAAGCGCTCGCGAAATTCGCGGAAGGATTGAACTGTCCGCTGCTAAATTAGATCAGTCATAACGACGGGACATTTGACTGACTGACGCATCTGTCATCGCGGCGATGCCTCAGAGACATTACGGCCGTTTAATTGGTTTTTAGTAAAGAGCTCAAAGAGAAAGAGGGGCGACGCAAAGAAATTAGGAGGAGAATGCAGCTGTCGGACGAATGCGTTACGATGCGTGCATTTCTTTGAAATGCCGTCGTAATTAGATTCCTTCGGTGGGTCCGGAAAGAGCAATTACAAAAGGCGTCGTCGATGTCGCGTTACGCGCGTTGCAATCTGAATCCGTAAGTCTCGCTTTGATCGAGTTCCGACGAGAAATCGGACGAGGAGGCAGGAGGATACGAGAACACGAGAGACGCTGTGTGTCTTTTGCGTCCCGCGACTCTTTGGGACACGTTTACGCGCAAAGATGTTCAATGCGAAGCTTATGACTGTGAGATATTTTTATGACACGGCGATGCTTTGTATTTTGCTAAGTACCGACCGTGCTTTACACGATCAGCGATGAAATACAATTTCGAAAATACGATCTTTACAATCCGCTAAGAATTGTGTAACAAATTTATTTCGTCAATTTTTCCTTAAATTTATTTCGTCAATTTTTCCTTTCGACGCCCGAAATATCAGGACGCATTAAGTTATGAAGAGATTATGAGAGATTTCTCGAAATAACTTTTTAGGTAACATTGGCTAACTGTAATTTTCTTTTGCCACGCTCATCGCCAAACCTTTTCGCGTGTAATCACGATGGTACCCGCCTGGGAAGCACCAAAGATGCAATATGATACCGCAAATTTCGCGCGCGTGCATCCGTCAACGATGTTGAACACAGATGTGACGCAGCGAGAGGACGTCACCGACGTCGCGACGGCGGTCGCCGAAAATTTCTCGGATTACATAAACCCAAATAATCCCGTGAGTCATTCTAATTCTGGCCGGCGGGATTGCACTGCTGTCCACGCGCTCGTCTCTCTTTCTCTCTCGATCTATCTCCTGCTCTTAACCTCCTCTCCTCGTTTATTCAGCCTTCGTCCCGTCGTCCCTCCGCGTCTGTCTGACACACAAATAGCCGCGACGCGTGTGTCGTTTCTCGCGCACACATGGCCCACTTTTCCACGTGGATCTCGAAATTAGAGAGAGCACCCGACCGACACCGTTTGCCCTTTCATTTTCGTCGCGACCAATGCGCATTTAAACGCGCTGATTTTCCGATGTCTCCTCGAAATGACGATGCCTGATTAAAGGTTGCCGTTGGATAACGACGGAATATATGGGAACTTTTATTTCAGGTCGACGAAACGCACGTGGGATATTCCAATCTTGCGTGCGCTTCACGCTCGAGAGAGTTTATTATTGGGGGGGGGGATCGCGAATACATATTTCTGATTATGAAAGAGAGAGACATGAATATAAAACGTTTCCGATTCATGTGGCGTTCGACCTTTTGAAACGGGTAAAACGCCGAATCAATTACTCAATTACGTAAGATTATCGCTCGTTGCGCAACGTGACACGAAGACTACAACAATATTGTCCGGGAGTCGTGTATTTTTAACCGCGAGTCGAGCTTCCCACTTCCGGCGGGAAACGATCATTGACAAAAGGGAATTTTCGGGTGCGAGAGGCTCTCTTCGACCGGAAAATAAATAAAGTAGCCGCGCACGCTATATCGCGTGTGGTTGCGAAAGTGCAACTGGATGACTGGGCGACGTTGAATGCATCCCGCACTTTTAGCGATAATGCGACACATTTTGCCCGACGTACGATTCGCTTCGGTTACAGCCGGAATCGTGGGATTCACTGGCCGTCCCAGATCTCCTATTCACGGTCCATTTTCACGAGACAACGATCGACCACGTGTCACGGCCTCGTGCGCGAGGTCGCGGATAATGGAAACCGTTACGCTTTAGCTGCATCTTCGACCCCACCAGAGCCGTCAGCCATGTACAGTGAAAAAAAAAAACCCCCCGATAGAGAAACAGTCGGACTGAAGATTTGTTTCATTAATGTTAACCTTAATCAGAAACAAAAACAGAAGCTTGAGTTGAAATAAAATATTCTAAGGTATAAATAAATTTTCTTAATTATGTCGAAATGTAAAATTAGCAAATTTGTTGCGAAATTGTAATTTGAATTAAAGATTAATTGATGTCTGTATAATAAATATCCGTAATGTTTAAATACGGAATTAGAAAAAAAATCTACAAATAAAAAAATATATATATATTTTAGCGCAAATCTAATTATATCAAAGTCTACTTTCCAAACAATGGAAACCGAGCGTAAATACATCCCTGGCGAGTTTTATCAGATTCACACATCGGTATAAAAGTACCAGTCCGATGCGATTCGGAAGGAAGTTGCCAAACGGCCTCGTGCAACGATGACGAGAGTGGCGTTAGTTGCGATTATAATACTGTTCTCTGTTTCTAGTGTGAATTTTGTCGATTCCCTGCAGGACAACTTTGGAAGATTTCTGGGGACCTTTACCACGTTTAAACAGTATATCCCGATTCTTCCTATTGTTCTCTCCTTACGCGAAAAAAAAAAAAAAAAGAAAAATAATATTTTTGTTGCGCGAGCAACAAAGTTCTGTGCATTGTGTAACGATGTGACTTCCTTTCCAGGGTGAAAATACCCGAATTGCTAAATCAGTTGTGCAATCAGTCGCAAGGTCCTAACGCGAATTTGCGACGCGACGCTTGTTACGGTTGCTTCTATCGCGCGAGCATTTTACCTCAGGGCTTTTCGATGCTGGCAGCCATGTCCACGTGCGCCGACGATTACCTCAACAACACCAGTTACGGCCATTGTCAGGCTTATTTGAAGGTATGCGATTGAAAGTCCGTTTAGTTCATCCTCTATATATTTCATAATTTTTTACTTACAAATTTCACGTTTCTATTCCGCTTAGAACCAGACCAGTATGCCTACCGCGCGAAATCCTACGTTAATATATTGCTCGTTCCTAGAATGCATTCGTCAAGTCAATAAGGATAGTTTGGTAAGGTTAAAGTTTGCGCCAATAGCTGTTAGATGTTACTCAGAACACATTATTGCTTCTATTTTGCTTTTAACTGCTCTTAATAGTAACGCGTCCTCATTTAATACTATCGCCTTATATAACTCTCTGCATTGTTCGTTACAATCATGTTTGTAAGTATTTCTATTTCTTATCATCGATAATCACAAATTAATATTTTGTAAATATTTTTAAATTTTGCAAAAAAACACGCTACTAATCAATTATTATTTTCAATGCATGAATATTTTGGAATTAATTGTAAATAGTATAAATAGATAATGCTATTGCAAATTAATTATTCAGGGTATAGACCTCAGGGGGCCTAGACCAACGTTTCGAGGAGTAACACGAATCGAGCGACAAAGTCCTTTTATATTCTTGAAAATTATAGCACAGAGAGCACGGAATAACGTCTGCATAATTAGAGAGACTAACGTAACTACTGTTCGTTCCGCAACAGGATCTATAGATCCGCGAGCAGGTCCTCGAGCAATCTCCACATTCTTGAGGCCACGATTTTCTACCTCGTTGGGAACGCGACTGACGACGTCTTCGCGTGAGATTACACGGATATCTCGCGCGTAATTTTCAAGCTCTGTAATCATTCTGTATTATACAATATTGTACAGTTTCTTCTATCACGATGCACGATGACTTCATTGGGTCTCTACCGCACCGTAAAAACTAACTCTTGAGAATCGCGGGGGAAATTCAAAATTCAAAAGCTTCCGCGAGCTGACGAATGCTTTCCGCAGCTTAGGGAGTGCGTCGACGAGGCCAAGAGAATGTTACCTAACTTCAACAGCAGCTACGCGAATTACACGAACGCGGAGCTCGCGCAATTGTTCGTCAACACCACCGCTTGCGTGCTGGCGAAGACCCGTTGCTCCTTCATGAATCCGGTGACCGGCGAGCTCCAGGATGACGACATCGTCAACAAAAAGTTACACTTACCCTCGCTCAACGCCATGCTCGTCAACACCGACAACGATATCAACATTGTACAACTGCCGTTCCGTCAAGGCAGCGTCGACGTGTGCGCAAAGTACAGGAACATCCACCAAGCGACTTGGCCCAGCGTCGTGTGTTAATTTACAAATAGATATTATCGCGCCAAGAGACGGCGGTATCTCGAATGTTAAATGATGCGCGGGATCGTTTTATCAAACGACCGTTGCGGAATGAGACTACCGCACGCCGTTGTTCGAAATAAAGATTTGTATCCGTTGGCGCCAACATTTCGATCATTTTTACCTCTTGGTTTCGGCGACTATTAATACGGCCGGCAGAATTTACGCGGCACGTGCCAAGAGAATAACGCATCCGCATTCTTTCCCCGTGCGATATCTTGTCTGAGAAATATCTGTCTCTCGTGTTTGCGCCGAGAGAAACCGAGAATAACAAAAACATAAAAGAGAGCAACGCATTTCGCCCGATAATGTCGCATTAAATAACACGAGAAGATGCTAATAATAATCGAGGAATCGGAATCGTCTTAGTTCGCGGTTCGACAGGGGCGCGAATTTTTTTTTCTTTGCAGAAACAGTCTGTACGTATTTGCAACAATAAGAGAGAACGTTATACGAAACATGCAGATAAGAGAGACGCGCGCGCATAAAAGGCATCGTGCGCGATGCATATTATTTTTTCGCGAAAGGAAAGTTCCTTTTATATCCGCGCACACGAGCGAGCAAGTTTCCATCTCAAAGATCACGCCGCGAGTATTTTCTACGTAACTTTTTCGCAATCCGCCGAATCCCGAAAAGGAACCGATACCACGTAATCCCCCTGTCTCTCATCTTGTCGCTCCTTCATCGTCTCGAGGCTGCGATAGATAGATGCTTGACGAGAACACGGCGTGCAAACAATTTTATAACGAATTCGACCGTCGAGCGTGAAGATTCGTAAATATAAACCCGACTGGGGATGCACCATCGGATGGGGGCCACCGTCACGTAATTCTTATTTATTTTCGTCGGGACGCGGATGCGAAAAACGCAAATAAACACGGAAAGACGCGGGAGCTAGTCGAGCGAAATTTCCTCGACATTTAGACGCGTGAGAGCTCGCCCGTAAAAACTTCCCGGCGTGCTTTAAGATTTCGCGAAATAAAATTCGCAGGGTAAAGAGCTGCGCAGGGCGAGCAAATATTTAAATGACACGCTAGTACGATTTCGCGAGTCGTCCATTAGGCGTGCGAAGATGCTCCTTTCGAAATGTGCTCACGTGTGCGCAAACGACGCGGTCAATTTCTTGCGGAGAAATCCAAAAGATTCTCCATTTTGTGGTGTCGGTTACGCGATGGATCGTAAAAAAAGAAGAAAACGGTATCCCGGTAGATAAAGTGAAATCGCTCCATCGCTGCGACGCTCCACTTAACATTTTCCTTGAAATAATTTGAAATATGCAAATACAATTTTTTTACACACGCATTTGCGTGCGAGAGAGTGTGTATACTCGGAGGAGTATATTTCGCGAAGAAAGTAGAGGAGAAAAGAGAAAAGCCGAGAGAGAGAGAGAGAGAAAGAGATGGGGTATGAAGACTACGCGCGTATATATTCGAGTAGCTCACGGTTCAGTTCTCTCGGAGTCAATCTAACTTAACATGCAGATGCAATACGTGGAATCGAGATGGGGACGGCGGAGCGAGAGGAGTCCTGAGTCACTCTTGACATCGCTGTCCTTTCCATACACCTTTACCGCAACGTCGTACTTTTCTGATCGATAGTTGCAGTTATCGAGTCGATTATTAGTAGATAATGAAGACCGACACTCCGTGCACTTATTTGGAAAATTTGAAATGTGCCAGAAATGTGATATTGATTACATTTAACATATAATATTTCAATTTCGAAGTAAACAGAATACTGGGAAGATTGATAATTAAAATTTATACGTGTTGTTAGTTGAAATTTTATATTTCTTCGAAATATTAGATACAATTAGTATTTTTTTTTCTCTTTCAAAGAATACGATCAGATATTAATGCCGAAGAGTTCCAAGCTCTTTCTCTTGACGAAGCTCAATGCATACAAATGACACTCGTATATCAATTAAGAATACAAGAGAAATATCGAGGAATATTCATCGCGAGATTAATTCAATAGTACTCGTGAGCTTAGCGAATTTCGCTTTCAGACGCAAATACAATTGAGAATTAAACGGAAGAACATGAAGGTGTATTCAATCCACAATTTATACAATCCCCTTTCTGAAATTTCGCGGAAATCTCTCGCAAGTGCGCGCTTACGATACAATACACTAATCATTTAAATAAATGATGACGCCAACCTGCGACTTTTTTTTCGAGGATATTTCGAGAAACTCCAAGAACCCCAATAGAATCGTCTTTCGAACAGAGATGGTTCTCGAGTACACTTTCGTATTTCAAGTAGGTCAGATCGATTACGAACACCCTGCGTATCATTACTATTTCCAGCCGATCATCGCTAGGAATGCATCAGCCGTGGGGAATCATCGACAGATCCGTCCAGTGACAATCACCGTACGGCCTCATTTTCGAGAAATCGACATCGATGACGCCGCCGACGTTTCACGCGGGTGAATCATGTGAAACGCAAACGGCGATTGCGCAATCGGCGGCATCATCAACGCGAAGGCGTCGGCGTATGTACGGGTATAAACAAGTCTCGATATAGATAGATCGACAGAGAGAAAGAGAGAGAGAGAGAGAGATACAGAAGTCAACCGAGAGGAGAGCACGAACCACGTCATCGAGATCTCGTGTGCGTGAAACCAGGCCGGCTCATCACATTTCCATCTGCTCCAATTCGTGCACGTCCTTCCTAATACGCTAACGAGAAGAGGTATCGGACGAAAATCTCGATCCGCGAGAAAGTTTTGTCCCCTTTGGATGCACGAGAAGATGCAAACACGTTATCTAAGCAGTCCAAAAATTTCGAGTCTCCACGGTCGTCAGATGCTAAAAAAGATTGAGAAAGACGCGAATTAGATCTCGCATCTGTTGATTTTGTCGCATCAACATAATTTTCAGATAATTTTCGGAACGAAAATGATACTGAGAATAATTCGATAACGTCGAGTCTAAATTATACTTTAAACGGAATATAATTCGCGACTATAATTTCGCAGAAGAAAATCTAATTAGTCGCACACGTTGGAAGGTACGTTGAGATATAATTTATTTTCATCGCGAGAGACAACAATAAGATATTGACAATAAAATATAAAATATTGTTGGCTGTTAATCGAGAAGCTCCTCAATTCGTACGAATTGGATAAGCTCCAAGAACGCAATCTTCTGCGATCTATATTCCGTAATCTATATTCATACATAATCGCGATGTAATCTCTCATAACTTAGCGTGACTGCCTGAAATAACGTACTGCTTCCGGTGCATTTTTATCTCATTCTTTTAACACCACAAAGTGTGTATCTACTTTTCTTAAGTGCAATTTCTTCTCATATAACAACCTGAATAAATTGCCGGGATAAAATCGACGAAAGAGCAAAAATTGGAACGAAGTAGATACATAAGGTTAAAAAGCATTATTTATCGCGCGAAATTGATTCGTAAAATGAATCCGACATCAACGATCATACAAAATTCAAGATGTATTTCAAATGATACTGCATAAATAAGTCAAAATCATGGCGCGATTTACGTCAAATTAAAAAAGGTAAACTATTCAGCGAAATAATGGCCGAGATTTCTACAGCCGAGAAGAAATAATTTTTCTCTCTCAACGAAAATTATTTTCGCGAAATGACATTCGTGTTATGCTTGCGAATATAATAATTCCAAGACAGTATCGCCACACAGGGAATGACGATGATCGTGTGCTAAGGCGCATTTATATCTCGCCGGAAAACGCTGATGACAATCACCAATCTCACGCAATTCTAGCGCGACCTGGACGCGACCCCGATTATTTTCTCCGACCTTTACCTAAATCCTACAGCGATTCCTTCTTCCTCGATTGACTTATTATATCCGAATATATTTTAACACTAACCGGAAAAGGGGACTAAAAAATTTTTCCTAAAATAAATTACGTTCCGATAAGAATAATTCTATCCGGAAAGTGTTTGCATCAAATTATAAACATATTTCCGTTCTTCGAGACGCGCCGGTTAATTTTATCTCGATTTGCCATTTTAATTCGTATCAAAATATCGTGATGAATAAATATTTGGATCAATCCAAATCTATATTACGTCAAATCAAAATAATCATGAATGAATACTGCAAAAAGTTGAGAATTCGATAGTCGTGGCGACATCTACAAGAGACTTCGCGAAATCTTGTGTCGCGAATCTTTGCTAAAAATATTCGCGATTCTATTTGAACCGCAAATCGAACTGGTTTCGAGCAGAGCCTCGGATAAACCGGAAATCTTGCGGGATAGCTTACAGACATTTGTCTAACGTGGTCACGCAATTTGTCTCCTAATGGCAACCCGGAAATCTCGTACATTTCGCCGAAGTAAACTAACTGCAATTTCTAATCCAGCTATACGAGCCGATGTTTTAAATCGACTACGATAAATCACTCCTTCACCGATTTTCCTCCAAGCTATATAAACGTATTGCATTCTACAGTAGTAAATATATGCCAAATGCTACAGCGTCTCCGAAGAAACTATGAAGGAATTTAATCACGATATTTCCTTGGATAAGGAAAAACTCAAGAGAAAAGAAAAAACGCTTCTAAACAGATCTCGGAAAAAAAACTAATAAATTGAATTCATGGATTAAAATGATTTAACTCCGATTCGTTTTCAATGTTATGTTTCGAGACAAGTAAAGCCTCAAAAATATAGAAGCACAAATACGAAGATAGAAAAATAAATTGTATAAATATTGGTATAATATAATAATTAATAATTTGTGATAAGTAATAATCGAGGGAAAAAAATACAATTATACATATACGTATATATATTTACGTACATATTTTTCCGACATCCTTATATGTCGGTCTATTAAAATAGATTCAAATTAAGATCAATTGATCGCGTCAATTGATGGAATATTATTGCAACCAAGTGATACCGATTAAATTTTTCATGTCCAAACAATGGGAAATCATTTATAATTTTGCATCTAAATTCTATATACCTTTACAATCTTCTCGAGAAGAAATATCTACACTATGTTTTACAAATCACACAACGCAACTTGATTAATTTTAAGAAACAATATACGTAGCAAATTATTATCAAAATTTAAGCAAAAAATTTAATTTGAATTAATTCTATTTTCATACGAAAAAATTTAAATTAAAACAATATATCTCAATATATACATCAGATTATTTTCATATTTCATGTAATGTATGGTAATGGTAACAGAAAAATATGCAGATGTATCTTTGACATTGTTTTTTATAATTCTCTCCATATTTTATCTTCCATAATTCTAATTTGAAAATTTTTAAGCTTTTAAACTTTCAAAAGATATTTAAAACAAGAATTTTCCTTAAAATAAAAATAAGTTCCTTGTAGCGTAACTCGATTTTCTGGAGTACACAGTAAATTACTTTAGTTCAACATTTGCATGTAACAGCCCTTAGCAAGAATGTTCCTTTGCCTTATGCAACATTATGATGTAATCATGTGGATTGCCATCTGACGTAAGCGAGCAGCGCGTAATACCAGCATCATCTATATTCTAGGTCTCGCCTACGTCATACCGCAAATATTATGTCATTTTAAACCAAATAATTTCTAATTAATTATCTCAATTTAGAAATATTTAATTTTCAACATACAAGTACTCAATTCCTAAATTTAAACAAACAATCAATTTCTATCCTAAAACAAGTATTCAATTGTTTGTTCACGTATCCTTATATAATTTCACTTTTTTTACTTTAATAATTAATAATTAATATCGCAAATTTGGCAAATGTAATGTGTTAACAATGCCAGGAAAAGTAAGACCCGATTCAAGGAAGGATATTAAAAAGGTGGAGAAAGAAGTAACAGTAAAGCAAGTAGGATTCCATGGGAGATCGTGACGTCATTGTCAGTGACGTCATCAGGAACAGGTGATAGCCGCTGTCAGCGAGTGACGTCAAAAAGCAGAGCGGACATCGAACCTCGACCGGCGCGTTTGCGCAGATTGCGCATTTACGGGATGCGGGATGCACGTACGTGACATTTGCACGGACGGAAGTAAAATTTGTATGCGCAAAATTGTCGCGGACAGGCGATTCTTAGAGGGGTACAAATAATAATCGCGCGTCGCGAATCGCGCGGCAGCGGCAGCGCGATTCGCGGAAGCGCCGACGACAGCCAGTAACCTCGCCGCGATCCGCGATCTCTCGCGCCGTCCGATCTCGTCTTTTGAGAAATGTCATGACTCACCAGCGGCGCAGGATTGTCGCTCATGCTTCAAGGTAGCCTTCGGCGACAGCGGCGTCCTTGTCAGGCGATGGTTCACTCGTCGAAATACTCGCGCACTCACAACACTGCACTCGAATTCTCGGAAACCGTCGCGGCCATTTTAACACTACGGCAATGTCATACGCGACGATCGTGCCTCGCGATGCGATCGGTCATCGAGCTGCCATCTCGCGGCCGCGTCGCGAAACGCGAGTGTAGCGCGCTCGTCCGATCAACGGTTCGTTTTCTCCATCCTCGTTATTTTCTTTACAGATTACTGTAGCACCGATACTTGTTAAGTGGCTCGAGTTTCTCGCTGTTACCGTCCATCACGTTTGTGCTTGCTCAAACACGAAATTTCTTGTCCGATCGCCGAACGAAATAGCGATAGTACAAATTTTTCGCATAATTTTCATTAATTGACAAAGAATGCACTCCACTTGCGGAATTACAAGCGCTTCGTTTGTTTGAATCGAATGTTTGATCGAATCTTATTTGGCTAGTCGATCAAGCAAGTCGAAGCAATCGTGACAGTGAGTGCATCTTGCGATTTTCGAAAGATCGAATTAATATTGCGGAAAACACAATCGAGCCAATTAATTAGAGAATGATGGTTCGGACACTCACGATCGCGTATTTTCACTGCACACTTTGATGAGGAAATCACTCGAAGAAGGTTCGGTGACGATTTCGACCGGCTCCAGACACACACGAATTGCTGATATTCGCGATAATGGCGATTGTGCATGATGTTTAATATCGCGACGAATGTTGGATACTTTGCGATACATTCGCGATAATTATTCACCCGCGAGACTCACTTCTAGACGATGATAATTATTAAATTCCGCAAAAAATACGGACCCGACTCTCCGATTTGAGCGTACGTTTGTTACTGAAGACACTTCGAGAATCGCAATATTACCTTATCGATATATCGATACAACGAGCCAATCACGTCGCAGCACTCGAGTCTGCTCGTTATTTAAGCGTCGTCTACAATGAGATTTTTAAGGAGACTTAAGGCGTAAGACTTAAGAAATTGACCAATCACAATCGAATATTCTCTTAATACTTGACTGTGATTGGTCAATTTCTTAAATCTTACGCCTTAAGTCTCCTTAAAATTTCATTGTAGATGACGCATTAGGCCAGAGAGAAGACAGAAGGCCATTCTACAATGGCCATAGCATAAGGCGTAAGACTCAAGAAATTGACCAATCACAGTCGAGTATTCTCTAAATAATTGATGACTTGACTGTGATTGGTCAATTTATTGAGTCAATTCTTCTCAAGATTCTTGAATCTTACGCCTTAGGGCCTCCGCACAAGGTGTTCCGTATCGCATTACGTTACGTTAAGTATAGATTGTAAATTTAACTCCGTACATAAACTTAAACTTCAGTCAACGCACAGAAAAAAACGTAACGTAAAGACATATCTTTACCGATAAGGATGATGAAATGCATCGATAGCGAGCATCGTCGGTATATTATAACGTTGACTTGTACTTCTATGGCAAACAATGTACAGGGTGCTTCCGCAACATACAGATCGGTAAGTCGGGTTGCCTATCTGACGATCGATCTTATTTTACCGACCTCGCATTATTGAAAAATAATAAAATCAGAGGATTGATCATGTAATTTTTTTTCGTGAAAAGTGAACAAATTCCTTGATTGATACATTGAATGCAAATCCGTAGAGAATGAGGAAAGTAAAGTCAGCTTTTAACATTGATATAGTGTAATTGTAATATTTAATAACATAAATAACATTATATTTAATAACATAAATAACTTAAATAACATTAATAACATAAAATGACACAATTGAAATATAATAACACAGATAAAATATAATGAATTTAAACAAAAAACTATTTTTTAATGTTCACAATATATGCTCAATGTAACCGCCATTCTCTTCTAAACATAAAGCAATCCTCCGCATAAAATTTTTCATTACTCTCCGAATTATCGGAGGAGTGATTTTCGCACACGTCTTTCGAATTTTATTTTTAAGATCTTCTTTATATAATGTTATTTATGTTATTAAATATTACAATTACACTATATCAATGTTAAAAAGCTGACTTTACTTTCCTCATTCCCTACGGATTTGCATTCAATGTCTCAATCAAGGAATTTTTTCACTTTTCATGAAAAAAAAAATACCATGATCGATCCCTATGATTTTATTATTTTTCAATTATGCGAGGTCGATAAAAGAAGACCGATCGTCAGATAGGCAACCCGACTTACCGATCTGTATGTTGCGGAAGCACCCTGTATATTACTGAGATAACTGCCGTTTATCACAGCCTCAGCGAAGATTTGCATCAGCAATGTCAAATCGCTGAAACCTAAATTCACATTTTGACCGGAAGAATAGATGATTTTGGTGTGCTGCCACGTCCTTTAAAAATGAAAATATCAATGTTAAACAGAAAATTAAAAAATATTGAATTCTTACAATGATGTTAATGATAACAAAATCTTTATAAAGAAATTTTAATACAATTTTCATTTCAAGATAAATTTAGAGAAATTTGTTGTCATAATTTTCATTGAGATTTGATTCGCGTGTTACATGATCTATTTAGCTATATTCCTTCAATCGAGATCACTCTTAATATTGAAAATTTTCTTCCCCCTTCAACACCGTGATTGTATGCCGTGATTCATACTACAAAGGCAATTCAGTCTAGAGGGACAGATTTACAAGCAGTTAGTGAAACGCCTGCATCCTGCTCACGATACCGTTCTTTAGATAGTCATTGCTTATATTCCTCTTCCAAAATTTTTAACGGTTTTTTGTCTCTCTCGGTTGTTACGAACAAAACGAACTGATAGAATCTGTATGAGAATTATATAGATAGAATTATATATCGTCGTGGCTAAATAAAGTATTAATCTTTTTTACTTTTTATAAAAATCCAAAAAATAATGTACTTAGATTGAAGCTTTTTGAGCTTTTATGTTACATTATTCGAGGAAAATCAGATGAAAATTAATAGCAGTTGTTTCTTAGAGAGGATGACAGGTTTCTTTTTTGATTTTACTATACATTTTTGTATCTTGTTATAATATACATAATTCAATTTACCATAAGATTCTTCGATTTTTTGGTCAATAATTTCTCAGCGAATCGCCAACACAATTTATGACATGGCTTGCTAAGGGACACACAAAATCACTTACTACTAATACATACATCATTTTTTATTTGCGGAAATTCTATTAAGGAAGAGAACAAGTTACCTCAAGCAACGTGATAATAAGTCCGATTAGAAGAAACCTCTGCCAAGTGGCGATGTTCTCCGTAGACTGAAATTGATTGAGGAATATTACAATTTCTCAAGAAATTCAAATATCAACGAGCAACTTTTAAAGATAATATTACCTTGGAGAGTTTGAGAATTGCAAAAATCGTGCTGCCAGTTTAGATAGGACATATACATCTTTTTTCGCATAGTTGAATTACTAACGACATGCACCTAAAACAAATAGGTATGTTCTTTATTTATTTTATTATGACATTAATGTTACAAATTATATCTTAAAATTACCAACACCGTCCTGAGATGATATTCATCGGGATAACGCCTAAATGACACATGTTGTGAAAAACAGGTTTAACGATTTATAATAAACGTTACGAAAATAGAAGTCAGATCTGATCTAGAATTCACAAAATTTCAATAGAAATACCGGAGGTGATATGCATCAAATAAACATAATATCGTTCTATTTATATACACAAACTACTTAAGTAGTAAGCACATGTTACTTTGACATTTCAAATTGATCATTCACTGATTATTCTTGACGTCAAGAGTTGACGTCACGAGTTGACGTAAAAATAACGGTCTAATGTCACAGATTATTAACATCATAACGTGTATCGCATTCTGACGTCTTTTTCTTAACATAATAATGAATTTAATAACGTTATCGAATAAAGAAGATTAACCGGTTTGAGAGTATCATTGAACAATTGTAGCCATTCTATTCTTAGAATCCTGGGTCGATTAAACTGCTTTATTAGAAAATGCTAGAAAAGCGACAATGACCAAAAATGAGCAGTTTGGAGACGTCAAAATGATGTGTGCTTGCTATCTGGATATTATTGCTAAAGATTACATTTTGATACGATGTTTCAAAAGCAAAATATACATTGCAGATAGCAAAAATAATCATTTTGATACTAAATTATATGAAAATGACATCAAAATTACTACCTTTTCTAAAAATAAAAATTTATATTTATATAAAAATTATTAAAAAATATTTAATGTTAGTAATATTTTATTATTAATATCACTAAAATAACGAAGAAAACATTATTTATCTTCTTCAGATTTATAATTTTTCTATGAGAATAATCATGTAACTGTTATACAGAAAATAAATCTTTCGAAGTGTATAAAACATTATAATAATTACAATATATATATATATATATATATATATATATATATATACATATACGAGTATATATATATATATATATGTACGTATGTATATATGTATATATTTAGTACTAAAATATAAATAGTATAAAATTATCATTTTCTTAATCAGATTGTTTTTTTCTTTAACTTTTCTCTTAACTTGAAGTGGAAATAAATCAACTGTTTTCGTTCTACAATTGGATTCTTAAAATATATTTTTTCGTGTCTTTCAATTAATTAAAAATCTTTCTTAAAAAAATACACACGCTGGTGACTGCATGACTGTTTCGAATGATATCATTAAATATAATCGTTCCCAAAAAGGATTCCATAGGAAAAATATTTGTATTGTCGAATTTTCTTTTTATCTATCTTCGTTAGAAGAATAGGAGAGATTTATGGGAGTTATATAAATGTATTACATGTATTTTAGAAACACGTATGCGTATATGTTGTGGATATACAAAGAGTCATAATTATAATTTAAATATCCAGCATAAAAGAGCGCGCGGCAGGAAATCATCGATTCAACGTCGAAAAAATTAGTTGTACCGATCTCATACTGTGAAACACTATATTGAGCGTTAATCGCAAAATCAACATTGTGGGTAGAAGACAGCTGATTTAATACTTTGCATTTCATAGTTTTTTCGCTTTTTAAAAAACTAGCAACTCAAAGTGTTTTGATAAAAAAGTGATGAAATTCTTTACAGCCAACATAAAAATAAATCATATATAAATTAAAAGATATAGAGAATTGTTGCAAAGAACTATTGTATTTTTCAAAAGTTCATATATTTTTACATTATTCAAAACTTTATATCGAATATTAAATTATTATGATCAATAATAATTCAAATAATAAGTACAATACTACGAAGTGCCCCAAAATCAAACATAAATAGTTATTTTCGTCTCTCACTCGTCATTCGAGTTAGTATATCAAATTAAATGACGATTGATTGTGAACGTCGCTTCTCAAGTGCAAAAATCAATTTTTATATCAACTCACAATTTGACTGTAATGTATGTCAATTTATTTGATCCGGGTAAGGTTCTTTATAAGAAAGCGAGTCCACAGAGAAATATCACTTTGTCGAGTCTCAGTAAGAAGAAGACTTCGAGAGGTTCTTCTGCAGTCATTTGACACAAGAAACAACGCCCAGGATACAGACTAAAAACAAGAGATCCGTTATGGATGAGAACGTTATGGATAAGGTAAGTGAAAAAACAATCATCGATAGTCTTTCGATTTTTCTATGTCTTGATGTAGATTATATTTAGAGAGAATATGAGAATATTTCGCCCAGCCGAAAGGCATATCCGTGGACATGTAGCAGCTCCAAAAACAGCTTGGAATCTATTATATCTCACGACACAATACGAGACGCATCACAAGACGAGCCGGTGATGCAGAAACAACCTTGGAGCAAGGAAGAGATCGAAGTAGCATTATCGAATCTTCCGGGAGGCAACATAGCTTTATCTCTGATTCCTACTCTTCATGGCAATGCTCTACAAAAGGTTCTGGAAGAATTTCAACCTGTGACTCTCAACAAAAATGAGCATCGCAAGAATAACATATCGTTGGCCACGTCCGCAGATGAGTACGGAATGATATTAGCGCTTTTAATTTATGCGTGTTGCATTAAGATAAAATAAATAAATAAAAATAAATAAATAAATAAAGATAAAAAAATAGAATTTTAAATAGAATTTGTAATGCTTCTTAATTTATTTATTGTGTGTATATTCCTGTTTGATGTTACATATTTCTGTTGATAAAAATTGTTTCATTGATCATTTTATTTAACTAATCCATTTTACATATATTAATATACTTTATATAAGTAAAATAATAAAATTTTTAATTACAAAATTTAATATTTTTATATCTTTATAATTTAGCATTTCATATGTTAATTAACTATCTAGTATAATTAACTTAAAACTTTACATGCAGAATTGAGCAAGAGACTGTATTGGCTGACGAAAATAAAGCAGCGGATATGACTCCGGGACAATTACTCGCAGAATGGCCGAATACGTGTCTACTGATTGCTAGCTGGCTGGGCCATGAAGAAATAGTTAGGGCTTTGTTAGAAAAAGGTGTGTCAGTTTCTACGAGGGACAATGATGGAAGGTTTATATCATTTATAATATATAAAAGCCTACATATTTATCATCAAAAAAGTGAAGCTGAACTTCTGAAAACAATAATTCATCTGTAATGATAGAAGTAGTTTATACCAGCTAGTAGTAAATTATCAGAAACCTTGATTTATTAGTCAATTAAGCCTGTAATTATAATAAATCATTGATAAAAATTATACATCTCCACTATCTCTAGGACACCGCTACATCTGGCAGCATGTACCACGTCCACGAAGATCGTGGAGGAGCTATTGAAACATAATGCTGATCCACGTCAATGGGATTTCGAGAAGAAATGTACCCCGTTGCATTGTGCTGCCGCAGCTGGTTGCGTTGCTACTGTTAAATGCTTGATCAATGCAGGCGCAAATGTGCATACCAGAAGAAGTCCACTTTATTACGCCGTGCTGAACAATGCTATGGATTGCCTCGAAACTTTACTGCAAGCAGGTGCTTGTCCTGATAATCCACAGGTGCTCCTTCACAACCACAATTTAAACATAAATTTAGTGGAGAAGTAATATTATAAATCAAAAATTGCTAGTGTAAAATTAAAAAGGCAAATTACTAATTATCTGATATAGTGAATTATGCAGAAACAATTAATTTCTTATCAAAGTAACGTATCTCTTCCAGATATATTTGAGATATCTTCAATGAATTAATTATGATTTGTTGATAGGTTTATACAAAGACGCCTTTGCATGTGGCGGTTACTTTGGGCAATGTCCATTGTATCAAATTGCTGTTGGATCACGGTGCGAATGTGACAATTCAAATGGGAACAATGAAATCGACACCTCTACACTTGGCGGCGGAAAAAGGTAACGCGGAAAGCACTAAATTACTGTTAGACGCCGGCGCAAAGACTGAGACAAAAAACTCGAATGGTCAAACGGCAATGCACTTGGCAACGCTCGCCCAATCTATAGAGACGATAAAGGAATTGATTAGATTTGGCGCAAAGGTGGACGAAGAGGATAATGAAGGACACACTCCTCTACATGCTGCAGTTCCAAGGAAAAGTAGCGAATTGATCAAGATTTTAATACAAGTTTGTACATGAAAATTCCTTTAACTCATTGGATAGAATACCTTCTTTTAATTAAAATAATAAAAAAATTAATTTCAAATTTTAAATAGATTTTTTAAATAAATTACGTTAAGTAATTCCATTTATGTAATAAAAAATATTAAAATAATTTGATTTTTATTCTAACAATAGAATTAATAAAATCTTTTTTTGTTAAAAAGGCAGGCGCATCAGTTAATAAAGCAGACAAGTGCGGTTATACACCGTTGCACATCGCTGCTTTGAACGAGAGGTCGCACACAGTGGGGATGTTGTTGTCAAAAGGTGGCGACGTAACAGCGCGTACTAAAGACGGCGTCACCGCTCTTAGCTTCATCGTACACCGTACTCCGAAGGTGTTATCGCAACTTGAGACGCGTCTCGATCAAGCAGTCTCATTAAACGATCACGAGCTTGGCGATATGGACTGTAAACTGCGAGTGGATATTCGACCATTGGTTCCATTGAACTGTTGCAACGAAACGGAACTGATGCTCTGTCTGGTGGAGGTCGGTCAAGGTCACATGCTAAAGCATCCATTATGCCAGAGTTTTCTCCATCTAAAATGGAAGCGTATTCGCAAGTTTTTCGTGCTCAGTCTTCTGTTCCATTTAATCTTCGTCGCTTTCTTCACCGGCTTCGTCTGCGCGACATATGTGTACGAAAAAGCTGACAACAGGCAGCTGAGCAGAGTCCTCTTCTGGCCAGTATTAATTATTACATGCTTATCTGCGATTAAAGAGATCTTCCAGATTACCTATGGTATTTGCTATTATATTAAACGTTGGGAAAACTGGTTGCAGTTGAGCGTGATCGTGGCATCCATCATCATCTTGATTTCTCCATGTTCGTGTCCATGGCAACATGACGTTGCTGCCGTAGGCATTCTGCTGGCCTGGATCGAGTTGATGATTGTGATTGGTTATTTTCCCATGTTTGGCCTCTATATACAAATGTTTACGCATGTGTTCATCAATTTCTTGAAATTTCTCTCAGCCTACTTTTGTCTCATAATCGGCTTCTCTCTTAGCTTTAATGTGCTGCACAGCAATTACGATTCCTTCGCTGGTCCACTGATCAGTCTGCTCAAGACGGTGATTATGATGTCCGGTGAGCTGGAATTCGAGGATATTTTCTTTGATGATAAAAAACGACTCGAGTATCCTGGCACGGCGCATGTTATGCTTCTTTGCTTCGTTATTCTGGTGACGGTGATATTAACGAATCTAATGGTTGGTCTGGCTGTGTCGGATATCCAAGAGTTACGTAAATGCGCAGGTCTCAAACGATTGGTGCGTCACGCCGAGGTAATAGCTCATTTCGAAAACATGCTGTTCTCGAAATTGATTGATTACACTCCCGCGTGTAAAATAATACAAGCGTGCAGGAAAAATACGCGATTGTTGCATTCACCGCAACATTGTTTCCTCCATATTCGACCGAATGATCCGCGCGAAAAGCGTCTGCCACGAGAGCTCATTCAGTTGTTGTATCGTCTGGCCAGCGAGAAGAAAATGCGACGAGGAATTTTTCGCGGCAACGCGCCACCACCTCAAAGCGTCGCCACGAATGATACGAGACTCAGGATGTATAGCAATGACAGTAATCAACAGCAACTGGACAAACTTGTGGCCGAGCTAAAGGAATGTTCCCATGACATCAGTATCAGGTTGGATAGCTTGACGAACAAGATAGAGAATATCGCCCGAGAGCAGATTTGACGATGCATTTATAAAATTATTAATATTGCCTAATTCTATATCGTCGAACATTTGAATTGTTTTAAAAAAGCGAAACGGAGACTCGGATGATATATCGAACCAGAATTTAAAATTCAAGGTAGAACGCAAAGATGTGATATACTCAAGCAACAAACAAATTGAAAATAATTATAATGTCTTTAGATGTAAATTTTAACGATCTAATTTGTGACAACCCAAAAACATTTGTGGATTTAACAAACCGTTTCCAATATTATTTATATAGATATATGTATTATCATAAATTATATAAAATTTAGAATTATTTTGTTATTCTATACTTACCAGTAATCCAGCTGTGTACCGTTTATCTGATTCCATCTTTATAGAGGTAAATTCGGTTAATTTCTTGAGGAGTTTTACATCGGTGATCTTAGATTCGTGAATCACAGTCACATTCTCTTTCTGAGAAAGTTGTCTGAGAAAGTTGCATGTTGACAGCATGCAACACTAGATCATTTTCAACTATGTATGCCAATTGTATTCCTCAGACAAGATCCTCCTTGAACGTTATCATAGCGTCCGATTGCGTCCCATACCTACTAAAAAAATTATATCTAAATAGAAATAAATTTGATAGAATTTTTAATTTCTTGTAATATGTAAAAGAGCAATAAAATAATAATAGAATGATAAAAGTAATTCTTAAGTACAAAATACAATAAAAAAATAGTAAGAATAAGGAGCGATTAATAAGAAACAGAACAATAATTGTAAGACAGAATGTTTTAACTATTATTTATATCAAAACGGAATATATATATATAGTAAGCGCTTCAATCTTTCCAATCATCTTCAAAAAGTCAGCTACGTAAAAAAGATCATAACATAGAATTGTCATCAAGATTTAAACTAATTCCAGAGACAGAAGAGTGCACAAACATAATAGCCGAAATGTTTAGAAAACTCAGACTAGTTCTTGCATTGTGTAGTATAAACAAAAATAGTAAAAATTACTAAGAAGACATTCTATGATCCAGTTATTTTCTAATTATGACATATTTAATGTAAAGATTTTTTGTTATCTGCTACGTATGTCGTATCTTTCAAATTATTAATATCTATATAATATTAACTTGTCGCGCTAACATATTAATAATTTCTTGTTACATATTAATCTAGCACAATAACATTATATTATTAATACAAACTTGATATATAATAATTTAATAATTCAAAAACTACAGGAAAAAGAATAAAATAGCTTAAAGAACTACCTGGATCGATCGTACTGGACAATATCGTACTGCCTTTATATGTTGCCATGCTCCTAAACTAGACAACAAGGTACGAGTCTGTTGATTCAAAGCAACAACTCGATTGGAATATTGTTCCTGTGGTATATTCTGATTTAATATTACTATCCAATAGCAGGATTTTCTTGCTTTCCAGTCTTCGATTATTTCCTGAAATAAATAAATATATATATATTTATAAATAAATATATATTTCCACTCTTTTTCACACACAGAAAGTTTGACAAAAACACTTGATGACTTAAAAGAGCAGACTATTTTAAGAAAAATATCTAAATACAATTAAAATTCCGTCATCTAAAGAATCATCTAAAGAATCATTATACTTTGTTATATCATAAGAGCAAGATTTGTACGAGATTAAAATTAATAATAAAGCAGTAATAAGTAGAGCGAATAGCAGTACTGTTGATGTATATATAGCATATATGCATAAAATACAAATCTCGTAAGATCAAAAATTAAAGTAATGAAAAATTGTGATATAACTACTGTTTAATTAATAATTAATTTATACTTGCTTTTTAGAAAAATTTAATCAAAAGATACTTGTTAATTATAATAATTATAACGAATTATGTTGCAATATTAGTCACGATCGGGTTGAAAAAAAAATTTGATAATATACGAAGCGGTTCGTACACTAGTACTTTATTATTCGAGCGTCACCGTGCGAATGATAACAAAGTCGTACATGTATAGCACGCTTGTTATATGTTGCCAAGGCTAAACATGATATTATTGATAATTCTCTGCGAAATATTTTACATACTACATATACACGCGGAATTACATACTTACATACTACATATACACGCGGAATTTTAAATTATAGAGGTATATTTTATTTTAAATTAAACGATTGATGTATCACGGAACCTTTTGTTATGCTAATGATTTGAATTTATTCGATTGTTTTACCACGCTTTTCCGAAGTCAAATTTTATAATATTTTCAATATTAGTTTATTAATAACATAAAGTGAACGTTTCGGATCATCTTTTGATCCTTCTTCAGCGCGATGTTAACAATACATATTACAGATAGTGACGCGTTACATTAAACGAATTTACATATTCTCGACGCGTAAGTGACGCTAAATTGCATCCCGCGGAGATTTAGTAAGCACTCTGCTTCCAACAATTAATTAAATATACTATAGTTGTGCTATGCGACGTCACAGCAGATCTAGCAAATCGAATAAAAATAATAAAATAAATATCAAAAGATATTCACGTGTAATCCCTGATTAATGCGTGCGAGCATTATCCTCTTTCTGGCATTACTGCTCGTACAAAGCACAAATATGTTTTAGATCTTATATTAATTACTAATTCTTTATGTACATTTCGTGATAAATATTAAATACGAGATAAGTTAAAAGTGGCCCGCTGCGTAGCGGCAAGCGAAGAAACATATGCCACATACTATTATGTCTTTCTTATGTCATCTTTTTTGACAAAGCGAAAAGATGTCTTAAAGACATCTTTTCGTTTTGTCTAAAAGATAATTTAAAAAAGACATATTTTCGTTATCTTTTATAGTATAATGTGTTGTGTGGGTTATTACTGGTAATGGTTTTAAATAATGTTCTCAAAGTTACAAAAAGATAATCTTGACATTTTATATAAGTATTCTTACATTTTATTACACATTATTGTAACATATTTCGAGAGCTTTCCGAGTATAATAAAAAAAAAACGAGTATAATAAAATATTTTTTTGTTAAGTACTTTTTCCAAATATTAAAGAGTTTCACAGTTTTTGTACATTCTTATAAAGCGCTTTCCAGAATCTTTTCGTTAGACAAAGTATAAACAAATATAAATAGCTATTGTATACTGATGATAAAAAGATAATATTTTATGAGATTGTAAATAAAACTTAAATTTACTAGCTCTACCCGATAAAATATTGAAACATGTCATATGCTTTTAATATTCCGAAGAAATGATGAAGAATATTTTTTATTTGAAACAGAATAAAATGTTTTCCGTATATTAGTATAATTTGTTAATGTTAATCATGTATGTATCGCATAATGTATGATAATATACGTATAAATGTACATAAAAGAGAGAAACGACAAAATAAAATCAGTTGTGCAATAAAAATTAATATTATCCGAAAAAATCATTAATAGACAATGTATACAACAATAAATAATTTAATTCACAAAAATTTTCAAAAAGTTATATAAAATGAAATTATATTGAAATTAATATTAAAATGAAATATAATGAAATTAACAACATTGTAAATGTGATAATAAAAATTATACAAAAAATTAGGTACTAACATCTATGGCTTATGTAAATCCTAAAATTCTCTTATTACAGGTATATGACAGATTTCGTCATTATCCAGACGATATAGCTTTTTTGCTGGACAAAAGTATCCTAAATATTCTGCAGAGTTTCCATATTCTACATTTGTATAATAATGTCCGCCTACTAGTGGTTCAAAGGAAAAGCTATGAAAATGATTTGTAGTGAGTTGTAAATCCTGAAAAACATTGAAATCATCAATATTTCTCTAACAATACCAATTTTGAGACATTGATACTTACTGTTTGAAGTTTTGAATTTGTAAGTACAACAGGAAAAGAAGATTTGTTAACAATTGTGCCAACTGCAACCAAAGGCGTCGTTAGTATACGGGTCTTAACCCAATTACGAATTCTGCTTTCATCAGAGCAATTTTCTAATGATATCTGCCCAATATCTGGCATAAGGTGGTGTCGCACTAGACCGTTATGCACTACAAATGTACCACCTAGACCTATAAAACGAGATACAGAAAACTCATCTATCTATTATCCGGCATTATCAATTGTTATGTGACTTTTCTTTATAAACTTATAAGTAATAATCTAACAAGGAAGGTCACACATGTGTAATGTAATCTAATTTATATTATATATATATATATGTATATGTTACATGTTTTTAATATATATATGTATACATACAATTAATATAATATCTATATGTATTGTACAAAAAAGCATTAAACTATAAAATTGTTGTTTAAAATATTTTAGAATTTTATTTAAATATTCTCCTCGTTTTAGATTATTTGCAGCTAAAATCTAATGTATTACGTTAGATTTAAAAGATTCCAATTAAAAAAAAAAACGAAAAAACATTTAATACATATCATACACATATAATAAAATTTTTTAAAAGATAGACAGTTTTATTTCTTTTTGTTGAACTGTGTTCTTTCTCACCGACAAGTGTTGATGTGGCTTCATAATACTTTTGAAGCGTATGTTGTATTACTTTTGTTAATTCCTTATCTTCACGACGTGCCTTAGCATGTATTTCAAGAACTCTTCCTGGTTTGCCTTCGCTGATAAAGAAATTGCCATGTAGGAAGCATTTTACACGATTGTAGTCATTTAATATATCTAATTTTACATTTTCTCCTGTATGATCCTGTGCTAAAAATGCAACGTAGCTCCTATTTTTAACTCTCATTCCTTCTTCGTCTAACGGCGAGAAGCTTGCATTCATAATAAGCTATATATAATAATAATACTCGTAAAAAATAACGCAAACAAGTAACTGATTTATAAACGAAGTTTAATTGAAACCGATAATAAATTAATTAAAAGTTGCGATAATCATGAGATACGAGTAGTAACACATCAAAGATACGTGTGAAATAATATTCTGACGTGTAAAAAAGTTTCAATATTACCTCGCCCATGTGGCCATTAGACGATGGATAAAGACTTGCTCCGATGATGAAATTATCATCGTTAGAACGGCCACTGGTCTCTAAAAAGCTTATGAAATCGTACTTTTTTTCCATTCGCGGAAATGGAAATAAATTCGAAAGACTACCAACTTCTAGAAGCGCCGTGTTACCACATAATCCTGTAAATTAATAAATGTTGCAATTTTAATGTGCAAAAAATTAAAAATACATGAGTATTACCTGGCGCAACAAGATGGAAAGGAGCCTTTCTCAAGTCAGGACAATTTACCACTTTAACTGTGGCCTCATTATAAAATTTATTAAATTCCACTTGAAGATCTATTAAAAAAAGAATAATATAAATATTATAAAAAAATAAACATAGTATTGCTTTACATATTATATTGTAAAAAATATGTATATACATTCAGCAAGTTTCTCCATTTCAGGCTCCAATATATCTCCCATTATCATATTTATCGGAAGAAAAGATTCCATAATGCACGAATTACAGTGTTAATTATTGAACAAGTATGTTCAATTGAAACAAGAATTGAGAGATAAGTAAATAATATCTTCAATATAACAATACCTAAGAAAAAATGATGATAGAATTTTTATAACATTATAATTGACACTATAATTATTATAACATTAATAAATGTATGTGCATAATAGCTTAAATTTTAAGAAGTATTGTGAAACAAGTTAAAATCTATAGTTGTATTTTAATTTAAAAATTTTTAAGTTATTAGTTTTATAGAAATCTTGTCTTTTTGGAAAAAGAATAGTAAGAGAATTGAGCAAATTATATATATATAATTTTTTATTTAAATTTTATCTTTATTTTATTAAAACATTTTTAAATCAAATTAATGAAATATCTACATATGAGCAACAGTTGGATTGTTTATTTTTATTTCAGGTAAAAAAAATTACTTGTAATTTTATTAAAGTACTCAATATGGAACAGCACGTTATTAAGTTCCAAATTATATCTATAGAAAACAAATTTTATATAAAAATTATAAAATATATAAAGTTTCTTTAAATATTGTTTGTTTTTGTTTTTAATATGTTTTAACGTCTATTATTCATTCTTTTTCATGTTTTATATATGTAATTACTTAAAAATATTTTATTCAAATTATTAATTACATTATGTGTATATGTTTAATTCATTTTATTTAATTGTGATACGAACCATTTCTCCTTTAAGTTAATAAGAATTTTTACTTCCGTTACTTTTAATACAATGTCGTTATTAATTTTAATGTAATAACGGAAATAAATTGCTGGCTTTAAATATATAATATATAATGAATTAATGTAAATAAACGTACTTTTCACTTACTAAACAGACATGTAAAACCAATAGTTTATTATTACAATCTGATTAAGCTCTAATTATTATCCAAGTATACTCAGAAATGATTCTTCTTTTTCAATTTCAATACTCAATAAATATCTGAAATGAAGTGGCAATCAGCCCAATTTTTGCAAAGCAAAACACAAAGGCTAGTAATGTATATAGTACAAGGTTATTACAAGTGAGACAATAATAAAGCAGAGATGACGAGTTTCAATGTCCAATCCATAAAATTTAAACTTTCTAGCATAATACACACACACATACACTCATATATATATATATATATATATATATATATATATATATATATATATATATATAAATTTTGACCAAACTTGAATTATTTTTAATATAAAATTTTTAATATTTTTAATATAAATGAGGTTTTAGGAATTAAATAAAGTATGAATTCACAAAACAATAAAATTTTGTAGGAATTTACTTGATTCACAAAATCACAAAATCAGTTATTACAATAGAAATAATGATTCATTTTTTATTTTTAGAAAGTTAGAGAGTTAGAAAGTTAGTGAAGAGAATAATAATAAACATTACTATGCAAATTTAAAAAATTGCACATTTTTGAAAAGTTTAATTAGGATGTTACAAAATGCATTGAAGAATATCAATAATATCAGGTGTCCTAAACTCTTACATATATAGTATTTTTATATAGTTCAAACAATTGCGTTATAATTTTGTTAAAAATATAACGAATCTTATTAAATTTAGAACACAATTAAAAGCTTTTAATCGTTCAACAGAGTGCAACGAGATACTTCTAAAATAATATTTTTCATTTTTAACTGTTCGATGGTATGTTTGAATCTTATTAAAGAAAAGAAACATTTATGTTTGTCTTTTTCTAAATAAATATATTACATTAAAAAAGACAATATTAGATATATAAATAGATTCAGTAAAAATCATGCACATTAAAAAATTTGAAGTTTTAATAAAAATAATAATAACGTGTAATAAAAGTAATGTAAATATATTAAAATATATCATTTAAAAAATTCTAATTATATATACAAAGATGTGAACAATATAAAACTTGTCTTGAACATTTTTCTCAATCATGATGTTTCTTGATTCGTGTGAATATTATTTAATTGTATGAAGTATACTGGAGGAGAGATAAGAAAATGCGAGTTTATCAAAAACATAATAAAAGAAGACAAATATAGAATCGGTTCGTAAACCGGTAATATTAGATATGAAGCTAGTATTATGTTATTAGATTTTAAACCAAACTTGAATTCCCAAATAGAATGTTATTGATCTCTTAAGACTCCTTTTTATTAATGTTGTAAGGATATTTTGAAAATTAATAGAACAAAATGTCTTCGCGAAAAGATTCTATGATAAATGAAAAACTTCCTACCGAATAACAATTATTAAACACAAATTAAAAATCGATTTGTTATCAGTTGATAACCTTTTTCTTATCTATTTATGTTGTCAAGATCTATATTTCTCTATAAACAGCTATTGGGACAAATTAAGAAATTTTCAACGTATTTATTATTATCGATAATAAAATTTCATACTTTAATTTTTTATCTATTTTAAATAAAATATTTTATGTAAATATATTATGAATAATGTATCTAATAAAGCAGTAAATGCTAAAAAACATAGAAAACAAATATTTATACGAATTAATCTTTATTCTATATTTTCATTTTTGAATCAATATCTTTCTCAATATATATATGCTTTAAATGAAAAATAGTTTTTTAAAAATATCTTAAAACATCTATGAAAAAATCTAAAAATCTATAACAAATACAAAATTTTTCATTGATAGCTATCGAAGTATTATTCTAATGTAGCACCTTTAAATAAATATTTTTCTTTGAAAAAACTTTATTTAGAATAAACATTTTCGGAATAAATCGTACAAATTATATATCACTTATGTAAAATATATCAGTTATATAAAATACATCAGTTTTCTCTGGTTTCGTTGTTTATGCATAAAGTTATTTCTTAAACTCGACAATTTAATGGAATTAATCTTTACCAAATTGCAATTTTATTTTATTTGGAGGTTGATCGACGCGATAAAGCGTAGTTGCTACATTAAAATAGCCTTCATACTCAATAGTATCTGGCGTCGTATCAATGTGATAATGTCCACCTAGTTGATTTTCATTAGAGGCACTATGGAAATGCTGTACATTGAGATCTAAATCCTGAAAAAATATTTTTTTCGAGTAAAATATAAATGCGTATAAAATAATTATATAGCAATTATAGCTATATAATTAGATGTTTTTTTTTCGAAATTTACGAAAATTCACTTACCGTCTCGGCGCTAACGAATGTGCCAACAGCTACCAAAGGAGTTTCCATATCGTAGAAATGTAACCAGTTGATAACTTGAGTTTCAGTATTCAGTGGAGTGTCGAAGAAATTCGGCATAACATGCTGTTTTATTTTCCCGTTCTTCATCACAAACATACCACCCAAACCTAAGTTTATAGATATTTCATAGCTATTTGAGTACTCATGCTATAATTTAACTATAAACTATAATGGTATAATTTGCGACTTACCAACAAGATTATCTTTATAATGATTTTCCAAGACTTTTTGCATACATGATATGAAATCCAGTTTTCCGATACGCTTTTTAGCACGTACCCTTATGACTTTTCCTGGGTTGCCTTCGGACACGTATAAATTAGCTATTGATGCAAAAGTTGTTTCATCTTCATTGGCAAGTACTCGCTTAACGCTGCATTCTCCAGTGGATTTGTTTACAAATGCATAATGTGTCCCATTCCTTACTCCATTATTTATCGGGTCAACTTTATTATTTACCTGTATATTTACTTTCATAATAAGCTGAAACAGATATTACATATTTTTTGCCAGTTCTCAAGTAACAGATGTTATTTAATAGATATTTTACTCATAATACACACTTCGCAATTATAACCAGTATGTAGCCATGGTCCAGCTCCTGCACCAATGACGAGTGTATCATGATTGTAATTTAAGTGACGTAGTATCAACTTAATATCATAGAACTTGTCTTCCTGGGCAGTCGGTAAAAGATATGCTGGTCCACCAATATCCAAAATAATTGGATTACCACACAAACCTGAAGAAGAATAATCTCTTAATTTCAAGGAATATGAGTCAGAGATGAATTCTTGATTACTTGTATTTTTTTCTTGCTAATACCTTTACGGTAGAAAAGGTAGGGCCATTCATCCAAATCAGGACAATCTGCTATTTCGATAGTAGCTTCCTCAAAATTTGTAGTCAATCCTCCTGCTAGGACTATTATTACGCAATACAATAAAGATTATTTCTAATAGCAATTTCATAGCTATTACAAAATGTTTCAAAGTGTTTCAGAATTACCGTTCATTAACTCATCGAGAAGAGGTTGATGCAATGGCCTTGTTGTAATGTTTAATTGGGATGGATCCAAAGGTTCTTTACTAAAATCCATTTTAAAAACCAGCAGTAGACTAGTAGATAGCGATAAAATTGATTTGTTTCAGTAAATGGCACTGCAAAGAATTATATTTCAGCTATATATTCAGTTATCGATAGTTTTATCTAATCACAGAGTATAACTCTTCTTTTATATAAACTGATAAGATTTCTCAACTTTGTGAGACAGAATTGCACAAAGATAATTATTATATAATATTTTCGAAGTATATAATAAGATCATATTTAATTATAAAATATAAAATAAAAATTATTGTAAAAACTATTGTAAAAGACTAATGTATCTATGAAAATGTAATTTTTAAATATAAATATAAATATAATAAACATTTTCGGACAAACAAAATTATATTACAATCCGCGAATTAAAAAAATTTACTTTATTGATAGCAAGAAAATGCACAGGTTAAGTAAAGATGGTATTAGGTTAGGTAAAGATTATATTAACATAATAAAAGATATCGAAGTAACGTAAGAATAAAATATTATACAGAATACATTACGTCATTGCGTATATAATATTGCATATTAAGAAATGTTCGTTACAGAAAAACTTTGCAAAACTTTATCGAATGATACATTCTCTTGTGTGCACGTACTATAATATATACTGTGTGTTCCGATATAAACTATACCAGTACAATATTGAAAATTTATACAGTGTTAAAACAAGACACATAATATGACATACATATCGCACACATTAAAAAATGTTCAAACAGCTGTTTCATTGACAGATCGCCTAATCCTGCAGAAATATAATTTCTTTATTCCTTTCGAAGCTTGACAATTTTATCATCCGTATAATTATGAAAATATGAAATACTGTTAAATTTTATCAAAATTAATAATATTCTGACGTGTAAAAAAGTTTCAATATTACCTCGCCTATCTGGCCATTAGACGAATGGATAGACTAAATGAAAAATAGTTTTTTAAAAATATCTTACATCTCTGAAAAAATCTAAAAATCTATAACAACTATATCTATAACAATTTTTCATTGATGGCTATCGAAGTATTATTCTAATGTAGCACCTTTAAATAAATATTTTTCTTTGAAAAAACTTTATTTAGAATAAACATTTTCGGAATAAATCGTACAAATTATATATCACTTATGTAAAATATATCAGTTATATAAAATATATCATCATCAGTTTTCTCTGGTTTCGTTGTTTATGCATAAAGTTATTTCTTAAACTCGACAATTTAATGGAATTAATCTTTACCAAATTGCAATTTATTTGGAGGTTGGTCGACGCGATAAAGCGTAGTTGCTACATTAAAGTAACCTTCATACTCAATAGTATCTGGCGTCGTATCAATGTGATAATGTCCACCTAGTTGATTTTCATTAGAGGCACTATGGAAATGCTGTACTCTGAGATCTAAATCCTGAAAAAATATTTTTTTCGAGTAAAATAAAAATGCGTATAAAATAATTATATAGCAATTATAGCTATATAATTAGATGTTTTTTTTCGAAATTTACAAAAATTCACTTACTGTCTCGGCGCTAACGAATGTGCCAACAGCTACCAAAGGAGTTTCCATATCGTAGAAATGTAACCAGTTGTTAAGTTGAGTTTCAGTATTCAGTGGAGTGTCCGAGAAATTCGGCATAACGTGCTGTTTTATTTTTCCGTTCTTCATCACAAACATACCACCCAAACCTAAGTTTATAGATATTTGATAGCTATTTGAGTGCTCCTGCTATAATTTAACTATAAACTATAATGGTATAATTTGCGACCTACCAACAAGATTATCTTTATAATGATTTTCCAAGGCATTTTGCATACATGATATGAAATCCAGTTTTCCGGTACGCTTTTTAGCACGTACCCTTATGACTTTTCCTGGGTTGCCTTCGGACACGTATAAATTAGCCATTAATGCAAAAGTTGTTTCATCTTCATTGGCAAGTACTCGCGTAACGCTGCATTCTCCAGTGGATTTGTTTACAAATGCATAATGTGTTCCATTCGCTACTCCATTATTTCTCGGGTCAACTTTATTATTTACCTGTATATTTACTTTCATAATAAGCTGAAACAGATATTACATATTTTTTGCCAGTTCTCAAGTAACAGACATTATTAAATAGTTAATTTACTCATAATACACACTTCACAATTACAACCAGTATGTGGCCATGGTCCAGCTCCTGCACCAATGACGAGTGTATCATGATTGTAATTTAAGTGACGTAGTATCAGCTTAATATCATAAAACTTGTCTTTCTGGGCAGTCGGTAAAAGATATGCTGGTCCACCAATATCCAAAATAATTGGATTACCACACAAACCTGAAGAAGAATAATCTCTTAATTTCAAGGAATAAGAGTCAGAGATGAATTCTTGATTATTTATATTTTTTTCTTGGTACCTTTACGGTAGAAAAGGTAGGGCCATTCATCCAAATCAGGACAATCTGCTATTTCGATAGTAGCTTCCTCAAAATTTGTAGTCAATCCTCCTGCTAGAACTATTATTACGCAATACATAAAGATTATTTCTAATAGCAATTTCAAATCTATTACAAAATATTCAAAGTGTTTCAGAATTACCGTTCATTAACTCATCGAGAGGAGGTTGATGCAATGGCCTTGTTGTAATGTTTAATTGGGATGGATCCAAAGGTCCTTTACTAAAATCCATTTTAAAAACCAGCAGTAGACTAATAGATAGCGAAAGAATTGATTTGGCTCAGTAAATGGCACTGCAAAGAATTATATTTCAGCTATATATTCAGTTATTGATAGTCTTATCTAATCACAGAATATAACTCTTCTTTTAGGAACTGATAAGATTTCTCAACTTTGTGAGACAGAATTGCACAAAGATAATTATTATATAATATTTTCGAAGTATATGATAAGATCATATTTAATTATAAAATATAAAATAAAAATTATTGTAAAAACTATTGTAAAAGACTAATGTATCTATGAAAATGTAATTTTTAAATATAAATATAAATATAATAAACATTTTCGGCCAAACAAAATTATATTACAATCCGCGAATTAAAAAAATTTATTTTATTCATAGCAAGAAAATGCACAGGTATAAAAATTATATTAACATAAAAGATATCGAAGTAACCTAAGAATAAAATATTATACAGAATACATTACGTCATTGCGTATATAATATTACATATTAAGAAATGTTCGTTACAGAAAAACTTTGCAAAACTTTATCGAATGATACATTCTCTTGTGTGCACGTACTATAATATATACTGTGTGATCCGATATAAACTATATCAGTACAATATTGAAAATTTATATAGTGTTAAAACAAGCACATATGACATATATATCGCACACATAAAAAAATGTTCAAACAGCTGTTTCATTGACAGATCGCCTAATCCTGCAGAAATATAATTCCTTTATTCCTTTCGAAGCTTGACAATTTTATCATCCGTATAATTATGAAAATATGAAATACTGTTAAATTTTATCAAAATTAATATAATGTCATTTTTTGCTTATTATTAACGTACATATAGCTACAGGTAAAAGTCTAAGAGCGATCATCCCAGATCTCAATCTTTTTCATTTCTAGTCATCCCGACATTTTTCGCGAGACAATGAACCTTGTTTAGTACCGCTATCTGCACTTATTTTAGAGAAACTACGTAGCCATATCAATTGTACGACTGTCGATAAAATTATTATTTGGTGTCCATGCTACATTCACAAAAGTTGCAAGTCAAGAGAATTCCATTTTCCGAATTTAATTTAACTATTTATTTTATTAAATGTATTCTTTTAATATACAATTATAAAGATCAATACATATATACTATCGAAATATTTTTATGTAGAGAAAAAACAGAAATACTGTGTTTTGTCATTTTTTTCCGCGCAAATAAATCATGCAGAAGCTGGAAACTTGTATAAATATATTTATAAATCGAGAGAGAGAGAGAGATACGAGTGTCAATAATAAATGATATTAAAAGATCAGATGTATGCGTGTGTGCGCATTCGATGCGTACATACATCTACGTCTGAACGAGTACGTCTGCGCATACTACATATCTTGAGGCAACATTGTTCATCTCTCAACGTTATCGATATTGCACGTGTAACACGCCGTGTTCAATGGACCGTTCCATTTCCTTGCCAAATTCAGAGGTACCACAATGTGTGTGTGGGTGCGGAGGAGTTAGAAGAATTTCCTACATCGTCCTTTCTTCGTGTGGCTGTACGATTTGAAATTAAAAATAGGTAATCGTAAATAAAATAATGTTTTCTTTATACACTTCTTATATACACTTATAAAAAAAACTTTATATACACTTATAAAAAAAACAGGAACAAGAATAATAAATGTTAAAAATAATTATTTCTTTGCGGAGGAGAAAATGTAAGAATCTTATTTTATTTTTGTAAGCTTGCTTTAGACAATTTATATGTATAATTCGTGGTGAAAAATATTCGAAAGCATCATTTTTTATATAATTTATTTTTTATATTTTTTACATAATTTTATAAACTGTTTATATAGTTTTATATATGGCATTTGTATGTGTGTGTCCTTTAATGATGCATTTTGTATATATGTGTTTTACTCTTTTTAAAATATTTCTTTTTTATATTATATATATTTAGAATTATAAGTAAAATTTGATTCGGATAGTATGTGAAAGGCAGATTTTGATTTTCAATAATTTGAATTTTTATTGTAATTAAGACACAAATGATAATTTTATTAAAATAAAGTCTGCTTGAATTGATTGGGCGAAAAATATACTTTACAATATTTATTTGGCTGCTTGAAATCTATTTTGCGAAAAATTCTTCTGTTTCAATCGCTTTACAATTCAAAAAATAATTCAGCTGTCACATTCTTTTTTAATTTCTCACAATAATCCCACTGAATTTTAATGTTAAAAGTGAGAAATATAATTTTTTTGCACAATATATCAAAATAAATTAATTTTTTTGTTTACTACCATCTATAGTAAATTGGTATAAAATAAAGAATTTATTTCGATTTGCAAAGTTTATAGATAACTATAAATAAATCGATCAATTGTCATAAAATCCATTCTCGTTGAAAATAGGACACATATAGATTGAGTCATGCATTTACTAGTGAAAAATAACAAAAGGAAAAAAAAATTCGATACATCACGAATGCGAGCGAAATGTCATATACGAAGAGAACTAATTTATTTCAAAGTCGCATAATTTCGCTTCTGACGTCTCACAATTTGATATAATTGCTAAATAAAAGTAACACTGCAATAATATTGCGGCTATACTGCAATATTGCTGCAATGTTACAACAATATTAATAATATTGCCGCAATATTCTGTGCTGTATGGGTAAATAAAAAAAATTTGAAAAACAAAATCGCGCTCGAATCATCATCATTCTCATCGGAGAATTTATTGTATCTAAGAGATACGAGCCTCTTTACACTTTTAAGAGAATCATCGAAGCTGTCGCGAATAGTCGCGAAATTAATGCGCGAAATTAACGCTTACAAGCCAATATCTGCACGCAATTGGACCTCGGGGAGGTTCACGTCGTGGCGCCGCTCTCGGGGTTGCGGACGCGCGCGCCGAAGGGGATCTCACCCCGAAGGGGAGAAGGCGACGGATCCATCGCCGCGTGTTGGCGTTCAGTATGCGGTCGCGCATTCCACGCGGGAACACCTGTTTGCTCCGACGGCGACAGCTGCATCGGCTCGCGTGCTACGCGGTCGCGCTCGGTTCGCGGGGGATAGAGAGAGATAGAGGGAGAGGAAGAGAGAGAGAGAGGAGAGAAGGGAGAGATTTAATTTCTTCGATCTCAAAGAAAAAGCACTTGACGCAATTACGTCCAAGTAAATAGTTTCAATAAATGAAGCACTCGTTTTAGAAAGGGTTACACATTCGAAAAAAGAAAACGAGTTCTTTTTTTATTCTTAATGTAAACACACGTTGTTGTTGTTGTTGTTGAAAGGTATCTATTTCAGCCGTTGACGCAGGGGACATCGCAGGAGCAGCGATAAAATAAGATGGTAATAGATTGCGTATATATATGCAATATCCGTATTAACGATACTTTATATAAGGATTTTGGGGTATCTCCTTTCTGAAACGATTGATTCACAAAGTGTTTTATATTTCGTTTATTTTTTAATAATTTATATCGTTATCTCAAGATTTCGTATTTTTTGAAATTAAATTTATATATTATTAATTATTATATATTAAATTTATCTATAATATATTAAATTTATATAGTATTTATAATTATTTAATATTTATATATTAAATTTATATTAAAACTAAACTTATATATTTTTTTATTTAATATTAAATTGCTTAAGTTAAATTGCCAATTGATTAAGTCCATTAATTTATTTAATAAATTTCATCATACTTATATTGATAGTAATAATACGAATTGGTTAATTTTGTTTTGCAAGATAATAAAATATAATCGAGTATCATAATTATGATTGACAAAAATTGTTTTCGCGAAATTCTCTCGTAAGATTTTCAAAACAATAAAAATTTATTAATTATTTAAAAGTACAAATAAAACTGTATTATCAATATTAAATTTTCCTTCAAAAGATTAATAAATATTCCGATATGTATTCGAATATATTTTGTCATTAAGCGATTAAATAAGTGATAAGTCATATAAATCCTTTTTCTGAAAAATCAAGTTTTCTGACTCAAGTGCTTTCTCTCTGGGGCCAGAGGTACAGAATAGGGAAAGGAGGAGAGATACAGGTAGAAGTGGGCGATAACGAGAAAGATAAACAGAAAGAGGACAAACTCGAGACTTCGACCACGTGTCCCTCGTTCCTCTCGATTGTACACGCGTAAGAACAATTTTCTCTATTAAAGTGTGCGCGAGATATCCCTTCCGATATATCTCTTTATTACGGGAACTGCTCTCGACAAGAGTGCTCCCTTTCTGGATGTCATCTTTGCACGATGCACTTGGACCCACCGGTGATTGTCGCAAAAATTTGAGATTTAATTAATTAACTCTCAAACTACTGGATAATTTTTCAAAATCTCGCTTATTTAAATTGTTAAAATTATTGCTTGAATGGCAAACATATGCCGTTGGTAAAAAATAGAAAGGTTGACAATTTGATATAGGTAAAAAGGCAAAACTCTAAAAAAACAGTATTGCAAGAATAAAAATTTTAAAAATAGATAGATATATTTTTGAATAACAATTTTTAGATAATATATTAAATTTAGATTATATATTAATATAACGACCAAAATATATACTCAAAAAATATACGAAATAGAGAAAAGAGCGAAATACACTTACAGTGACAACCTGTTACGGTGTTATTAGTCTCAGCTTATTTATAAATAATATTTTCAAAGACTACAAACTTAATATGATTTTTCTTGACTCCCATAGAATTTTATCTTAAGATACGCCGGAATTTCATTAATAATTAACGAAATTTGATGCATTACACCAGTGGGTCAATCAGTGTTAATGGATGAATTTCTATGTGATACGAACACGACGATACCAATTAATCTTATTACCTCTTTATGTGTAACACGAAAGCAGTAGTGTTCCATTAATAGTGACCCGTCGATGCATCAATGTTTAACATAATTGACACCTTAATGCATGTTTTATATATTAAGTGCAATAGATACTCTTCATTAAATGTCAGTCGAGTACGCGTTGCATTTCACTTCATCATTCTTTGGAGTATAATAATCAGAAAATAATAAAATATATATCATATCAATATAGGTAATATAAAACTAAATAATAAAACAATAATATCATAATTTAATAATGAAACTGAACAGATAATGTACTGTAAAATTTAGATACTGAATATTTATTAATATTAATATATTATGAAATTATTATTACATAAATATTATATGAATATTATTATATAAAATATAAATATTATTTAATAATATTTATATTTATATTATTTAAAATATATTCGACGATTCTTTTTGCAGGATGAATAATTATTTCTTATGATGATAAATCGTGCTTTTCGAATAACATTATTATATTTATTATAATTTAGATTGCAGTGCATTCGTAACTGATAAGTTTGATTATTATTCGGGAATGCTGCGAAAAATCAGAGTTCGCTTTTTGTTCAAGGATTTCTATCATCTCAACGCAATCGCGATCGCGACCACGGAAGTTTGCGGTCATGAAAGGACCACCCGACTTCATTCGCTCTGACGAGCATAATAAGAGCGTGCTATTAAGAGCGTTGTTACGATACTCGGTGCGCGAATCGAGACAAGTCCTTTCAACGACGCTCGCGTCAACGTCGCTTAACTAACCGTACTTAACTACGTTCTGTGTCCGAGAGGCAGACGGGAATAATTTAGCACACAAGTAAGTGAGAGAGATTTATTTATATAATATTCCAGGGGTCTTATTCTTTAGAAAAATGTGGAAAACTGGAATTCTCCGGGATTTCTTTCGTGCTTGAAGAAATTCTCATTCTCTGATTTTATCAGAATTTTATTGAAACTCGGGAAATTTTTAAAAAAATTCTCTCTGATAATATTACTCTTACATTATAAACAATCGAGAATCTATTGGTAAGCCAAGTTGTGAATTATATATTTAAAATATATTATAAATTTATATATCCGTCTTTCTTTATATATTCAATGTCTTAAGAAAATATAAATTGGATATGCGATATTCTTTATTATAATTTGTAGTGATAAAAATGAAAATATTGTACAAGTGAAAAATATAATATATATAATATATGCGAAAGTTATTTAGTTTTTTCAGTATATTTGCAAATCTAGCACTTGAAACTTAAGTTTCTATATTTTTTTTCGTATGAGTGAAAAGCATTAGACAGTGCATATAATAAAAAAATTTATTTTAGAAATTGCATCAACAAATCTTTAAAAATTTTTTAAATATTCTCTTTATTTGGAATTTTAAAAATATCCAGGAACATCAGAAACTTTTTTACAAAATTTGAGTAGACACTCTGTATCTAATTTTAAAAGGATTTTTGCTTTAACAAATATTTCAATTTAGATCTAGTTAAGCTGTTCAATTAATGTGACAGTCGGTCAAATCTTTTAATCAAGAAAAAAATCAATTTATCAATTATCCGCGTTTTTATCGTAAAAAGAATACATACGGAAATATCTGTGTCATAATTTTGTCTAGCTACACTGAGAAGAAAAAGCTGTTAACTTGACTAAACCGTTTAATTAAACTATTATTTTTTTAATTGAAATATTTAAATATTTAAGTTGAATAGATGTCACGTTAGATTTAATATGTATTATTTAATTTAAATAGTTAAATATTTTAATGAAAAAAATAATAATTTAGCTAAATGGTTTAGTCAAGTCAACTTTTTTCTCAGTGTATATATTACGTTTTCTCAGTGTATATATTACGTTTTATGAGATGGCCAATGTTAGTTAATCGCAACTACTTCTCCCGATAAAGTGGAGAAGCCGAAGAAAAGACGGGTGCTGCGAACGCTATCTCGTCCTTCGAGATCATAATTGAATTTCGTTTCACTGCCTCCCGGTATATGTGGCACAAATGCGTAGTAATTTATGCTTCGTCCGTTGTCCTACTCGCTAAAACATTAAACAGATATGTGTCGTGAGTCGGACACATCTCAGTTGCAAGGAAGTCTCAGCTGGATTCACATTCACACCCACATGATCCACTGTGGTCTAGGAACTCTAGCTTAATTAACAGCGAGTTACGTTACAGTACTTGTATATTCCATTAATTATCCTTCACAGTTGCTTTTTGAAGAGTTATTATTAATATTTACATAATTATAAATTATTTATCATTTTTTTACAAATTCGTATTTTAACCTTTGTATATATTTTTTTATAAATTCCTCTATACCTTATATCAATGGTATTTTCATGCAATACAACAGAACATGATATAATTAGATTCCTAAATAGATTTTGCTGTAACAATTTAAAGAAAGACAGATTTATAATTATCTTGGAAAATATTAAAATACCTTTGCCGATGAATACAATTTCGACAAAAATTTTAGTAACGATAAAAACTTTAACTTTAATTTTAGTAACGATACAAATTTTAAAAATAACTTAAAAAAGTGTAATCACTTTTTTGACAGTCATATGATTTGAGAAAGCAAATGTCAACAATTAATGAACTGGCTAATTTCTACTTAATCGCTAATTAGTCTCGAGCGAATCTTCTTTTCTCGTACACCCCCTCAACGTTTCGACCTTGCCGTTATTTTCGTTATCGATATTATGACGTCGTTATCATTTGCGTGGCGCGCGACTGGAGTCTGCGAAGGCTGCGGAGCGGAAGTGATAACGTCAGAAGCATTCGATCGTTCGCAACAACTGTCAGCGGTGGCTATCGATAAACCGACATAGAAGCATGAATGTCAACAAGTCGGGCGGACATACCGGAAGCATCTATCGCTTTTACGTTTGATCGCCTTCCGCATTCGATTCGCCGAGGGGGAGAAGGAAGCACGCCTCGAGATAAGATTAATTCGCGGAGATTGCGGATTTTTTCATCGATCTCTCGAAGAATGTCGAAATAGTGTACTTTCCATATCTTTCACTCTCGTTTAAGTTCGATCTGACTGTCCACTTTAATGACGTTTTAAATCCGCGCTTCATTATCGAGATATTTATCGAAGATTCACGCGAAGCTCTAATCTTTATTAAGGAAGATTCTTCCTCTCTCAGTGGATAAAGATTCATCGATTATTCCTGGCGTGTTAATTTCTTGCCTGACAGACTTCATACAAAGGGGAAGATTATACTGTCGTGAGAAAATCATCTTCCTTGGGCTTTACTTAACGGATCAGGACATTGCTATTCCTCTCCCCCTTCAAAAAGAACAAGTATTTCGAAAATATAAATATAAATTAGATAATAACAAGTCGATTAACACGATCAGCTGATGTATATTTTAAAAAAAACAGGATATCATTTCTTTCGAAAATCTCAACGAAGTATCACAGATGTTCGCGTTACTTGGGAAAGATCCCAACTTGATAATCCTATCGACGTGTATATCAATACTTTGAAACTAGAACAATCAACGTCACTTTGTATCGAACCTAGATGGGAGAAACTACAATGTATTTCGAGAAAGCAGTCTTTTTTTCTTTATCCCTTAAACTTCACAAAATGATTAATTGTATCAAGTTGAAAATATATACGCATACTTTCCATAATTTTGTCAAAGTTAAATTTTTTAAATATTTTTGACATATTTTTGAAACGATATTTTAAAATGATTTATAAATTTCGTTAATTCTGATTTATTTTTTTGTCAGGCTTTCGCAATTGATCATTTCATTAAAGATAGATTTTTTGTAATCAATTTTTTTGCGCGAAGAAATTTTCGCGAAATATTAATTTCCGATATTGAATTCAACGCAAAAACATCGTTTCTCTTATTATCCATATTTGTCCAATATTGGTTCCAATTATTCGATAAATTTTGTCAACATTTGCTCAAAAGCCGCGAATCCAATCACTAATTGGAGCCTAACATTCGATCCTAGCACGTATAGCCTCGATGCCGATGGGTCAATTGACCGAGCAATTAATTAATTGATACACACCACCGAACTTCTGCTTTATGTGTGTGCAACATTTGGTACATTGTTAGCAATATGTCGATTGCCACATTCTAGTATAATAAACCTTTGTATATTTGATCCGTGCGATATACTTATATCGCAATTTAAATTAGATTCATTACGAATGATCATAATGCATAATAAATAATGTATAAATTAGATTTATTACGAATGATCATAATGTATAATATATAAGATTAAGAATTTATAATTTTGAATATTTCGAACGATAATCGCGTGCCCAAACTTAAAGTACAAGACAGTTAAAACTAAAGTCTAAATTTAAAGTTTAGACAGGCAATAAAACTCTTACTCAGGCAATAATACTCTGAAGTGAAAATAATAATAAAAATAAATTCAAGGATTGTAAAAATAATCTGAAATATCGAATATTATTCGACTGATAACTTTAAGGAAAATTCTTACCAACATTTTTCTCTTACAGGAATAAGTTTATAGAAAATTTTCGTCCACCGGAAAATGCGTTAGACTGAATTCTGCTTTCAAGCCTCATCGACTTTTTACCATGACATTAGATTCAAGAGCCACTTAGGTACACTCGACAACAAGTTACAGGCGAACTGTCATGGAGTACAGAAATACTTTTCCGTGGATTCCTTTAACGACAATGGACTTTTAGTAAATAGACTCTACCTCTTACAATTTTTATTCGAATGTCTCAAAATTTTGTTGCGGAAAAATCTAAAGATTAAACTATTAAAAACTATTAAAAATTTAATTACAGCAAATTTAGATTATTTTTATGTAACTTATTTCTTTGTAATTTAAAATCTTTCTCGTTTTTTTAAATTGACATTTGATTTTTACTCTTTATTTCTCTCGTTCCAATGTCCGTCTATAAAATCATAAAAGTGAACATTTTTAGCAGGCAGGATTTTATATTCATGACCTAATATATTTTAAAAATATTTTATACAGTTGCAATTATTAACTGATTTCTATATGGGAGCTTACAAGGCGTGAACGAATAACATGGAATTCGAATAAAATGGTCCAACTTTTCCAAAAACAAAAAAAAAAAAGAGTAATCATGTCACTCGTGACTGAACGGAAGTTTAACGATGCAATCGAATGCAATCCAAAAAAGCATCTATCACGCCTGCGATCCATCCGCGCAAAAGTGCCCCGAAAGTGATTAGCCACTTTGATCGTCGGCGCGTTCGCGCTGACGATTGCAGGCTCGCATTATTTTGTAGCAGTCGCCATTGAGAGAGGTATTTTTTACGGTGCGATCATCCCCTTCCCCCCTTCCGTACCACGCGCGCCGCACCTTTATGTCGCGGCTGAATGGACAGGACGAGCAACGACTGCCGTCTCTTCTATGAGATAATAGGCCCGAGAGGCCGTGTCCGTGCCATTCAGGCCCCGGATCCCGACGACCGGATTGAATCAGGATTGAGAGAGCGAGACCGAGAAGCGAGAGGCGAGGGCGGACATCGTCGTGGCCCGCAGTCATGCTCACCATACACAACGAGTGAGTACATCGTTTCCGGAAACATCCGCATAGTCGCCTCGGGGGAAAAGCGGGAGAAGCGGGGTTGACGATCGGACATCCCTTGTAACTTGAAAGGCGGTTTACGCGGCTCGATGACCCGAAAGCAACTCGGTCCTATATTCTTCACGGTACCGACGACGTTCTCGTAATCGAGGGGCTCGATCCTTTCGACGTGATTCAGTTTTGTACCCACTAAAGATTTATTAAGTACGCTTTTAAGAGATTGTGCGATAGCGAGAGCAAAGAAACGATCGTATCCCGCCTTCTCCCGATCTGATCTCTGACCGACATCGCATCAGATGTCGGTCAGAGATGCCTCGTCTTCGACCGCCGAGCTTCGTCGCTACTTTTTGGCAGACCCAGAGCTTCTCGTCGGCTTCTTCCGGGCTTGCTAATGGCTGCGCATTAAATCGCTGCGAATCGAGGGTGAATATGTGAGTATGTATTTCGGTACATCTGCATCATGCATGTTGCAACGAATCGCGTGAAACGAATGTGTGTCGCCTCGATGACACGAACGCTACATGCTTTTAATGCTATTGTACATGATATAAAACTTAATTTTTGTCCACTCTTCTTGTCCGACAAAAAAAGGGAGAAAGAGAATTTTTGCAGTCAATTTTTCAAGTTCTAAACTTAATTAGAAATAAAAAAAGAATTTCGCTACAGAAAAAAAGTACCAACGAATAATGAGGTCTTATTCGTCATTTAATTGGAAATAAATTTCAATTAAAGTTTGTAATTTAAAAGTTGACTGCAAGGATATTTAATGTAGAAAAAATTGGTATTTAGTTGGGCATTAATTAAAAAAATGATCCTCATCTTTAACTCATCAGATGAAGGATTTTCTAGGGACATCTTATATATCATCATAGCTTTATCGTCGTGGCTTTTTATATCGCAAACGACTTAAACTTGCGTGAACTTCAACTTATGTTTTACAACTGCAATCGGAGTACAAATTATATGCTATTAATCCACACGTATTATACGCAGGTACATTGCTCGCAATCTCCTTCTCCTCGTATACAAAGTAAACAACAATAACAACAACGCGAGATAATTAATTTTCGCAGCGAAGGGTTAAACAGGATTTTCCGATAAAGCAACGTTCGCCGATAACGTGAATAATCCCACGTGCAGAAGGGCTTAATTAATCCAACCTGTTTACGAGAGTCTCTCCCTCTCTCTCTTTCTCTTTCTCTCTGTCCCTTCGGAAATACAAACGAACTCGAGATCCTCGCCGTGCTTTACAACACGGGAAAGAGGGGTATATAGGGAGTATTTCAGTTTCCTGACGCGACGAAGCCGTTAATCCACGCGGTCATTCAATAACGAAAAGCAGCTTTCGAGCAGCTTCTAGATGATTTGCATCGTTCGACAGCATTGCAGGTCGCGAATCGTCGTTGCGTGTTGATGAAGCTTGACATGCGAAAGAGATTGCCGGCTAACAAGATGGCTCGATCATCACGATATTTGTGGGACTCGCACGAATCATAAATAGAAATTGCTTTGATTTTAAGAAAAAATACAACAATCAAATATATGTGTCTAATATTCGTTAATTGAGTATCATTATATTTATAGTATATGTTGAGTATAAATAAAATGTGTATGTTGTGTATGTGTGTGTATTATGTATATTATATCTTTCTAATAAAAATATAAAAGGGATTTTTTGTGTAAATACACACAGTAAAAAATTGTGCGTCCATATGTTTAAAATTTTCTTGTATTATCACGTTTTGATTAGTACTTTAATGTAAAATTAACATACAACTTATATGTTATTATTTTTATAACGTTTTCATGTGTTACATTTATGTCAACTTCATAACTTAACACTTTGTATATGTCTCTTAGAAATGGAATATTATTTTGAGTATTTTTAACATAATCACATTTTAAACAATCTACATATCTAAAGTCAATTTAACATTCTAAGAAAAGTTAAAGTGAATCTTCAAAAATAATCTTGAACTTTGACATACAAAATAATCAAATTTATTAAAATCAAATGTTTCTATTGCAAATAATTTAAGTTATAATAAAATAATTGTTATTATATATTAGTGTCTTACAACAATTCTTATGAGTTATTGTAACTATTTTTTCATGTAATTTTTAATTAATTTGTATATGTTACTTTTACATTACACTTAAAGTCACAATAACAAAAATAAATGTAAAGTATTGTGTCAATTATTTAACATTTTTAGTTTGTCAATAAGTAACATGTGACGAATGAGTTACTTTAATTTAAAATTTAGAATGGACTTTCTGGGATATGTGAAAAATGTTAAAATTAACATTTTACTTTTTCCTGTGTATTCACATTTAAATATTCTCGAAATTGCTTATATTACATATTTATTTTATTATCTTTGCGCATGTTTTAGATGTTACCTTTAGATTTTGTGCCGACTGCAATAAATGCACTTTAATTCTTCGCATATTGTATTATTTTGATGTGCATGTTCAAGTAGAGGAAAAAGAGAACGAGATTATTATTCAATAATTAAATTTTAGTCATTTAAATCCATTCGTAATAAACATGCCTTTTGATTGAATCAAAAATATGTAACAGGAACATATAATCAAACAAACCAAAGAAATACCCGCTTTGTAATAGTATCGGATTCCTCCGCTGCATTCTTGTCAGTATCGAACTTAATTCTCATCGATCATATGACATTTGCCCCACATTATCATGCACTTATGCGATACTTTGAAAATTAGCACATTCTCATACAATTAATTTACGATTTTCCTGAAATACAATCACGCGAGATGAATGCGATTTCTCATTTTCTCGAATCCTCGCATTCTAAAATACCAAGCCTGTCGACGAATTTAATAGGGCTAAAATTCTTTGGAATCTCAGAATTCATAAGACAGATTATTTTAGAAAATGACGATAAAATTGAAGGGCCGCAAATCCATCAATAATTTCTCCGAACATTTTAATGCGCTCTCATTTCGCAAATCTTCAGATTTCTGGTTGCTCGAATCATTAGCGATACAAGAATGATCTTTGTCGAGGATATTTTCACGATGTTTCAAGGATGGCCAATGATTGATACTCGAGAACACGTTTATCGTAGAATGCAAGTTCTCATAGACACAATGTCCAGCATGTGCGCATTTATATGTTTGCCTTCGATATTCCTCAATGGTTCTCAAAGTTTCTCGGACATTGTTGGTTCATCTCTTTCGCAAATTCTCTCTTGCAATCCCAGTTATCATAAGTTATTTAAAAAGAAAATAGATAAATTCTTGTTCAATGATAGGAATGTTTCAGACCTAAACTATTAAAAATAATCTTTTAAATAGTTTTACCTAGTATATATATTTGAAACTTTATTTTTTTGTAAAGATGTGTAAAAAGTCTAAAAATATATAAAATATTTAAAAACGGAGTAATTAAGATTATTAAGTAAATATTAATTTTAACAGTAATTTTTTTATATGAAATAATATTTAAAAAATTTCCAAACTTGTATTTGAATATTTCAAATATTACTGCTTGTATTATTTAAATATTATGTAATAAAAATATCATTTTAATTCATTTGTTCAAAAAATGTATCTTATTTCAAATTGCAAAAATAATTCCAATATGATTTAATAATAAAATTTCAACAAAAGCAAACTCTAAGAACTCAAACCGTATGGAAGAAATAAATTTAGTAAAAGTTTATATAAAAATAGTATTTAAATACTTTATTGTCTATAGAATAAAAGATTTCGACAGATTATTTAAAATATTTAACAAGAAATAAACTGAAATATTTTATAAAAAATTTTAATGTAAGATTATTTTTTTATATTAATTATTCCTATGAACTTATAAAAGAGAAATATTTTTATAAACAACTTATATAACATAAACATAATTATAAACAAATAAAAATTCTATTTTCAATTTTATTTCATAACGTTGTCTAATAATTTGTTCATAAACTATTATAATAAATATTATTTCCAGATTCTCTTGAGAAAATATATCGAAATTTACGAGATATCAACGTGCATTTCAGATTTTCGGCAAAGATTAAATTAATTCGATAAATCGATACGAGAGTTATTAGATTTCGATGCAAGGTTGGCATTGTTGGTAACGCGAGAGGATAGACAAAGACACGCTCCGTTGCAATTAACTGCAAGGTGGCCGTTCTCCCTCTTGCCCTTACCAGAACAGGCAACACGCCATTAGATTATGCATCGACGTTGTGTAGTGCAGTTTATTACCGTGTTACTACGCGCGAAAGCAAAGGGTAGAACGGAGATGCACATTGTGTGCATCGCGTTACAACCCTCGATAACCAGACTGGTTACCAAGAAGCCAATTCCCTTACATTTTCGAAAGACGGTTATCCAAAGATATATGATGTTTTGGATTGTTAATTGAGCGCGAAAAATAAAAACAAAGAAAGGATTTCTTATTGAACATTTAAAAAATTTAAAAAATTTTTCTTTCGTAAAATTAAAAAACATTAAACGTTTAAAGAAATGTACAAATATCTTAGAGCTAGTAGAAATGAGTTTGTTTATTTTAAAGGTGTGATAAAATTCAAAAACACACAAAAGTATCTAAAATCCAAAAATCACATCTCTCTCGCAACACGTGAACATTCGGAAAATTAAATATTTAAAAAAATCCAGATCAAAATAGTTGAAAATTTTGAATTAAGATAAAAATATGAAAATAAAGAAACAAAATATAAAATATAAAATTAAAAATAGAATTGTTTGAAATTAAAAAGATTTATAAAATCATAAAAGAATCTATAATAGAAAATTTTGAATTAAAACAAAAATATAAAATTAGAAAAAAATATGTAAAATTAAAAGTAAAATTTTTTTCGAATCTTCAAAAGTTGTCTGAAGCTCAAAAGACATATAAAAACCGTAAAAGATATACGTAGTTTATCGATTACTTTCTTAGACGCATTGGATGGTGGTTTTTTCCACTTCAATATGAAATTAATACCACTGCGTCAATTTCGCCTCCATTTTATAACGATGAGAGTTTTCCTGCCGTTGACAAGCGAGAAAAAATATATCGACGGATTATTAATTTTTTCCTTCCTGATGGGTAAGGCTCGTGTTACAATCAGACACTATTCAGAGAGACGACATTGCTCTCGGCAGCTTTCAACTTTGCCACCTTCGGGACGACATCAAAAGATTCGCAACGAAGTCAGAAACTCGTTCGTCGCGATCGCTTAACCCTTTCTCTCTTCCTGTACCTCTCGTGAATTCTAAAACTAACGAGGCGAGAGAAAAAGAGATGAAACAGATCGCAGTAGCAAAGTCTTTTTATTTTACCTCTGGGAATTTTCCTCGCGCTGTGAATTCCAGTTCTCGTTGCGTTTACGAGCTATTTCGATTTAACGGTAGAATAAATCGTGGCAAAATGAAATTGATCCACTTTAACGTGTAATGTCATTTATCCGTTAAAAATATTTCGTCGAAATCGATATATGGAAATAAGTAACGAAACTCCTCTCTTTCCGTTTGTGAATTTCAAAGCGGATTTTCGGAGAAATTTAATTCGAGGCATTTTCACTAATATGACCTGATTTTTAGTAAGACAAATTTTTCCTCATTTTCTTTAATCAACGACACTGATGTCAGATGTTGCTGTACTTGCTTTATTTTTCCTTGGAACTCAGTAACGCAGAAGAAAACAAAGTAAAGAGAAGTGAGAAGAAAAGAAAGCGAAATAGTCGAGTTTTTCTAGATTTTAATAGAATAATAATTGCGTGATTATTTAAAAAAAATAAAATGGGGAAAAGAAGGATAGGATGCATTTCCGCTCTCTGTTATCGAACTTAAATTGCAAGTTCGCAATTGCACAGCTTTGAACGGAAAAGCTTCCTTTTTCGCGACGTAGCGTGATTGTGAGGCATCTCCATCGCGTACTTGCATCGCGTTTAATTACAGAGATCTACCGGCGGGCTTGTTATCCGTTGGCTTGTCATTATTATCGCGATTGCGAAAGCTCGGACGTACGCGATGACGTATCGTCCCAACAAGTCGGAAATAAAAGCACGATCCTCATCGCGAACAATTCCACCGCGAAACAATCGAGCTAATAATGGATTTTTAATCGAATTTCCTCCTTGGCTTTTGAACTTCAATCATACGATCATTACGTACATGTATCCGGATTGTTGAATCGTCCTATATTTTTGCTCTGTTAAATCTACGTTAAATTCTCTTAAATTTTAAATGTTTCTTCTCTCCCTTGATTCCTAGATTGATCTGATTTCGGATTCGACTCTTAGCGTTTTTCACATTTTGGGATCTTTTGTGTGTGTGTGTATGTGTTACATGTATATTCTGAAATTTTGAGACCTTAAAAATTTTCAAGGATACTAGACAGAGTCCTTTTTTTATTCTTATAATACAATCTTATATTTTAAAGTTTATTTAACAATCACTTAAGAAGATTTTAAGAATTTTTCATAGTAATAAAAAATAATTACACATTCTGCTGCAAAGTATTGCTTCTCTTTTTTTACTCTACACTATCATTATTACGTTTATATTATTTATGTATTTATTACGTTTATATTATTTATGTATTTTGTACTTATATTATTTATGTATTTTCCGTGATGCATTATTTCCATCCGCAATATGTATATTTTTTGCCTGCATTTTTCATTTGCATCTCTGAATAAATAACGGATTCTCTATTTTATTCAGTTTTGAATCACATTTTATGAGATGTCTCGCGTACAAAATATTCAGCATGCGTCATACGCAATAATTTCCCATAAATTCGGGAAGAGAGATAAATTTTCGACTGAACAATTTAATTTCCACGGCGTTCTCTTCAGCATGTCACCACGCAACGGTTCGTGCGTGACGGAAGTGAGCTCCGTGAGAAGTCTGTCGTCGGACGATGTTTCGGGGACCAAGGTGAATCGGAAGAAGTCGTGCTGGGCCCGCGCGACCAATCCGGCCCATCGTCGCGGTCGGCGGATCCAGTTGCTGCAGATGCTGGTGTTGCCCTTCATCCCGATCCTTGCTCTGATCGTGCAAACCGCCAACACTCTTCACGACATCCTGATCTATCGTCAAGAGGTGTCCGACATAGAGTCTCAGGTAAGCAGAAAGATCTAGTACCTCTGATTTTTTAATTAATAGACTTTCGAAACAAAATCATTTTTTCTCGATTCCGTATCATTTATTCTAAAGTAAAGAGACATTTTATAAAATATTCCGATTTAAAACTTTCGAGAGTAAAAAAAGACTAAATTCCGAAACTATTTGTAATTCAGTTCCGACACAATTTTCTCTTTACAGAGTGGAAATAATATTGTTTCATAAAATTCCGATTCAACTTTGAGAGAGAAAATGGTAAATACATTTTTGTGAAATATTTTTTTTCGGCAGAGCTATTTATGAACATATTTAAATTTTTATTCAACAGCACTATATATTTTACATCATTAATATTTCTGGATCAAATCTTAGTAAACAAAGCGCTTATTAAAACTTTTTCAATCAACATTTTGTTTTGCTTTAATTTATATTTTATTTTGAAATAATTTTACTTAATAATATTATTCAAAAATTTGTTCCTTATTTATTAATTAATTTATTATTATTTATTAATTAATTAATTTGTTTATTTACATTTTTTTTATCACTTTTATTTTCTTATTAGATATGTATATATTTTATATTATAAGTCATAGAATTAATCACACCATTTTTATTTTTAATTAAATTAAGTTAAATTTAAATTGAAATTTAAATTTAAATTTAAATTTAAATTTAAATTTAAATTTGAAAATTTTAATTTCAATTTAAATTTTCTTAGTAGCTGTTAAATAATATAATTTATATTTATATATATTTGTATACCAAGAAAAAGTTACTAGAAAATTAAACATTCTCTTCAATTAAATACTCTCTTCAAAGATTCCATATATTAAGATAATTTACACAATAATTTCGACGCGCGTTCTATAGCTAACTGAGTTTCACCGAGAAACTCCAATTTTATGTACTATTATTTCTCGACATTATCTAAAGTAAAGGACGAATAGCTACACGTGCGCATGCATTGCCTACCTTGATAATTATGTAAAGAACGCAATTAGGCTGGGTTGATATAATTCACCGGTGATCGATCGGTAATGGGGGTTCGTTTAAAAGTAACAAGAGAGGATGAACAAATATACTACACCTGGTATTTTTTACGTTCTCTGAATAATTTCGTGCTATAATTAAGATGTTTCTATGATCTTCGCAATTAATTGCTTTAATTTTCTCATTTTCCAATTGCATTTATTTTTAAAAGGACTTGTCGCTTATATATATATTAAATTCCATAATGTAATAATATTTTCAATTGTTTAAAATTATCTCTATATACTTTTTGAGAAAGTATATGTGTCGTATTTTCAGAAATTTCAATTTCATAAATTGATCTTTTATTTCCATGATCTGGAAATTTATATTAAATATCACTCCGCGATATTCTCTGCTAAAAATATTCGAATATACGATAAAATGTTTTATCACGTGAAACACAAAACAGAAATATCTGAAGATATTTGACAAGATCGAACAATGGTTAATTTTTCTCTTAAATAATCAGATGAAAATGATGAAAATATAAGTCATTGGCTCACGATATAAGTAAAAAATAATGTTTAAATCGCCTTTCGAGGCTTTAAGACTAAGGAGAGAGCAAACTCGCGAGATCATTGATCATTGATTCGCAATTTCTCGATCGAGCGATAGCGATAATATGATCGACGTACCTATGCATATGTGTCACGTTTCTATCACGAATATACGGTGACTATGGTAGCGACCGATTTCGTTCTCTGCAGACCAAGGGCTATTGTCAATGAAAACGTCGAGTGGTCGTTGAAAATCGCGCGGAGAGCGAGATTCGATTTCCGATCGGCGCAGCGGCAAAAGAAATTACGTTACAGCCGTTCTCTCGCGCGCGACAAGCCGGCTATTTTTATTTTATTCTCTCACGCACGTTCGGATTATCGACTCGCGCGTACACATGCCACATTGTCGCCCTTTTGCTACTTCGTGGCGAGGTGAGCGCGTGCAGGGGAGGATGAAATAAAATAAGATGAGAACGATCGGAGAGGAGAGGGACAGTGACGTAATTGATGTTTAGCCTACCCTCGCGTGAGGAATCTAATCTTAGCAGAATATCAAGTATATCTTGGGGTTATTCTTAATTATTTTATCCCTCACTTTTTTATTTAAATTCAAAAATTTCGTATTAAAATTATCATTATTTCATAGAATAAATTCCATCTTTCAAAATCTTTATAGATAATATAGATAATAAATTATATAGATAATAAATATTTTTACACATAGATAACTATAATTTAATATCAAATTATTATAATATATGTATAAATAAATTAAGATTTTTTTTTAATTACATATCAAATTGAGGTTTAAGAAATCCGTGCAATAAGTGATTTTTGATCGAGCATGTGTGAATTTTAATTAAACTGTAAATATAAATATTATTTTTGTGTCGCGTGTTATTCTATCTCGTGTCGTCGTAAAAAGGAAATTTCCACGCTCTGCCTAATCGCCAATTTACAAAGGTATTAAACGCGACCCTCGTAGGAATAAAGGGTAGATCAATCGAAATTCATCGCAGCGGGATGTTAACTGCACGGTCTACGATCTCGAGTTACTTGTTTGACGAGCGTTGAAAGAATGGACGTCATGTCGTATGTTTGCGATCGTCCTCGCGCACTTGTAGACCGACGAGTGTTTCGCACACGTCCATGCACTCTGCACTCCGACACACCCTCTATAATTTAACACACTGCGAGGAGCTCCTGGGAATTTCTCTTTGAAATGAATTTTAAAAACTTCTCTACTCGTTTTTTTTATACACGTCAGATTTTGTAATATCAAACTTTGTCATCAAGTTAATAATTAAAATTTAACGTTCTATAAATTATATTTATGATAGATGTGCTCTAAATGCTCACATATAATAAAAATATGAAGCTATTATATAAATAAAATTATATAAATATGAAGAATTTACAAAAAATAATTGATATTGAAAAGTTATGGTGTCGAGATTTTATTAAATCGATTATATGTATGTAGAATTAAAGGGTTATGCCTAATCAGCAGACTGAAAAAAGTATTATGTTTGGAAATTTTTTTTTGAAAATGTAATAATTTTTTTTTACAAATAAATTTTATTCGAAAGTACAAACATTAAGGATGTTATTATATTAAAAAAAAATAAAATATTAAAAAATATAAAAGTTATAACTATTAAAAATATAAAATAACTATTAAAAATATAAAAGTTATAACTATTCTCCCGGATATTGTTTTTTTAAAAAGCGCTGCGCGGTGAATAGTGTTATTCGAAGCTGATTCATCTAATATTAAAAATTCAATAAACTGTAGTAAATGTATGAAATTGTCTAGTAGATGAACGAAGGATTAATCGAAAAATTGTTTTGAGACAAAATGGCAGCCACTTTGACACTGAGATCTTTTTCGAGTTAAAAATGGCTCATTTTTTATTAAATAAAAAAAAGTATTCATTAAAAAATAAAATCCTTCGTTTATCTAGGTTTTATGTAGAAGAAGCCTGTTAAATTTCAAACAAATCAATGTAACAGTTTTCGAAATATCTTGCTCACCGTCTTTGAAAAAGTGATTTCGAGAAAAACGCGTTTAAGATTTGTGTCAAGTTTACGTTTAAATAAAATGCAGATTTTTTAATTTACACAGAATCATTTATTCCGAGCTCATATAATTTTAGTTTATTTAAATCTTCATATATTGACTTGACAGTCGTGTTTAAACGAAATTATATACTTATTCTGGCGCTTCATGAAACATACACTTATAACTCCATCAATTTTATTCGATTAATTTGAAACTTTTAGGAAATATTTTCAATATGATATACTTTAAGGAAATGTAAAAACATAAAAATCGGTTTTTTTTATTTTTATGACTAGGCATAAAAAAGAAACTCAATGAAAATAATTCTAATAATTCTAATAATTCTAAATTCTAATATTTCTAAATATTCTACAAAATATTCCATAAAGAAGAAATAATTCTATAAAGGAGAAATTTGATAAAATAAAAATGTGTAGAAATAGAATTCTATTCTTGAAAATAGTCGAAAATCTTTAAAAAAATTACAGAAAGCTAAGATAAACTCTAAAATTCGAGAATTCATGCATCCAATGTCAAATAAAAAATCGTTGAACTAGAAATTTTGAAATTGAAAACAATAATTCCGGAAATATATATATTTATATAAAAATATAATAGTTAAAGAAATTTCATGTATAATAAAACTAATATATTTTAATTAAATGTAACGATTATAAAATCACAGCTATCGCAATGTCTTACTGAACTCACGTTCGTCCTGATCTTATCCTTTTGGCAACTTTGATAGAATCTCATCAGAGTAAACGATAATCCGCTTGAGACATCAAGATACCCGCCTTAAAAAGTTTGTAGCGCGCTAGTAAAGTGTCGGATTATTCTGCTGTATACGAACGCTTTATACGAACGCTGTATATGAACGCTTATTGGCAGGGAGCGTGGAAAGTTAGTGAAGAACTTTCAGTTATAGTTTACGAAGAGGTATTTACAGGCGAGAATATAGGATCTTCACGACGAGAGCTCTTATTCGAAGGCGAGAAGGATTGTCGACGAAACGCCAACGCACTTGTATTTACGATTGTAAAACATAATTATGATCGCTATACAATTTGTAGCCGTACTAATAATTGTCCCGGGTATCGTAGCGAGCATCTCGTAAAGCAATTTTATCACCAACACCATTAATGTAATATTAATTGTCGCGAGTCGGTGGATCGAAGCGGAATCAAGGACGGTCTCTCGAATGCGTGCTCTTAGATTGATGAGATTTCTTAGGTGGAAAATTTTCAGTTAGAGAAGTTGTAAGAGATCTTGATAGCGAAGATTTATGATACCCAAGATTTATCGCGCGTCTCTCAAAATCAATACAATCGAGAAAATATGTTTAACAATCATTTAACAATCGAATTCTTTCTACATCGTATTTGATAATTTGTGGAATTTAAATTTTTACATCATTAAAAGTTGCGGGAGAAATGGAATGTCCTGGCACAAGGAAATGGGATGATATTTAAAATTAAAACTCCACAAAGAGAGGAAAGATAAGAAAAATTGAAAAAAGCATCTCTTGTGTATCGAGATATTTTCTCGATCATAAAGAGTGGCAGTGGTCATTCAAGATACTCGGGATTTGGAGTAGCCACTCAATGTACGTTTCCTGAACACGTCCTTCATTTACAAGGCTGTCCACTCGAGCCTTACAATTAGTCCTGTCTTCCAACGGAAGTTTCGCGAGGACAGCTCTAGTAGCCCGAGTACAAGACAACTCGAGCGTCTTCTTCATAGACAGAAAGGACTTTGTTAAGGCTTGTCCTTCATTGTCAGGACGGTCCTTCATTAAGTAAACGATCAATTTTCAAACCACACTGCATTTTTCTGAAAATTTCACGACATGTATGTATTTCTGATGATGATTAATGGTTACAGGTGACGATAGCCACGGATCTGGGCAAAATGGTCACCAGGATGCAGCTGGAAAGATCCGAAGTGGCTTTCTTCATCTATACCAACGGTAGTACTCTGAGGTATGTATTCTTTTCATTCTCTTATGTCTTGGAATTTTAACTTTTAAGCTTAGTTCTTTCTCTACTTTCTTTAATAAGACTTCGTTTTATAATATAAAATGATATAATTCCTTTTTTCAATTTGTTTCGTTCCTGAAATATTTTATTATATAAGAATATCTTATATTTCTAAATTATTTAATTTTTAATATCTTTTGTTTATAACAAAATTGGATCTCTTCATTAGGCGATCGTTTAATATAATTTAATTCTAGTTCAGTTCTCTTTTCTTGTCTGTATTTTTGATACAGACTCCGTGTAATTATCGTTCTACGAGAGCAATTTTAAATTCCCGTTGATCCGGCCACGTGCTTTAGCAACGAAGTTCGTTTCTTCATCGATCGAGCAGAGAAACCTCCCCAAGACCTCGCATTTCCCGTGATGAGAACGGATGGCTTCCTTCATTCTCGCAATCGAGATGCGACCCGCGTAGATGTAACACGTTTCTTCACAAAACAAACGCTTCGCGGAATACCGAAGTAATAGCGAACAATTTAAAAGAGCTTGGAAAGCTTTGCGAGTCGATTAAAAGCAAAATGTTCGGCGGTCTTACTTTGCATCTCTTTGAGGCAAACTTCCCGACTTTTCAACAAACTTTTTTCGCAAACACTAAACTTTTCGCATTTTCTATGCACGATTGCGTAAAAAATATATCGAAAAAAACCCTAGAAATATATAAAATGAAAATAATGTTTAATCAACAGAATTAAGTTTGCAAAATAAAGATGACTTTGTTTGAAATAGTTAATTATAACTTTATTATAATAGATCATTATAATTTTTATACTCTATATTTTCGTCGTATTTTTTTTGTTAAACATCAATATATGAGTACTCATTGTTAGTAATCACTGTCACTTTTATTGTTATACGTTTGCAAATTTCTTTCATTATTAATTATTTTACAATAAATTATATATTTTTCTTTTTAATGCGCTTTTTAATAACAAATTATATATCATTCTTTTTAATCATTTCTGTGACCAGATCGAACCTGACGCAGAGATTCGCCATAACCGACCAGGATCTCCACAACATGAGCACGTGGCCGCTAGTGTCCGTGCCCAGAGATGAGAGCAAGACTCAGGCGTACGACGTGGTGAGCAAGGAGGCTTTCCAGGCCCGCCTGGAGGATTTCAGGTAAATCTAATCGATCCCGAGGGTCATTCGAGCATCTCTCAAGGCACAAAGGTGACCGACAACCGTGAAATTGCGGCCACAAAATTCTGGCTATAGCTCATTAAATTGTACCCAAAATTCTCGCGCATCATTTCGCTCGGACGACATTCAGGTGATTATCGAGCGAAGCGTGCGTAGAAAGGACGAATGAAAATTTACACACGTGTCCATGAGGATGTTTAAGGGAAAATAAAACTGAAGCAAGTTGGCAAAATTGAAAATCTCTTATAAGCCTTTTTCAGGATTCTTAACTTTAATCTTGCTCTCTCTCTTCAAATATTTCCGATTTAAACAAATATTATAAGTCTAAAAGTAATTAAATATTTCAAGGAAAGAGTTATAAAATAGCTATAGATGAAATGGGAGTCTTTTGTTAACATGCTTGCACAGAAAAAAAGGACATTCTTGCTTTCAAAATATATTTAGTTTTAACATGGAAATCTTGAAATGAGATATTGTGTTAAATAAAGAAAAATATAATTGCTTGAATAATTGCTTATTTGAATGAAGCCATTTTATATAGTTCAATCAAGAAAAATATATTCTTATATGATTTAAGATTTAATTTTCTTGAATGGAAAATAAACAATGTTAGATAGAAAATAAGATTTTTAAATCAAAGATTATAATTTTCTTAAAGTAGAATTAAATAATTATATATTCTTGAGGTAACAATTACAATATTAAAATAAGACTATAATATTGTTGAAATTTAAAATTATTAAATTCTTCTAAGAAGATTATAAATTGTTGCGTATATACGAAACAATGAACGCGTTAATTTAAGTATTTAAGTTTTGATTTGACTTATTTTTTTTCTGTGTGAAGTCAAGAATGAAATTCCAGTCGTAGTCGTCACCATATTTCTTCAGACAGGAATTGTACAACATTTGTACAACATTTGTGTGCGCGATCTTTACCTAATTAACTTAAAAGGTCCCCCACGCGTTACGTGGACTGGCTTCGCTAATTATACGATAATTACGTCACGCGATGGTGGGCGGCGATGCGATGCTCTTCATAGACGGTAATTATTAAGACAAATTGCGGCTCTTTGCGAGTGGTATCGCTTCGAGAGGCATTGGTACATATAAACGGCGGTTAATTCTCGTGTTAGCTTTAGCTCCCCTATTCCGGCCTCGTGCGACTACCTAACCATCTGCCTCCAATATGGAAAGTTACGACGGAAACCCGGAGCCGTTCCCTCGAGTCCTCATCCGGACACTTGTTGAATTTCCATTCAGACTACGAGCAAGGGAATTCTTCTCTCTCTGTCTCCCGCTCTTTCTCTCGCGGGCTCATATCCCATCTGTAAATATTCGTACAGACATCGAGTCGTATCTTGAGAACGGGGTTCCCAATATTTGATCGAATGCTCGATATCAGGGACAGCCGAGGAAGGTAAACATCTCTCAGGAAATATGATGCATGTCGATTCTTTTAAATTCAATTCTTCAAATATAGTTCAAATATAATTCTTCAAATATTAATTTTTATCTTCAATCTATCATAATTTTTTTTAATGCAATATAATGCAAATTTTCTGAAAGAGACGCATCTTGAAACAAAATCGTACATCTTCGTTATATACGAGAAATCTTCAATTAACGAAAAATTAATCGAAATAGGAGAATAAGTTACGTATATAAACAATTTTCATACCATTGTTAATATTCTCCTGGGATGTTTTGCGCAAAATCGATTCTCGTTGCCGAGAAACTTTATCGTTGATTTGATTTGATTTTACTTTTTTTTTTATACACATATTACGTGCACAAAAGTATCGGAATTTCCGACGTAGACGGCGTGATTCGATAATGGAGGGTGGTGCGATATTTCATCGTTAATGTTGGACGCGAGAAACCCTCCGGAGCAGAGGATGCCATATCAAATGGTACATCAAACGTAAGAAAACACGTTGCAAAATGCGACGAGGTCGTCGCGATCGTATTTTCTCTCGCAAAGGAAATAGGACAGGCGGGAGGAGAAAAGCGAATATGGTTGTAATTTCTCGCGGAAAAGAAAACCATAACGTTTACGCGCCAAGATGCGGAATTTTTCATATATGTACGTTACGCATTTCTCAACTTTCCTTTCGAGAAAATGGCGAAATACAGTTGCTTTAATATTTGACGCAACAACATGCACGTAAGTGTTTTTTCTCCATTTTTTGTTGAAAAAGAGAGGCAAAGCGTGTCTAATAAAAAAAAAAAAGAGAAAAAATTCACACGCATGCTTTTAACGAGACGAGGTTGTCGAAGCGAGAGACGGCGATAGGAAAAAATTAATTATTTTTAATTAGGGTCTTAGGGGCTTTAATTAGAACGAAACAACGTCGCGTTATAGTCCAAGCAGCGATCCCTTCGCGAAAATATTGTGCGATGGCATCGACGAGCGATTTGAAACCTTTGGGATTACAGTAGCTTTTCGCCAAACTATTTCGCTTTGACGTTTTGAAGGATGAAGTTTTTTGACGATGAAAAGGCGAACGATGGCTTGTCGTTTAACATTTCGGTGACATTTAAATGACGGCAAATGCGATGAAAACGGATGCGAATTTTTGATGTTGTTTTAAAAGCGAGAGCCAAGAACACATGCATTGAATTATTACATTTAATTTCTCCTCTCTCTCCCCCTATTTCACAATAAAATTGTCACAAAGAAATTTTCTAAAATTAAGGATCATTTAATTTATAAATTTTTAATTTAATACTTTCAATTTAAAATTGCATCACATGCTACAGCGAATGATAAAATAATTCAAAGGCTTTAAAAAAAAAACGCTATTGGCTTTCGGCGTCGAAAAAACAAACAGTGTACATCAGAACAGAAGTTTGTTAATTAAAAATTTGTCAATAGATTTTGTGATCTTTTAATTTAAGATTAAAAAATTCCAGCACGCCTTCGGCGCATTTTTACCGTCGCTTTAACCCGATAAGCACCCGGGCGATTTAATTAATGTGATTTTGGCGCCGACGATGTCGAACGACAACCAATTTAATCGGAAACGCCCACTCATAACACATCTGTCGATTAATTCTTTTTCTATCGTCTAATTATACATGTGTAGCGGAGGGTCAAAAGGCGTGGCGCGCGCGGGGACGGTAGTAAGGGGGCGAGGGTTCGAGGGGGGGGGGGACGAGCGGCGTGTGCACACGCTTTTATAATAGCCCCTCCGGCTATGTCGCATTCGACTTGTCGCATCGATCGATGATAAAAATATTTAACCCCTCGACTCTCTCCCTCCTCGCCCGAGTGGATCTCGTAAAATCGAATGCAAATGCCCCTGACGATCCTTTTAACTAGCGACGTGACGTGAACGCGGATGTTCTCGGGATATTCAGTGTTCTGAAAATGAGGACTTCCTCGGAACATTAGCGAAATTAAATTTCCGAATCGCTCTCGTTCTCTCTCTTTCTTTCTACTCATAATATGCGATGTAAAAGAAAATAAATTCTAAAATATACGTATATTATTATTCCTTCTTTTTAAATATTCTGGCAGCATACCTTTTCCGAACGACTTGTAAAGAAATATTTTAAAATATTCTGTCTCATCTGTGTGTGTTAGCTAAATTTCTCTAATTAATCGAATCACAAGGTATCGACAGAATTTTAATGCCTAAATCTAGACAAAAATCCACGTTATTTTTTCATCGATCGTGCAATAGAATATTTTTACAGCATATCTTTTCCGAACGACTCGTAAGAGAATATTTTAAAATATTCTATATCATCTGTGTGTGTTAGGTATAATTTTTTTTATAATTTTTCTGATTAATTGAATCGTAAGGTATCGACAGAATTTTAATGTCTGAATCTAGACAAAAATCCACGTTATTTTTTCATCGATCGTGCAATAGAATATTTTTACAGCATATCTTCTCCGAACGATTCGTAAGAAAATATTTTAACATATTCTGCATCATCTGTGTGTGTCAGGTATAATTTTTCTATAATTTTTCTGATTAATCGAATCGCATGGTATCGACAGAACTTTAATGCTTAAACCTAAACACAAAAATCCACGTTATTTTTTCATCGATCGCGAATAGAATCCACGCATTTTCTCGATCGGTTACGCAAACGAGGTGACGAAATATTCTTTTCACGTCTTTTTTTTCCCTCGGGGGTAGATCAAGTAACTGTCAATCGAACGACTGCCACTTTACGAACGGGCTCGCTGAAATCGCGCCGATTTCAACGTGCCACGCTCGGGGCAATATTTATAAAGGCACGTTTTTCATTCTGCGCGTGTAGTGAAAACGGCGACTGTTGAGCACGTATGTCCAATAAATCGATAGGGCGATAAAATATCGATATAGGAAAGGCCGACAGGCGTCAAGACAGAATATTTCGTCTGGTGGCGTTCTCTCTCTCTCTCTCTCTCTCTCTCTCTTTTTCTCCCTCTCTTTCTTTCTCTACCGATGTGACAATAGCTACCGATTGTATCCCAGAATTGTGCAGTGCAAACTTAAATTTCGGTCCGGTTATATTCATGCGCGACATAACTCTTGTCTTTAGAAACACACTTCGACCGCTTTTTTATTTTTATCTCCCTTTTACGTTGGTAAAGAGTACGAATTCAGCCGTTATTCAGCGTTACGTTGCGGCCTGCGAAAATGTAAAAGGTCACGCAGAGCGAAGAGAATTTCGTGTTTTTTGAAAATCAAATAATTAAGAGCACTTTCTATTACGAGTCAATTTCGATAAGTGGAATTAACGTACACATTCTCTTTCGAGAGGATAATTCTGTATGAAACGAAACATAAACAGTCAAACAGAGATCCGTAGATATAAATTTATGTAGAGAAATTCTCCGACAGAATCTAATCAATCGATCAATTAATAATTGCTGCCCGCAGCGAAGCTACCGTTATTAAAATGTAACTTCTATCGAGCATAAATTCACGATTTTAATCTTCTACGCGCTTAATTTTAAGGGGTTATGCCTAGTCACCAAACGAAAAAAGTATGATATTTGGGAATTTTTGTTTAAAAGTGTAATAATTTTTTTTTATAAATAAATTTTTACTCAAAAGTACAAATATTAAGGATGTTATTATATTTTTTAAAATAAAATATTTAAAAAATGTAAAAGTTATAACTATTCTCCTGGATATTGTTTTTTTTTTAAAGCGCTGCGCAGTGAGCAGTGCTATTCGAAGCTGATTCATCTGATATTAAAAATTTGATAAACTGTAGTCAATATAAAATTGTCTAGTAGATGAACAAAGGATTAATTGAAAAATTGTTTTGGGACAAAATGACAGCCATTTGACACAAAAATTGCTTTTCGACTAACAAATTGCTTATTTTTTATTAAATAAAAAAAGCATTCATTAGAAAATAAAATCCTTCGTTCACCTACTAGATTTTTATATCTAAAAGAAGCCTGTAAAAATTCAAGCAAATCGGTGTAACGGTTTCCGAAATATCTTGCTCACCGATTTTGAAAAAGTGATTTCGAGAAAAATGCCTTTACGATTTGTATCAAGTTTACGTTTAAATAAAAAATGCAGATTTTTTTAAATGTAGATTTTTAATTTACACAGAATCTATTCCGCGCTCATATAATTTTAGTTTATTTAAATCTTCATATATTGGCTTGATAGCCAATAAACTCAAAACATCAGAGTTGAAGCTTTATAGTCGTGTTTAAACAAAGTTATACATTCTGGCGCTTCATGAAACATATACTTATAACTCCATCAATTTGTATCTGATTAATTGAAACTTTTAGGAAATATTTTGAATATGACATACTTCAAGAAAATGTAAAAACATAAAAAATGGTTTTTTTTACTTTTATGACTAGGCATAACCTTAGGGAAAACTCAACCTGATTTTAAGGAAAAATGTAAAAAAATTCTAATAATTTTCTTGATTTCTATTTACATTATAATAGAGAGAAAATATAAATGCAATAATAAACAAGTTAAAAGTGCAATATATTTTAACTAAATGTACATTAGAAATTAAATTCTCAATATATTGTCAACACTTGCAAATGAATAAACGAATAAATATTAATGCCACAGAGAAATCTAAAAGGGTTAAACATTTAAATAGAAACGTTGCGTTTCTTTCGCTAAAGAAATCTTGGTCGGCATCGAAAGGAATCCTCCGGCGATCGAACAAGAGGAAAGGAACGGAAGCGGAAATAAGGTAAAGATAGAGAAGAAGGTACGAGTCGTCTCGCGATGGACATCATACGACTACATACGCGGAAGATAGTTACGAAGCATTTGTGTCAACCGATAACAAGCCGTTCTAACAATCGGTTTCTTCCTTGAAAAGCCTGCGGGAAAAGGGTGAAATCTCGCGTTGGGTAGTCCGATCGATCCGTAAAGGTGTAACGGATTCCTCCCGTACTTTCTCTCTAAGCAACTTCCACCTGCTTTCCATTTTCATGCCCCTCGTGGGATTTTCATTTTATGGCTGTTAGGGGAGAGGCTCTCGTCTACAAATTCTAAAATATGCTTCTATCGTTCGTCTACATTCGAGACACTCGATAATATTATATATTTTCCTCCTCTCTCTCTTGAATCCGATTCTAATTCAAAGATATATATTTGACAATCAATCAATAAATTTTTATTTTTATATACGGGTCATACTGTTACCTTCTCGAATTTCCATTCCAGAATAAGTATTTCTCTTTCTAATATGTTCTCCTCGTCCACTTGTCATAGCAATATTACTGATACACTAATCGTGCCATTTGTCCTTTTTATTACTGTCATTCAGGAAGGACTCCTACCTTTCTGTTAATGCTTTTAGAAAATATTACCCTAAAGTGCGCGATAAATCATTTTAAATTTCCGTCCCTTTGCCAAATATCTCTTCGATCCTCTTTCATTCTTTCGTCCATCTCTCATTAAATTATAATGGGTTTATTTACAATTAAATATATATACAACAATCGAGCTTGTTTAGCGGCCATTTAAAACATTTTTACTTGCATTTGTATCACAATACAATGGACTTTTATGTACATCTTTCTTCTTTCCATTCGAGAATAGCCAATCGCAGCAGCGACCGTAATAAAACTCTTCATCTATCTCTTTCTCCATACCATTGCTCCTCTTACTTTCGTTCGCCTCGTCGTTGGCTCTTCTCTGTCTCTCGCGTTCTCTTTATGAGCAATGGAAGAGGTCGTCACACATGAGCGCGTGAGCGCCCATTTGGAGCAATAAACAGTATTTTTAGACTCCTGTCTCTCTCTCTCTTTGTCTTTCTCCCTTTCCATATATTTTCATCTCTATCTCTCCCCTTCGTTCCAGCTCTTTTCCTCTGATCTCGTCGCGTCTGTCCACGGTTAAATCTCGCCTCGATACAACGTTCAATGCGTCGATCAAACCCACGTAACAGATGCGAAGGTCTAGCTACCGGTGTCATTATCGACCGATATCGCCACGTGCAATCCTCCAAGGCGACTTCCATCTGTTCGAAGGATCTCTCGCGATTCTTTTTTTAGATCGGTGTTTGAAACGAGGCGAAATCTGCAAACGATTTCCGAGCATTCCAGAACGTAGGAAATAATATTTCAATATTAAATTGTACTTAAATAAAAGTGCTTATTCGTTCAAAATACGCTCGACATCGAACGTTCTCAAAATATCGAACATCATCAAATCATCAAACACACACATTTTGAACAATTTAAATTGAACCTTAAATTGTGTGTGTCCGATCGTTCTGGAAATATATATAGGGTGGTCCTGAAATAGTTGGTCAAAACCAGAGATTGGATTAGGCTCGTCATAAGAATGAAAAAAATTCCTCCTGCAAAATACGTTTTTGGACTAATGTTTATACGAACTTTTTTCATCCTTATGACGAGCCCAATCCCTAATTTTGACCAACTATTTCAGGACCACTCTGTATATCAATATATTGATCGGTACTTATATACGTACTTGTATACGGCTCGAACAAATCGATCATACTACTTGTTTGAACCTTTTGTAAACTTTAGTTTTCCCATTATTTCTAATACAAGAATTTTGAACAAAAAGTAAATATTGAGCCAGACAAATGACTTGAAACATTACGTCCGAGCAGCGTAAAATTACTCGATCAGATTATTTCGTCACGTTAAGGCACAATTATATTCGCATTACGCGATTATCGCATTCAATCAAAATCATAATTCAAAGTAGCTTTCCGACGCGGTATCGACCGCATGTCGTATCTATAATACGCTGACACATAGAAGGTGATCAGACTGAGTGCAAAGTTCGTACGTTCCTTCGCAGGCAAAAGATAAGTTCGGAGGCGAGCAGTATCAGTGAGGTAATGGCATGGTACACAAGCGTGAACGCAGCTATGCTGGATCACCTGACTAATCAGATCAAGGAGACAGACAATAGCGGGGTGTGGAGGTAAGTCTTGTCAAAACTTTCAAGGCAACGAATATTCATCTAAATCTCTCTCTCTCTTTCTCGACCTATCCATCTATCTGTTTCTATCTCTTTCTTGGAGAAGAATGTGATAAAAATATTGCAACGAACTTTTGACATTTCAGGTATCTAATAGCCTTCAAAAATCTCCTGCGGAGCATCGAGAGCCTCGGTATCGCCTCTGTGGAAGGTATTAATTATTTTGGCCGCGGTGTCCTTCTCGGTGACAACTACGTCAGTTATGTTCGTCACGAGGCGCTGGGACGTGATCTTCTCAACGCCGCTCTCACATACGTTCCTTCCCTAAAGAAGTTTTACATCGACCTCACGCAAACCATGCCCGATTACAGCAAGATCAAGGCAAGGTAAAGAAACGTCTCTCGCGTTTTTTTCCATGTCCTGGTCACGCGGACAAATCTTAATGAAATAGATCCATTGAAATATTTGATATTTTATTTTCTTCTATCGTAAATTTTTTTTCAAAAAATGTTAGCTTTATAAGAATAATATATCGTAAATATTATGTTAGTTAAGTTGCAATTTAAACACATCCTTTGGATTGTTTTAGTTGAATTTTTATTGTTTGACTTGTTTACTTTTAACGTGTTTAACTTTTGTTTCTCCGAAAATTGATTATTATGTAACAAATTAATATTTTTTATTTGATAATTAACGTCGTGTATCATATAGTTGAATCAAATATAATAATAATAGAAGAATGTTATTGAATCTTCATTTTTCTATAATTTATAATTTTTTGTGACAAGCACATAGCTTGCTTTGGACTTTTGAAACATCTAAATTAAAGAACAAACGCAAATATATTGTATTTTATATATGAAAAATTGAATTGAACTGAATGAAAAAGATGAAAAAAATACAAATAAAAAACGCGCTTTATATACATGTCAAAATATTTGTAGAATATTCTGTACCTATTTTGAGAAATTATAGATTCTTTTATGTCTAGTTGGGCAATTTAAGGAAAGTGTTTCGTTAATAAAGACTCTTTTCCGCGCATAATGGACGGATGATAGATTACGACAATGAAGAACGCGCGAAGACAAAATTAAATACGTGAACGTTACGTATACTTTTCTCAGGCGAAATGAAATCCTGCGGAATCAGAAGAGGGAATCGAGCGTGGAAGACGCAATCGCTTACTTCGATTCGATGGCCACTTACATCGACGAGCTGCGTAAGCTGCAGCGGGAATTACGTCACATGATAAGGTAGCGAGTCCTCATAATGGAATTGTTTCCCCGTCCCGATGAGACTCATAAAACACAAGGGACATATAATGCAAGACGCAGATTTTCAAAAGAAAAATCTCCCTTTAGAAATTACTTGATGAGCAATTCATCATTTCAAAAAAATATGGAGAATTACATCGTTAATCTCGAGTGAGATAAATATGTTAAATTTAACAAGTTGAATTTTACACATATATGAAAAAGTATCAAAGGCAAAATAGAATACTAGAGGAAAATTTTAATTTCTAAATTTATTGATTGATTTAATGATATTAGCTCTTCTAATTTTTGCGAACAGTGAATTGATTTATTGCAATTTATTGATCGACAATAAAGAAAAATCACGTGTTATGTGTCATATATCATCTATAAAATATATTAATGATGTCTGTAATATATCTGTGTCGCTCAGGAATTATGTCAACTCGACGTTGCAAGATGCGAGCAACAAGGAAGTTGCGGGTATCGCTATCGTCGTTCTGGTGCTGGTGGTGTCGCCCATCATCATCATCCTGATGCGTAACGCTGTCGCGACCATTCAGGTTTGCGATTCAAATGCCGTCGATTTGATTCCCTTTCATGCCACATGTGACTCTCTTTTATACGTAGCGCTCATAGTAATTTGTATACCGGGTGTGACTAATACAGACTTTAATTTCCATCGCGGATTTTCTTGGCGGAAAGAAATTAAAATTTATTTCTTTAATCCTAATTGATTTTTTTTTAATTAAAATATATCTGTTTCTAGAAATATAGATATATATATATTTTATTAGAATATTCAAGTAATAATTTCCAAATTCAATGATCGGAAATGAAAAACGAATTAAAGTTATCTACAAAAAACAAACAGACATTTATAGAGGAAGAAAAAATTTTATTTTAATTGTTCGCTTGAACTTTAACTCGCGACAAATCTTTCCGACGTCTCTTGTCAACATTAACTTGCTCGTTGTCGGATGTAGAGCTTGTGGTAAGAGTTTACGGGAAACTTTTGTGACCGAGTGTTAGTTAGTTCGTATCGCAGCGAATCCCATAATTCGATTCCGTGCTCTTGGGTTCGAAACCGCGACGTCGGCGACGAATAAACCGCGCGTCGCGTGACTGACGTCTTAATAGAAAATCGGTCAAAGGCTGTTTGTGATAAGAGAAATTCCTTAAACGAAAACGTTTTTGCTATTCGTGAGGCTTTTAACGCTAATTCTATTTATAAAAAAAATTAATAAGCAATATTAATCCATTAATTATGCATTTTCTTTACTATTTTTTTATCCTTTGCATACAAAATTTTTAGAAACTTATAAAATTGATAAAAGTATTAACTTCTAATAAAAATGTCTTCGAAAGAGAAGAAATAGTCTGTAATTCTTTTTTTATTTTAATTATTTAAATATTTCCCTCCATAATTATTTTTATAACAACGTGGGAATATTCTCACTCTTCGATATGTAAATATATTATTATATAATCTATTATTAAGCTGGTTATTTTAATCTGATTATCTTAAAGTTATTATAAATTATAGATGTATGCCGCAAATTTGGCGCAAAAAGCACGTGAACTCAAGCGCGAGAAAAGAAAGAGCGATACATTACTCTTCCAAATGCTTCCACCTAGTGTTGCTCAGCAACTTAAGCAGACTCAACAGGTGAATTTTCAAAATTATTTCAAATCATTTAAATCAGAATTTATTCAAAAAAAATTTATTCAAAAAAATTTATTCAAAAAATTGAAAATACAATTCTTAAAATATTAATTTATATTTATACATCTCTCTTTATCAATTTGATATTTAATCTAGATTTTAAATTTTCTTAAAGTTATTTCGGGATTTTTAAACTAATTATAAAATATTTATAAATCTTTCAAAAAAAATTTTATTCTCTTGAAATATTTGATTTCAACTCGAACTTGTTATTAATCCTGATTTTTCCGTAAATTTTTGCGTAAATGATTAATTGTACAAAATAATAAGGAGATGAGCTTTTTCTACTATTCGTCTCTGACATTTTCGTTTTTCGATCTATAAATTTTGTTCCTTCAACAGGTGCCGGCCGAGTATTACGAGGCGGTGACCGTCTACTTCAGTGACATAGTCGGCTTCACAGAGATCGCCGCGGAAAATACACCCCTCGAGGTGCATCTCATTCTGTTCTCGCGGAAATGACCGATCGATCCTGAAGCGAGTTGCTAAATTACGCCAAAGTTCCATCACGATGCCACTGCGATGATGAAATCGCGCGCATACCATGCGAATTCCCACGCGAAACGCACGCAGGATAATTTCGAATCGCACTGTGGCATTAAATCATTCATCCACCGACGTGGTGCTTTCATATCTCGTTGTTATTATTTATTTACTTGTTATTCTCGTATTTGGTTCAATGATCGTTCGAATATTTGCATAAATTATTCTGATATTTGATTTGATACTTGGGATTTCATATACATCACTCAATTTAATTTTCCATTTTTCCATTCGCAAAATGTATAGCGAAACGTAATGAATGATATATATATTCGATGTAATGCGTGCGGTGATATTATTTTTCTTTTATTTTTAGGTAGTGACGTTTCTCAACTCGATCTACAAACTGTTTGACGCGCGTATCGAATGCTACGACGTATACAAAGTGGAGACCATCGGAGATTCTTACATGGTCGCTTCCGGCCTGCCCGTTAGAAATGGTAAAAGTACGAAACCCCCCTAATTCCGCTTTCTGTCTATGGCCTTGTAGCATGCTAACTACCATAAGAGTACATAATTTCTTTTTCACACATGTTCAAAAATTAAGATTTAATTAATTAATTTTAATTAATTTTTCTTATACATAAATTTCTTAATTTTTGAATCCTCTTTGTTACAAATTTTTCAAACTTGTTTCTTTCATTCTTTCTACATTTGATGTAATATAATAAAAAAATTAAAATTTATTTTAGCCCATTTTGCGTAAAATTGTTATATATACTAATTTTTAGAGACTAATAAAATAGCTTTGGATACTCAAAACGATGCCAGAAATCAGCTAAATTAAAATGAAAAATAATTTAATACTCACCGATACGACGAGCAACAACAGAATGTAGTACACAACGTTGATCCTACACAACACACAAATATATTCAAATTATAAAACAATATTCATAATAACAACATGTTAAAAATAATTATTATATGCAATTAAATTTTCTACTCGTTTTTTAAATGGATAAAAATTACGTAAAAATTTTAAAAATATATTTTTAGATATAAAATATAATAAAAATATAATTGAAATGATACTTATTATAATCACGCATAAATCTTAAACACAATGTTAAAATTTCTTATAAATATCTAAAAAATGAATTATTATAAATATTATAACAATTATTATTAATTGTTATAAATATTTTAAGAGAGAAAGAGTATTTTCAAATAAAATAAAAAATTTAGAATATATTTTACATGCATTATATATATTACATAAAGTAAAACATTAATTACTTCCGCGGAAATAAATGGTCAATTAAATTTATAAATAACAAATAATAAAAATCAAAGAAATTAAATTGCTCACCTGGTTGCTCCGTTGTCGCCCGATGCCTCCCTCCTCTTCTTCCTTTTTGATTTGTTTTTGCTGCTCCTTTATGGCCCTCGCACGACAAAATATTCACTCGTGAAATTATCGATCGCAGAATAATCTATATAAGACGTTCGTGCAGCACTTTGAACTGAACGACACTCCTAAAGCTGGTAACAAACTTTACTATTGAGGTGAACGATACGGAAACTGCGATCACAAAACACAAACTCGCCGTAGTAAGTTGTTGTTGTCAGCAAGTAGTTAATGGACTATCACTACCTTGTGTTTATTATTAATAACGCAATATTAATAACGTTAACATAAGCAGATAAACGTAAATAAAAATATGTAAATTAAAATTTCGCACAATAAAATATTCGAAAATATTCGACGCTTTAATGACTTATCCGCGTAATATATTTCAAGCAAATAAATAAACACGAGCGAAGACAAATCTTGCAAGATTTTATATTAAACCATCGATCACGTCTTTTTAATATTTAAATCAATTGTTTCGACGTATATATTCTGTTTTTAATCCGAAAATGACGAGCATATTATATTTTATATTAAATATTTTATATTAATAAAAAACACGAGATATATTTACACAACTCTAAATGAGTCATATTTACAGATGTAATATTATTGCGCAATTAGGCAGTTTGAAACTCCTATTCACTATCTCTTTCTCTTGTTATGATTTTTCTACTTTAAACACAAATATCACACGAAATATGTTTCGATAAATACCATCGTCGCGATGTTCGTGACGTGTTGTTTATTCCGAAAATTAATCAATCACACAATCCTATTAATCATCAGAGATTAGATTAATTTATAAAATAATCGCTTTTAATGTCTCTCGATACTTTCGCGATGATGTCTCGAAAGTTAATGTTGCGTAGCGCCAGTGTTCGTTGCCAGCCTGTTCGAGAGTCACCGCGCGAATGACAAGGTGATCGTACGTAAACAATAGCCGCAAAAAACGATTGCCGAACACGAAGCTTGTCGATACAAAATATTTAACATGTTACAAAATACGGAATATATTCCGCTCTTTTTGAGAGAATTAATTATTAACGAAATATATGTATTGTTAAGCTCGTATCAGACTCCGCATTGAAGATTAAAGATTAAAGATTGATTAATCGGGCTAAAGCGAGCTAAAAATTCTTTTTTCTGATTAATTAAATTTTAATCTTTCATCTTCAATGTATACGATATATAATTGATAAATTACTTTGCAAAAGAATTTGGCAAATAATTTTTTCATAAGTACATATAAAATAATATATTTTTTCAGTTCGGTTTAAATCTGTCCTCCTTTCATCAGGAATAAAAACTGGCTTGACAGTATTCGATATATTCGTAAAAGAAAAACTGAATTTATAATTTTTTATAAAATAAAAAAAGTAAAAATAATTGAAAAAAGTTTTTTAAATTAAAAAATTTGACAATAAAGAAAATTATTAATAAAATCCCACTGATTTCCAAAGATTCAACCCTATTTAAAATCCATATTAATACTCCAAAAATTCCTTGCCAATATAAATATTCGATATTTTTTCATACTAAAAAAAAAATAATGAAATAAAAGGATTGCATTGCGAGTAATTATTGTAAGATGACAGAGAATATTTTTTAACCTATGTAAGTGTAAATATTTCACTTCCTGGTAATTCTGTACGCTTGCATCGTTTCGAACAGTATCGTTCTTCCGATTCATTTTCTTCGTTTGCGATTTCATTCCGGTCAGGTGACAAACACGTGTCCGAGATCGCTACAATGGCGTTGGATCTGCTCGCGGCCTCGTCCGTCTTTCAGGTACCGAAACGTCCCGGCGAACGGCTTCAGATAAGAAGCGGAGCCCATACTGGACCCGTCGTTGCCGGTATCGTCGGCAGCAAAATGCCCCGTTACTGCCTCTTCGGCGACACCGTCAACACCGCGAGTCGTATGGAATCAACTGGTGAAGGTGATCTATTTTTCGCATCACGCAAGAGTTTTATTTTAGATGTCAAGATTTTAAATAATTAAAAGACTAAAATTAAGTATAGAGCTTCGTGGTTTAATTATTCTCTGAACTATCATCTTTTGAATATTAACTTTACTCGCATTCCATCTTTATAATTAATGTTTATTCTATATGTAATTCATCATTATTTAATTAATAATTGATAGAATATAATTTATAAAATTACAATAATTAAATTATCAAATAATAATTAATTAAATAAATATTATAGTTAATTTAATAATTATAAATAGTAATTATTTAATTAAATAATAAGTGATATTCGCGATATAATATTTTTTCTACCCAAGCCCTGCGGATTCACATCAGCTTGGAAATGAAGAAGGCACTCGACGCCGTGGGCGGTTTTAAAATCGAGCATCGTGGTCTTGTCGACGTAAAGGTAATTTTTTTCTCAAGTCTCCACGTTATATTATAATATCAATTCTTCTCCGATCTCTCTCTCTCTCTCTCTCAACGCGAGTTTCCTTCCTTATTTTATTACCCACCACATCGCGTCATAAAAACAACATAGCGGATAGATAAACTTTTCACTAATCAATAACTTATTTTCTCGTGACCCCAATTGATAATTTCCACTCGATCTCCCGTTTTTCTCTCCGTGAAACTTTATATTTCCGCAGGGCAAGGGCCTCATGGATACATACTGGTTGGAGTGCAAGGACGGCGGCATCGCGCGCGCCGCCGAGCTCGACCTGCCGTCATTCTTCGAGGACGTACGACCGGTCTTCATGCGACGCCTGCGCGAGGAGGGCACTCTCTGATGCGAGCCGTACTCTCGTCGGGACCTCTGGTACCTGAACCGACGCCCGAACCCGTGCATCGTCCGTCTGTCCCAACCGAATCTGATCGACCACCTGAAGCGACCGAGTCAGGGCCGCAAGAACCGGCTGTCCCATCCGAATCTGCACATCACCCCGATCAAGGCACCGCCGCAGTCGCAATCGAGCATCGAGTCCCAGGACTCGGGCACCTACTCGACCACCCCCTGTCCTCCGAGCTACTCGCCCGCGAGCCAACGTAGCCGTTATTCGCAGCCGAATCTGCCGACCCTCCTCATCTCGTACGATCGACGCTCGGGAGGCTCGCCCGATCGTCGAATTCGGATGTCGCAGCCGACCCTCAACTCCAGCCTGAGCGGCATCAATTTCTTCGGCATGAACCGCGGGGTCGGAGTCGGTCGTCTGTCCTACACCAGTCTGCGCGCCGCCTCGGGCGACAATAGCATCAACGAGGAGGAGAGACTCTCGACGCCGAACGTGCACGCCCTGGGTGGCAGCGGTAGCCCGCGCGGTAGTCTAACGATGGAGAGGAGCTCGTCGCGACTCTCGCAGCCGGACGTGCGCAGATTCGCCCTGCGACAGGACAAGCGCGAGCGACTGTCGCAGCCCACCCTGGTCACCGGCGATTACTACCCCGGCCGGGTGCAGCAACGGTTGTCGCAACCGTGTCTCAGCAGCGGCTATCGCGAGGTCGGCGGCATCGGCGTCGTGCACTCCCCGTCCCCGCCGCCCTTCCCCCTCAAGCACAAGAGATTCGTGCCTCCCGTTCTGCAAGCGAGTCAGCGCGACCGTCTGTCCCAGCTGGACATCGGCGCCAAATATCGGAACATCAAGGACTTGGGCGGCGGCGCCGCCCAAGTCAAGTTCAATCGCGATCGGTTCTCGATACCGGAACTGGAGACGCAGAACGATCTGCGACTGATCGCTGGTACACCCAAGCAACGCTTCAGCCTGGACAGTCAGCTGACGAAGCAACGCTTCAGTCTAGACAGCCAGGATAGCTGCAAGTCGCGGCTGCTACCGATCGCGAGCTCGCCGATCTTCGAGCATCAGCAAATGAAGACCGAGGAGCTCACCGGAATGACGTCCGACAGGCTCAAGAGCCCCACCTGCGAAGGCCTGCAGAGCGTCATCGTGGCGAGCACATCGCCGATCTTCCCACCTGGCGAGAGGCGATTCCTCGCGCCGGACTTTCCGTTTATCGGCAGAAAGATGTCAACGTCGCCATCGCCACCCAAGGCTGGCGAGATCGGGAAGCGCACGTCCGGCAAACCGCCGCCGATTCCGGTCCGGGAGAGGATGTCGGTGCCGGAGATCAGGAATTCGAGTTTGCGCCGACTGTTGGACCCGCCTGTCCGGCAACGACACAGCATCGCCGGCAACCTGCGACAATCGCTGCTATCGCCGGTGAAGCTACCCGAGTTCGCCACCGGTGGTAGAAAGTCACCGCGATACTCGATCGACGACGCGCTGGAGAAGCTAAAGAGAATCGAGAAGGAGGAGAATCGACGGAATCTGGAGGCGAACGAGGAGATGGAGCAGGAAGCCAAGGAACAGGAGCAGCAGCAACAGCAGCAGCAGCAGCAAGACCAGCAGCAGGAACCGAAGCACATCCAACGACATTACTCGTACACCTACGAGACATCCGGCAGCGACGAAAGCGGCAGTGTCTCGACACTTGGCAAGATGAGCGTGGGTGGTACTCCGAAGCGCAAGTACCTGGAGAGCAATTTTGACGAGAACGAGCAGGTGATCACGACGGTGATCGAGACGGAGGTGCCGATGATCCTGCCAAGCACGCCCGGCAAGTACGCGAAGAAGGTCCAGGCGTACTCGAGCGAGACGCCCAAGTGGATTCGCAAGTACCTGGAAAACGAGAGCCCGAAGATAGGCCGAAGGACCTCCACCAGCGCCAAGGACCAGATCGCCAGGACGAATCGCAGGAACAGTCGCAGGAAGAGTTCGCTGGAGTCGATCGAGACGGCGTCGAAGAAGCCCGAGGAGAAGACTCGCTCCAAGTCCGCCAGCTGCGAGGAGAGGAGCATCAAGAACGTCGTGGATCAATCCCTGGACGGCGTGAGGGAGACTTATGTGAGAATCGTGCCGTCCAACAATGCCCAGGAGGAAAATAGGTACGAGGTCGCCGTGGAGACCACCACGACCTCCTGGAAGACAGATCGAGGTCTTTACGGCGACGACACCGACACGGACGATTCCACGTCGATCTAATCGAATGGAAAAGATCATTGTCTCAGCATGATTCGCTCATGTTCATGGGATTCGCTCGTTCTGTGTGTGTGATGGCCGCTGTTAAACTGCTGAAAAAATTTATAATTCAGTTTCAATTAGCTAAAGATTTTATTATTATCATCTTTTCAATTAGCTAAGAATATTTTCGTTATCGTCTTTTTTTGACGAATATTGAATTTTAGCGATCGATTTTATGATGCTCGACATTAATTTATCTGATTAATTATATAATTTATTATATATTAATTATTAATTATATATATTATTAATAATTAATTATATATATTATTAATAATTAATTATATATATTATTAATAATTAATTATATATATTATTAATAATTAATTATATATATTATTAATAATTAATTATATATTTATTAATTATAATAATACAATTATATAATTCAGTTACATATATTAATTAAATATTAATTGTATAATTAATTATATACTCGCATTTATTGTAGAAAAATTTTAGATTTCTAATTTTCCGATTTAGAGAATTTTTAGCTATAAATAATTACATAAAACCATGCCATTCGAGTGCAGCCGATTTTGACGAGAAACCTGAATTAATGATCTTCGTTGTATAAAATATTTACATTAAGAATCTTTTGTTTTAAATTTACATAGCCACGCTAAGAGACTGAACAGAGAATATAAACCATCCAGATGCAAATATAGTGAAATGACAGTAACACAAGTCAGATTGTAACGCAATCAAGGCGGATTACAAGAGAGGGATTTGACGAGAGAGATCATCTCGAGAAGAATCTCGATTATTTTGTACTTAAAAATACACTCTTTCTCGTCATCTCGTCCAATGGAATGAATTACAGAAGTGAAAATCGAATGCGGATACCTATTTTTGCACAAACAGTGGACTACAATATACCGCATGCGTTTTAGCCTAAATAATATTCAGATCTGTGTGCATTATAAATTAAAAAAATTGACTTCTGTTTTGTACATATCTCGAACACAAAAATGTGTAGAGCGAAAAGCCGAGTAGGATGTAAGAACTCGCGAAGATACAAATCACTCGACGAGATAAATCTGGATTTATTCCATGGATTTCCGTGGATTTTCGATCCATGTGTGTATGTGTGTGTGTGTGTTCGTTCTGGGTGTAATGTGTGTTTGCAGCACGTGTTAACTCAAAGTGTATGCGATTATTTTTATCACGCTTCAAAAGAGACATCGGGTAGAAATTAAGTAAAAACAGTCCAGCTTGTATATACATCGGTTATAGGGAGTGATATTGCTAAATGTGTGTAAACCATTATATATCGTTAGAAAAATTGTAAGATCGATGTTCTTGATTGTATAAATTTTTTGTTTTTCGTTAGCGGGATATTTTTCGCTTGCAAAAATCGTGTCTGATGCGATTACGTGCATCGTGTATTAATCGTGAATTGAATTTATTTATAGTAATGCGCAGATGTTCATTTTTGCTGATACTAGTCATTAATGAGATCTTACAAGTGATCAAATATATATAGGGTGTTTCTGTGATGAATAGTATGTAGATTAATTAATAAAATAGAGAATATAAAAATATTTTCTTTTCTTAGATATATTTTACAACTTTAACTATAAATTTAATTTGAGAAATTTTATGCCGTTTTATTTATAAATTAATTATTAGATAATGTGTAAAATAATACATAAAGCATTTTTTAAAGTTCGGTTTCTATAACATTTCAAATTTTCTAATGAATTTTAATCTGAGGCGAATAATATTTAACCAAGCCTGCATCCATCAACTATGAACTAAATTTTGATATTTTCTATATTGACAACTTTTCTTTTTCATAAAATGTGTAAAATCTTGTGAGAATTTTTATTTGTTATATGTTTTATAAGTAACATATGTCTAAAATCTAAGTTTAAAAAATGATTACATATAATTAGTTTATATATAATGTTAAATTAATAAATAGTTACATTAAAAATTATATATAATTTTCATTAAATGGTATTACTTCGCGCATATTTTTCTTATTCTTACACAGAACATTTCTATTTTGTTCCTTTCTCTGTTCAGAAAAAATATATATATTCCAATTTAAGCACCCTATATATATACATGCATAATTTTTTCACAAATATTGCAAATATGTATGCATTGAGTGGTTTTATTGATCTTTAGCAGTGTGTATGCATTTTACTTCTATATACATATATACATATATAGAATTTAATACACGAGTAAAGATGTCATATATTAGTAAATCAAAATATGCGTAAAAAGATACATTATAATTTGTAAAAAGAACATGCCTTCTGTGTACACCTGATTATATATAGATCGAAATATATAATCCATTGTTATAGCCTGAAAAGATTTTTCAAATCCTTTAATTAGAATATTTTACATTAACATATGTACATATTACATGTGTACATACATACATGTGAGTGTGCAAATATATAAATTATATACATTATATATACATATATATATATATATATATATATATATATATATATTATATAATATATATTGTAGTATATATATGTATATATTTGCATATATAAAATCTTTATTCGCAGCCCTTTAGAAAAGAAATCTTTTTGTCATTAATATTTTTTTAAAGATTTGTGATTTATTATAAAACACTATTTTTCCTTCCTTTCTATACCTTTTCAAAAAAAGCATGTAAATGATAACATTTCTTTGTTTTCCATTATTGTGACAAATTTCATAATAGTTGTTATAAGTTAATTCGGTAAGAATTTTCTATGTATAAATGCTGTTTTCTTTTCACTATAAATCAATAATAATAATCATGACTGATATCGACAACACGAATACACAATTACAATAAAAAAACTTTTCTAGCTAGACATAATACACCATCAGATAACAAATTTATTGTGAAGACGGTGCTCTTTGAGACACGGCATTGAACAGAAGCGATTAGCGTTGTACTCAAAAGGCTCCTTGTTGGTCATATCAATGGCGCATTGGAAGCATCGCGAGATTACAGTGTATCCTTCGCTTAACATCCGATTCTGCGCGATTAATGCTCTCTGTATAACACAAAAAAAGAAGTAAAATGCCAAAACAAAAATTAACAAATGACATATTAATTATTAAAGAAATACAATTTATCATTTGCACCTTTTCTTTGTCGCTAAGATTAAGAAATCTCTGTTTTTCGTTTTCCTCCTGTTTTTTTATTTCAAATTCCTTTCTCTTGATTTTTTCCTTAAAACGTTTCAATTTCCGTTGCTGCCTCTTCTTTTCGATCTCCGCTTGCTCTATCTCATCGCTAAGCGGTCCAGGTATTTGAGACTATATAAAAAATAATACATGGATGTATTAAAACAATTACTAAATAACAAAGTTATGTCTGTTTTGATATTGATGGAACAGTCTATTATAAATATTTATTAATATTACACTACATACTTTTTGATAATTAAACTTGTCCGGATTAACTTCCATAAATCTTCTAAATGTATTTCTAGTCTTTTTATCATTAGCAGCAGCATAAGGTGTTTGCAGCTTTTTATTCTTATTACAAGGATCAGATCCGATTTCTAGCAACAACCTAAGGACAAACAGAGTTATGTAAATATTGTGCAAAATTTGCACAATTTTTTAAAATATGTAATAAACCCCCTCCATAAAATAGTACAATACACACCATACTTGTTCGCAATGTCCACCAAGTGCCGCTAAATGTAACATCGTATTGCCGTCCTCATTGGTATCATTAACCAATTTTGTTACGTCATCCGTGTTTACAGAAGTATCATTAGACGTGTCATTGACCGCAATATCTTTCTTATTCTGTTCTTCCTCGCACTCTTTAATTTTACTCAACAGACCATCGATCACTGAAGACAATAGATCGTTATCGCCTTGCTTACATGCAGTCCACAGTTTGGTTCTAGCATCCAACAATGCTTCATTGATTATCTGGGCTAAAAATAATACAATATAAAACACTTTAAAAAATGATAAAGTACGTAATTGATAAAATATTTTTTTATCCAACTTTAATTCTTAAACAGAAAATTTTTTTTAAACGATCTCTTTAAACTATCTTTATATAATATTCTTTAATTATTGTAACAAGTTACAAAATGCCACAAATTAATTTAATATAGTCATCTATTAAATAAATAAACCTTACCATCCTTTTTCACCTTTTTCTTCTGTCGATTAGCTTTCTTATTCTTCATATATCTTGGCACTGTATCCTGAAAAGCTTGTAAATTCTCGGAAAAATTTACTTCAACAATTTGTTCAATCAAAGGTATATCCAGAGGAAGTTGTGCATCCATTTCCGACTCGGAGGATGATTGAGCTAGTCTTACAATAATATCTGTAAAATAGTGAGATCTTTATATCAGTCGTTCAATAAAAATACATAGAAAAATATAACTAATATAAACATATTTATATAAACGACAATCACTTTTAAACACTGAATATAGTTTAGATTTCTGATACAGAAAAAATACTCTATTAACATATGATTCACATCAATAACATTTACCTGGTAGCGGTCGATTCGGACTTTTCCTTGGTTTCGCTCTATCTATATGACGGGAATTTCGGTGCTGCTTTTCTGGCGTAGACTGTGCTGGCGTTTTAAATTTATCGTTCTCCTGAGGACTACCGATACTACCTATGTTAGAATTACATTCGGCAGCGACATCTCCTTCTGGTATTTCGCTCATTATCTCCGGTTTCGAAACTTTCTTGCGTATGGGTTGTCGCGGAGAATTGGGAAAACAGTCGGTAAAATCTGCTGCTGAACCTGAAATAGAATATCGCATATTAAATGTACATATTAAATACATATATTAAATCTAGAAGATAAGTAATCGTTTACCATAAATCTCCATGGTGCTTACTATATCATATACTCTCTTGACTTCTCTAAACGTGGCTCTACGCGTGGGAAACGGCAGTGGTCTTATTCTAAAATTATTCTTATCTAAAGGAGGATTCTTGCCACCAAAGAGAACCATACGATTATGCGGTCCGACTGCTCGATACAAAACAGCCGCCGAATTGTTGATATGCATCGACCATGATTCCAGTATCTCTTGCACATGCTAAGAAATAATTATTGTTATATCATTTATAACTTGCCAAAATAATTTAATCGCATAAAGTATCAGAGATAAATCTGTAATTTATTTTTAATTTCTATACTCTTGAAAGTATACCTGAATAAGCGACGCTTCATTATATCTTCGCAAGCTGGCACCAGCACTCTTCGCGTGATTAGCATTCGTGCGAGAATTCTGAGCAAAGCCTTGTTTCGCTCGTACAGTATAAGAATGGAAAGTCTTATGCACAATAGGCTCGCCATCTGCAATAATAAACTCGAAGTAAACTCAATGTAATGATTATATATTCATAAAAAATATTTTTGATTCAAGATATGCGTACTTTGAAATACAGCCGCAGCAAAGTGTCCACCGCCGACCATGATAACCGTCCACTTTGACATTTTGCCACTGTCGAGTGCCTGAGAGATCATCTCACTGTCTTTCTCCGGAATGTCCTAAAACGTAATTGCATATCTCCCGATCTGGCAAGTAAAGAGCACGCCAAGTGACTCAAGGTAGACCAAATTTCAAGATAATATATGTACACATGTATATTAATTATAATATAAATATGTACATTTCTAAATGTGTCTCTAATTAATAATAACTTAATTAATAACAAACCTTCTTGTGATGTAATAAGCATCGGTAGATACTAAATATATTGCCGTCGTCGTTCTCAAAGAACACTTTAGTGTGACGACTAGCAACAACCTGCAGCTTCCGCTCCTTGGACACTTCCTCGCAGTCGGTGTCCGAAATGTCTGATTCAATTGCTCTCCCTCGTCTTTCCGACGTCTTTCTAGATTTGTTGGAACCGCTTTTACTAGCTGACTCGTTCTTGGTTTGCTCGTTAGATGAGGTCCTAGTCTCCGAAGTACCAGCATCGTCCTCATTTTCGGACTCTGCCTCGCTACCAGACAGACTAGACATGTCGCCTACAAAATTCGCACATGTCGTAGACATGTCGTACTGCCCTAAGCATATTGCCGTGTACTTCATCTCAGACTGTACCTTCGCCGACAATCCTGTTAAAGCTGTCTTCAGTAATTGATTTCAAGCCATTCAGATTTTGCTTAAGATTATAACGATGCCAATCCAGTTTATAATGGAGTCTCTGTTGTGGCTTATCCTCAAACTCAGCATTACAGTGAGAACAACACAAAGAGTCTGATACTACTAGTTGACACAATTCTTGTTCGCTATCAGGCACTGCAAAGCAGAAAATTCTATGTTATGAAATATTATTAAAAATGTTGATCCTCAATATTTTCTTTGCTTTATTCAAAATTAATTGATAAAAGCTTCAGAAATCTAAAAAATATAACATTGATTTTTTTATTTATCTTTCTACATCCCAAAGAAATTTCTATTATATTTGCGATTATCCTCACTGATTAACATTGAATGACTAATTTTTATTCTGATTATATCAAAGTTCGCACGCATTTCCAATAAAGATTAATTCTTATATTTTTACATAAGTGATACAAAATATTTAATTTTTGCAAAAATATTCCCAAAATTAATATGGAAAACATATAATTTTCTATTTATCTACTTATTTTCTATTTATCACATTATATTATTGTAATATTTATTGTAGCATATGTTCTTAAAATTCAACTTTTTGTAAAGAGCCAGAACTATCCTTAAATTTAAGATCAAACAAATGTGCTAATAAATATTTCAATACATATTTCTTTTATTTAAGCAAATTAATTATTTTATCTTCTAAACATCAACAAAATTTCATATTCTGATAAGTAATGTAATTATTTCTACATCGATCATTGTATATCGAGTCTTTCATCAGGAATAAAAATAGGTTCAGTGCTTTTCATATTCATCATATGCAATGATGTTCGTTTTTTCAATTATACCTCTCGCTTCTTCTATTGTTTCTCTTCCTCTCCATCGAGAGGCCTGTTTCTGTCTATTCATCCCGTCTAAAACGTGGAATGCTAAAACCAACATTAACATTCGCCTACGCAATTTAACCATCGGGAAAGAATATACGCGCTACATAATTTATCGATAATAAATCTTGTCTCTCGTCATTAATCCTCCTCCGAAATAGAGCGACCCATGTGTCGCGTAAGCTCCTGGGAAGCGAGCTTACCATAGGGAGACGGCAGTTGCATGCATCGCGCAACTTTGATCCCTTTGGTGATACGATCGAAGTCGTCCGGATTATGTATCTTGTAGGTTTGATGATCCTCTTTCGTATCCACTCCTTGCTGACAGAGAGGCTCAGTCTCGTTCGCCATAATCTGAGAGTTCACTAGGAGACGGACAGACGACGAAGGACGATGGAGGACGATAGCGTGGACGAGAAAAGTTGACGAATTATCACGCGAGGCAAGATATGGTACTGATCGTTTTTCGTTATCTGCGCAATTCTTTCGCGTCGTGGAGCGATTACATCCCCGGTGTATTACCATTCTGGAACACGTCGCCGTCGAGCGGGAAATTTAAATGGCCTCGTCAACTTTCATGGATATACATAGATATTGTAAAAAATAATGTATATATATAACTTAAATATTTATTTTAAATAGAATTTATTTCACAGAAAATTTTTGTTTTACATAAAAATGTTTTGCGTGTGTATACAATAATAAGATTCACAGTCACAGTTAAAGCACAACTTATATTACAAAGAAAAATACGTTTAATCTTATTAACATTAATTGTTTAAAAAATAAAACTTTTTTTAGTGCGTGTTTGTAATACTTATATGTAGAAGAAAGACAAAAAAAAGCTTTGTTTAATAAAAGTCAGTAGTTTCAAGCTTGATATTCACAATATCAAAGCTGCAATGTGTAAGTCTGTAGTTTTTAATTAAAGCTATATTTATATCAAAATAATTTGATATATTTAATATAAATACTACATTAATATAATCTAAGTAGCACATTCTTCGTTGCACCATTTTTTGTCCTACATTCTTAGCTACCTAATGAGAGTTCCATTGTTTTTAAAAAAAATGTGATGCATCACATTCAGAGAACAATACACATTAAATATATTAAATACAATATTACTGTATTTCCGACATAACAAAAATATGTTAGCCTTAAGCGTGCAAAAAAATATATGCCCTGCAATTGTATATTTTATAACGCTTATTCTAGCTTATCAATAAATATTATTACTTTATTAGATAATCAATCAGTCTTAAATAGTATTATATAGTAACTGTTCAAAATTTGGAAGCATGGAACAATGTACTTTGTACTTTGAAACTTTTGGTTGTATGTGTACTGTGCAATTGCAGCTGATTCAGTAGTTTCTACATAATTACATTATTAGTGTGATGATTAGTATATGAAATTATAGTAACACAAAATTACTGTAACACAAAATTTTTTTATATTAGTAATCATTTTGTATTAGTAATCATTCTTTGTATTATTAAATCATTTGATAAAGTCTCTAAATTTTAAAAAAGCTCTTCTATATTTTTGATTTTTCGTTTTGCTCAAGTAAAAGGTAAAATTATTTTCTGAAACATTACTGTAATGTAATGTTAAATTATGTCAATTAATAAAGAATTATATAAAATATACTGTAAGATTCCCTATTATTGGAATCTCTTATAGATCCATAATCTTCTTTCAGATATTATAAATATAAACCACTAATAAATAAGTCAACATCAATATAATAAATAAGTCACAGACAAAATAATACTAAGTAGACAAAAAAGAGACTCATCTTCCAAACTAGTGACATTTCCATCAAGTTAAAGACACATATAGATAAAAAATAATATCCCATTTAATGCACCAACTAAATAGTTTATCTGTATCCTTGAATTGTTGTCTATCCTGAAATACATACATACCCTGAAATACATACATATGTACAAATGATATTTAAAAAATGAAAATTTTGTCTATATACAATAATTTCTCAAATGCTGCAATTGTCACTTGATTTAATGGTACAATAATTATAGATAATGTATACATATATTAATAAGTATTAAATATTCTTAGTTTTTTTATATCAACAGTATATTTAAAAAAGTGCATTTAATTTGCGAAAAAATATTCTATTGCATATTTTTTTCCAATTAAAATACATAATCATAACTAATGAAACTCGAGACTTACCTCTGCCTAGAAGGACTGAAGGGGAATGGTGGATTAACACCGGGTATACTACTATCCTTATAAAGGATGAACCAACTGAAACTTGTTATCATAAGTCCACTCATCGTCGCTTTCATCAGCCAATTATATCTTTCATAAAATGTGACCAGCATATTACTAGCTGCTTCTGCATACTGATGACTGGTTTTGAGGAATTTTTCGCTGTCCGCTGGTAATTGTTTCACGCCGAATTTCGATAAAACGGATATATTCGGTATCGTATCGTACACTTGAGCGAATGTTGTTATTGACGGTAGAGAGTATTGATCGCTGATTTTCCATAACAAACACTTTCCTACAGGCAGAGTAACATGAGAAACTTGTATTAGCCACTTCAATTTTCATTACCAGTTGTAGCTAATCCTTCTCAATTTATTATAAATAAATTATTAATTAATATTTAATATTATAATTATAATTAATTTCATTATATTATATTATAATTATTATTAATTTTTAATAATAGCATTCATAGAAGAAGAAAAAATATTTGCCTTTTTTTTAGAGAATTATTTTAAATAAAGAAGTCTCTGATATTCTAAAAAGTAATATTTTAAATAAAGTGGCAATTAATTTAAGCACGGAAAGATAAAAAATAGAATAAAATATACTCTCTAAAAGTGAATCAGTGTATTATCACTGTAATCAGTGCTGTACTTATAACTGCTTGTAATCAGTGAGAATTTACTGTTTTTCAGTGATAATACACTGATTTGCTCTAGTGAAAATAGTATATATATTACTTTCACTAGCGTCAGCAGTTATAAGTATAGCACTGATTACAGTGATAATGCACTGATTCACTTTTAGAGAGTATGAAAAATACAGGAAGAGAATTTTTTCTTGTGTTTCACTTTCATTATCTCTCGACTACAACAATCAGGTATGTGCTTTTTCGAGCGATGACGCGACCTTCATGAACTCGGTCATGGGCGATGCAGATTTCGCATATAAATGCGTACGCGAAGAAATCTTGAGAGAGAGAGAGAGAGAAAGAAAGACTCGCGTTGCTCGTGATCCAAAGATTACTCATAAAAAGAAAAAAAAAACAGTCGCGTTTAAAAATATAATTCAAGAATACGCGTTATATGCGAGCGTTTAAATTTCTTTGAAATGTGAGACATGAAATAATAATCATTCAGTTTTTCTCTCTCTCTGTAGCTCGCTGTTTACGTACGTTTTATCATGTTGCATACAATAAACAATATTAGAACTCTGTGAAATGTGTATTAGATACAAATGAAGCTCACAAAGCCATTTTCTGCAAGGAAGAATGTTAAGTAATTTATTAATGTCTGTAACAAATTATATAGTTAATTTTCATATAGATATCATATAGATATTAAAAGATCATTAGAAGAATATTTTTAACAAGATATCTTAAGAATAAAATAACTCATAATGATGATATTGACACATAATATAATAAAATGTATGATAACCTATTACACATAAATATAAATACAAGTGTTAAATAAATAAATATAAATTAAAATAAATATAAATATAAATAAATATAAATATAAATTAAAATAAATATAAATATAAATAAATATAAATTAAAATAAACATAAATAAATTAAATATAAATAAATATAAATAAATATAAATATAAATGATATAGGAGATTTATTTTCAGGTTGTTAAGACAAAAAGCTTTTTGTCTTATGCAAAGCATTAGTGATTACATCAATAATTGAGAAATACAGATTTATTGATAACAAATATTAATTGAAACACAAAACAGCTTGTAGAAATGATTACTTTGATAAATTAATTATAAAAATCTATTAGATATGATTTCTTCAGCTACACAAATTCTTATCTTCTTTTGATGTTGATAAAATAACTACATTAATTTGCTTATGTATTAACAGAATATTGCAGCAATATTATTAATATTGTTGTAATATTACAACAATACTAATAATTACAATATTGCCGCAATATTGCAATATTCTGTGCTGTATGGAAAAGAAAAAGAAAGAAACTATGAAAATGTAGAAAGCATAACTGAAAAAAACATCCAATACACACAAGTATGAGAAATATTAAGTTAAAAGTAATGATGAATCAACTTCAATTTGTACATTAGATCGATAAAATATAATTATGTGCTAAATATTAATAATGATTAATAATATCAATAATTTATTTTTTTTTAAATCAGGACAAAAATTGTACGTTTAAGGAAATTTAAAGTACACTTAGAACGCAATGTATTTTTCTCATAGAATAATCCGCATCGTCGACAATCTGTCTTCCAATTGAACCAAAATAAAAATTGCGCATTTTGACAAATGAATCCCGGGGTCCTATCGGCGATATCAATCTATCGTTCGCGCGATAACGAGATGCTTCTTGTGGAAACGATTCAGATCGCTGGGAACAGAATCAAAACAAAAAAAGCGTTCGTTTAATAATTTAATTCTAACCTCTAATGGACCCGCGGCGCGCGAACGATTTGCATCGTCCACGATTTTTTCTCAATATAATCTCTTCCATCTTCGAAGAATTCTAATGAAATAAAAAAAAAAACACGCGAGTGACTTTCCCTCTACTCACCATAATTCGCGTATAATTTTCCTATAACGATGAAGAGCGAGAGCACTAAAAGTGACAGACTGAACGTCCATTCATTCAGGTGGATCTTCGTCCAGAATCTCGTCGGTTTCTCCTTCTGTATATCTTCGGCGAGATTACCGTTGCCGTTCGTTAATCCCATCGTATCCTTCTTCCGCTCGAACATTGTCGTCATCGTCGTCGTTGTCATTGTCATCGTTCGTCGATCGAACGTGCGGGACACGCACACACAATGTTACCGCACCAGCGTGAACCCCGCAAATGACAATCACGCCGCTTCCAAAAATAAAGGTGAATAAGACCGACGCGACGCGAGCGCGCATGCGCGGCCTACTTCGCGTGTCAGGAACGTACGCGATCGAGTCATCCTATTATAAATAATAAAAACATGCGATAAGAATGTCTAACTTTTACCCGGAAAGACAGAACCCGAAGAGAACATTTATAACATTTAATTTATATACCTTGATCTAAAGACATAAACGTAAAATGTCATTTGCTTTCTCATTCCACAAATTAACAGATTGACAAGAGAAGATAATCGAGAAAGATAAACTTGGATACTCGAGAAAGATAAACTTGGAGAACAGAAATCACCCGTAGAGCATTCCAACGACATACGGCGTTGCGCGATCTACGACGCGTTGTCATCGACCAATCGAAAGGATGGAGCGGGAGGTCTGAAGATGACCGCATTCGCCGCGCAAGATAGCGAAGTTGGCCGATGAAGGGCCCGAGCGGTGAGCACCACATGAACCAACCATCAGTGCGCGCGGGTCGGTCGCGCGCGGTGGTTGGTCGTGTCGAGTTACCGGTGAATCTGTCGCGAGTGTCGCGTGTGCGCGTGTGAGATAAAGCGAGATGGCGAGCCAAGACGACATCGGCATCGGCGATTTCGTGTTGCTGGACGAGATTACGGTCGATCGCGTGGTGGAGAATCTCAAGACGAGGTGGGTACGCGCGACGCCGAGGACGCCGGCGAGGGTCGCGGATGCGATGACAGATGAACGGCTGAAGGGAGCGTTGTGCGCGCGCGCGCGCGCGTACGCACCACGCGTTCCCTTCGCCGTCGGCGACGGTGGGTCTCGTACCCTGTTCGGTTCGTCACGGCGTCCGCGAGAGGGTGTGGCCTACGTGTCAGCAGGTGTAGGCGATAGGTTTTACCTTTAAAAAGACTGTTTAAATAATAATCAAGTACGTTGGCTGACCGATTTTTCGTCGATTTTCAGAAAAAAATGGCGTTAGGATTATTTAAAAAGATTAATTACACGACAGGTAATTTTATCTAATGTCGACGACAGAGAAACGGAAGAGACGGGTGGATGATGTGAAACATCCGCAGTGACTTCACATAGAGAGATAAAAGAATGCAAATTATGAAATAATATACGCATTATTTCCGTTTTCCTTATTTTCTTTTTTATTTTTCTTATCTTTGCTGTAAAATGTTAAAAGCTATTCGTAATGTATGTTGAACTTGACCCACTGAAGGCAAAAATGTGAAGGTTGTTTCCACCAGTTGTTTAGCCTTGGTCAATTAATTTTGGTTAACGATAGTCTCTTTGTGCGCGAGGATCGTGAGGCTCATTTTTTTTGTTATAGTTAAAAAATGCGACAAAAAATGCGAAACTTTCAACTGCGCTACTAACAAACTTTACATGAGCTAATCCTATATCTCTATTTTTTATCATTTTAAATTTTATGTCAATTCTTACTTTAGTATCTTTATTAAAGTTTGGAGCTCTCTAAATAAAATTATTCTAGTTGAAAAAATAAATAGAAATCGAACATAACTTATTTTCATCTTCATCAAAATAAAATTATATAAAATAAAATTATATTATATTATATAAAAATATTTTACATGTAAATGACGACATATACATTTCGATGCTTTTTTAACAATCGACTACTTTTCGTAGAATAAAAGGCCATTTTATAAAATGCGTAAAAGTCACGTATATCTTAAGCATCTCACAATCAGTAGTAAAAATCCTGAGATAAGAATCAGTGAAAAACTTGGCGAGGTCATACACATGTCAAAGCATTCCAAATGAATTCCACGAATCTTCAACGCAAGCCAAACGACGCACTGGAACAGGAGAACCACAGTGTGTTCATATCATAAAAAGCAAGAATTACAGACAAACATCTCCAGCAACTACAGAAGATGCAGAAATTAAGAGAGATCAGAATATATATATATATATATATATATATATATATATATATATATATATATATTTTGCACGCTGATGCTCGTTAAAAATATTAAACAATAAGGATGGTTTTATTATTTTTACATAACATAAAGTCGTTTCTTTTTTTCTAGCTTCAGTTTGCCCTTATTTTCATACAGTTGATAACTTTAATGATTATAGTTTCTGTTATTTCCATGGAGTGAGTTGACACTAATTACTACTGGTTAACTCTATATTATGTGCTTTCCATGTATATTGCAGGTGGGTTGTAATTTAGAAATAGAATACCAGTCTGCAATAGAGCATGGTTGCAATCTTAAATGATAGCAATTGCGGAGCGATTGCATCGACGCTAACTGGCGTTAATTATAGTTAAACAGTTAATTCTTCGTCTTTCGCAGACGTAATTTAGAATAAAAAACAAACTTCAATTTAGAATAAAAAATTGCTATTTTTAGCAGCACGTTGGCACAGAATTAACCTAATTAACTGAGATCGTATGTCGATCCAAATCGAGCTAAATGCACCGCAAATAGTCAAACTAATCTCTCTTTCGCGAATAAATATTTTTCGTTTAATTTAAATTAATGAAAAATTGACACAGGGCTCAATTATAGAGATATTTAATATTAAATTATTTTAATATTAAAAATAATATTAAAAATTAATCAAATAAATTACAAAAGCCTAAGAACCAAGCGCCGATGTTAAATCATGAAAAAAATAATTATTATTTGTAAATCAATTGAATATATAAAAATTTTTTTATATACTTAATTAATATCTTTTATATATTTGATTGATATCTTATGAATTTTCTTTTCTCTTTTTAATTACATATTTTATTAAAAATTAATATTAATAATCTCTCTAGGCATTAATTTATTTAATTTTCAATTTTGGACGATCGTGACCTTTCGCATAAATCTTTTCTTTACATTGTAATCACATTAATCGATTCGTCTTTTTCGAAGATATGTAACTGACGCGTTATAAGCGACGTATATAAATTAAAAAATTGTAGCTCGCTGTCGCACAAAAAAGCACGTCAGGGAAATTATTCTGATTCACCTGACTATACTATTCTAACTATACCTGACTATATCCGATTATGCCTATATTATAGAAGCGTGGAATTGAATATCGCACTGCGAGCAACTGACGGAAGCGACAATACCTGTTGCATGGTTATGCGGACGTATAGTTTTATTATACGTACAAAAGAGCGTATTCACACGCAACGCGTGCTTGCGTGCGTCTCCCGTAAAGTCGCATGCGTGGAGACCGGAGGCACGATCTAATAACATAATTGAAGATAAAATAGGGACATTAATCCGTACGATTGCACGAGACACACTTTGTCTCATCAATATGTGTAATCTCGTGATTTATAAGAAATTTTTTATTTCCTTTTGCGGATATTACATTTCTTAAATGTTCAAGAAATATATAAATTCCTATAAATATATATAGTTAATATATTGTCAATTTTCATGATTTTTTGCAGAATTTCTTCGTAATTTCTTGTTCATAAAAAGAAAAAAAATACAATTTCTTATCATCATTTAGGCTAATTTGATAATGTTTTGAAAAAATTGTATTTTTTTATATTTTATAAAATATCTCAATTTTTTTATATTTTATTAAATATTTTATTAAATATTTTTATAAAATGTAATACTTATTGATTGACATTTGAATCGATTATAGTTGTCGAAGTCTAACGATGCAAGCGCATGACGCATTTCTTGGAAGCTATATATGTATATTTATGAGTGAAGATGAATGACGCGCTCTGATTCATCATACCCTGAAGTTACACCAAATGCATAATGGAAAATCGCGAATAGATCATTAAGTTAAATCAAATTGAGAGCATCAACAAAGAGAGCAATCAATTGGACAGAAATATCTAATTGAGTTAGGAACAAATTGCTTAGGATAAATAAATCCGATTAGATAGATGTAGAGAGATTAGAAATTTCTTAATCAGCTACTTAAAAAAATAGTTGTATAATATTTATAATGTACAATACTTAATTTTTAAAGAAGTAAACTGAAGATTTAAATTAGAGAAATATTTAAGTATATAAATATTAGTTTAAGCATATACAAATATAAAGAACGAATCTAAAAAATGAAATACGAATTTTTAGATTATAATTTAATATTATATTACAATTTAAGTAAATTATTTGAATCAATTTATCGCAATGTTATAATTTGACTAGAAAATATTTCCTGATGAAATATTTTCCGCATCTCAATTCCGCACTTTGTATGCTATTATATCTGTTATATAATTTATATATCTCTCTCCATAATCATGTTTCGAACGATTCAAATACGTATTATCAAATCACTTCCGAACTAGATTTCAAACGGGTTTGCTTACAATTTTTTTCTATGCTTCAACAAAACTACTAATACTGTTCCTTCTACAACTTTCACGGAAAAGGTCAAAAAACCATATCGGAAAAGTACACTTAAGAGATAAAGATCTTGGCTCTTTTTTTTAGTGTTAAAGATATCCGGCAGCGAAATGCGACCTTAACAAGAAATCTAACAAAACAAGTAATATAATACATAAAATGCAGTTATTTCCGCAATATAATAATTTCGCGAAAAGTATCTGAATTAAAAACGATTATCATAAAAAAATAATTGATATTATATAATATACATATATAGTATAGTATAATAATATACATATATATTTTATACAAGTGCAATCTCACATAATATGTACACTGAGAAAAAAAGTTGTTAACTTGACTAAACCATTTAACTAAATTATTATTTTTTAATTGAAATATTTAATTATTTAAATTAAATAATACATATTAAATCCAACATGACATCTATTTAACTTAAATATTCAAATATTAAAAAATAATAATTTAGTTAGACGATTTGATCAAGTTAACTTTTTTCTAAGTGTATATATAAGTCAATTACAAATGTTTCTCGTGACATTAAATATAAGTATGAGTTTTTATTTTTGCCAATTGTGTCACATTATTTCGGCCAACGACTCGCATTTTAATATCGTCCCCGACGGCAACATGAAACGAGAGACGAGCGAGTGCATTTAGCGGTAAACGGAGAATGGTGAACGTTCAAAGACGTATCCTAGGATACGCGTGATGAATATATACATATATATGTATATGCGGCTCGCGTAATCCTTATCGGGGTTCGTGTTGGCGATGAGTCATCATACTCGAATCATTGCATACCGGATTGTGTTCGCGTAATTTCGCGACATTCGGACGTAAGCGGTTGATAATTAATTATGAAGTACCAATTATCACACATGCTGGCAAAAAATAAAATAAAATAAGAATAAAATAGGAAAAATATATCGCAAATTTAATTTTTTTTAATGATTAAAGAGAATATAATTATTTTTATCATTTTATTTATCTTAAAGAATAGAATCGTTAACCCAGAATTTTTCAAGATTATTATCTTATAATTAATGGTATATACTGTAATTAAAATTATAAAAATAACACTTTTCGCCAATTAAATATTGGATTATTTAGCTTCTTTAGCTTATCAAAGGTCTTAAATCTTTTTAAGTCGAATTAGACTTTTTAAACGAAAAATATTCTTGCATATATCGAAAATATATAATTATATAATATAGAAATTATATATATATATATATATATATATATATATATATATATGCATATAATTATATAATATATAAATATATAATTTATTTAAAAACTTTACCACGAGTCAGAAGTGCAATTATTTGCACTAGTGAGTACGCAACATTGTCATCCAAGTAAAGAAAGAAAAGTGACTCATTATGCTTCGGTAATCTCAAAGTCGATCCTGTACGAGCGATAATTCTTATCTCTCGTTAGCGCGAATGAAAATATCAATTTATAATTTTTGTAAAACGTAAAACTTGAAGAATCTAAACAATTCCTAATCTGAATAAGACGTTTCCTCGAATATTGTGTACGCAAAATAAGAATATTCGCATTATTTCAATATTGTAAAAATAATTATTATTATTAAAAAAGATTTGATTTCAATCAGATAAATTTATTCACAATATGTCTCTGTTTTATTTAGCTAAATTTTCTCTCTTGTTCTCTATTGATATTCTATTGATATTCTGTTGCAGATTTAATGGAGGGAAGATTTATACGTACATCGGCGAAGTATGCGTTAGTGTGAATCCTTATAGAAGCACTAACATTTACGATGCAGACCATATTAATAAGTACAAAGGTACACGCAAATAAAATTATGCGGAAGAGGAAGAAAGAGAGAGAATATTAAAAATATTAATATTAATACTTAAAAAAAGGAGAATATTTAGATTATATCAAGATCATATACTTATATCAAGATTATATAATTAGATTAAAAAATGACGCATATTCTGTATATTGTATTCTGTATATTTCTTTTAATTTTTTTCTATTTTTAAAATTGCTTTCAGGTAGAGAATTGTTTGAAAATCCGCCGCACATCTTCGCGATCGCGGATGCAGTGCATAAAGAGATGAAGCAACAGGGCAGAGACACTTGTATAGTGATAAGCGGCGAATCAGGCTCCGGTAAAACGGAAGCTAGCAAAATCATTATGAAATATATCGCTGCCGTGACAAATTTAAGCGGACAACAAGAAATCGAGAGGTATAAATTATCAGTAAAACGAATCAGCAATTATCAACTTTCACTATCTAATCTATCTTGCGATACTCGATAAGCGATAAAGTTTAATATCTTACAAATGCATTTTTACAAACGATTGTAGATTATTAGATTGCTTGATATAAGATCTCATCAAAAATATTTTCATTTTGTGACGACAGTATTAAGCGTAATAAAACGTGATTGTGTATTCATCCGCAGGGTAAAGAATATTCTCATTCAATCGAACTCGATATTGGAAGCTTTCGGCAATGCCAAGACAAATAGGAACGATAACTCGTCACGGTTCGGAAAGTATATGGATATCAATTTTGATTTCAAAGGAGACCCTGTTGGCGGTCATGTAACCAATTATCTCCTTGAGAAATCACGGGTGGTGTATCAACAAAGGGGAGAACGCAACTTTCATTGCTTTTATCAGGTATCGTTGCAGGGTCTTTTCTAATCTTTATAGAAACTAAAGATTATAGATATTTATGGAAAATTATAGATTTATTATGGAAAACTATAGATTTATCATGGAAAATACATATTGCCAGGATTAAAGAATAACATTTGATTTTTTTAGTTATTAAATGGCTGTAGCGAGGCCGAATTGAACAAGCTACGTTTGGTTCGCGATCCGGCCGCCTACTACTTTGTCAGTAACGGAAGCAATAATAAAACGTCCATCTCCGACAGAGGTGACTATAAAACCGTTTGCACTGCCATGACCACCCTCGGATTCTCCCCGAATGAGACGCAGACCGTATGGAATATCATTGCTGGTATCTTGCATTTGGTAGGTATAGTTGACATAATCGCTATAAAATTACTTTTCTCCAACATCTCTTATATTTTTATTTCGGAGCCTTATATTAGTTTCATTCATTATTATTTTTTTTATTCTTTTTCAGGGTAACGTCACTTTCAGGTTGGATGACGATAAGCTCATAATTGAAAATAACAGTGCTTTAAATGACACCGCTAAATTGTTCTCTATAAGTTCGAAAGATCTGAGCACTGCTCTTTCACAAAGAGTCATAGCGGCGGGTGGAGAAGTCATGCAGAAGACTCACACTTTAATAGAAGCCGAGTATGGCCGAGATGCTCTGGCAAAGGTATAATTCATCCCGCGCATGCGAGTTCATTTTCTCCTTTATAGAATTTATTATATATTGAGAGAAATTTATAAATTTTTTAGGCTATATATGAACGATTGTTCACGTGGATAGTGTCGCGGGTAAATGATTCGATAAACGTGAATGACAACAACAAGATAAAGAGATACGGAACGCTGATCAGTGTACTTGACATCTATGGCTTCGAAATCTTCGACATGAATAGTTTTGAACAATTTTGCATCAATTATTGCAACGAGAAACTGCAACAGCTCTTCATTGGTAAGCATAATGCTATGCATGAAAATATTTTGAACTGTGAGAATTGTAAGATTATTATAATCGTAATTAAAAACATTTTTATTATAGAGTTGGTGCTGAAACAAGAGCAAGAGGAATATCAGAAGGAAGGAATTGCTTGGCAAAACATTGAATACTTCAACAATCAGATTATTTGCGATTTAGTTGAACAATCTCATAAGGGAATTATAGCGATCATGGATGAAGCTTGTCTCAATGTCGGGAAAGTTACTGACGAAGTAATTGCAAGATTTATATTTTTAAATTAATTAAAAAAATTAAGAAATTCTTCTGAGGATTAAAACAAAAAATACTTTATTCTCTAGATACTTCTCAATGCAATGGATAAAAAACTAGCAGATCATAAACACTATAGTTCCCGACAATTAAAGCCAATGGATAAAGAGTTGGAACATAGAACACAATTCAAGGTCAAACACTATGCCGGTGATGTGATTTACAATATCAATGGCTTCCTTGACAAAAATAAAGACACGCTTTTTCAAGATTTCAAACGTTTACTTTATAAAAGTAATAATTCCATAATTAGTAAAATGTGGCCTGAAGGTGCCCAAAATATTTTAAAGGTACAATGATGATCACGCATTTAACACTAAATGTAGCTAAATGTATTTATTTTATTATTAGATTTCGAAGAGATAATATTTAATTAAATTAGTTCGTTACTGAATTATTTTAGACAACGAAAAGGCCTTTAACTGCTGGCACATTGTTCCGGAATTCTATGATTGCACTGGTGAAAAACTTAACGAGTAAGGAACCGTTCTACGTTAGGTGTATAAAACCTAACGAAGTAAAATCTCCCGTCGTGTTCGACGACGAGAGAGTGAATCATCAAGTGAGATATTTGGGACTCTTGGAGAATATATTGGTGAGAAGAGCTGGTTTTGTTTACAGGCAACGATATGACAGATTCCTAAAAAGGTATTAGACAATAAAATTAAAGATTGTTTATATAAATTGTCAATCAATATATATAAAATAACAATAAAAATGTCAAAAAAGATATAATAAGATATGTAGATAAGAATTGCGCGAAGATTGAGAAATTAAGACAAAAGATTTATGAATTTATTCCTTAAAAAATCTTAAAACTAGTCCAAAGTTATAATTGTCGGAAAAGTTAAATTTATTTTTCATTGCTAGATATAAAATGATATCGCAATATACGTGGCCAAACTTCCGAGGTGGCAACGATAAGGACGGTGTACGCACATTGATGGAAGAAAAAAATTTCTCAAATGATGTTAAATATGGCCACACGAAGATATTTATTCGTTCGCCACAAACCTTATTTGCATTAGAGAAGGTTAGTCACAATATATACATAAATGATCTAATCTAATTTTAGACACATTACATATGACAATCTGCCTTCATATTACATATTGATATCACTTACAAATTGATATTGTTTCATTCATAGGCCCGCAGCGATTTAATACCGGGTATCGTGATCCTTCTGCAGAAACAATGGCGAGGATATCTCTGTCGTCAAAAGTACAAGAAGATGAAGGCCGCGTTAGTTCTAATGGATCATTATAAAAGATACAAACGACGTGTTTATATCAACGAGCTGGAGCGAACATTCAGAAATGCCAAGAGTATGCAAAATTATGGCAAGCATTTACCGTGGCCGCGCGAAAATTTCGCTATAAGATACATAGTACCTGCCTTGAAGAATATATATGCGAGATGGTGGGCGTGGATGGTGCTCAGAGTGATTCCTCGGGAAGATTGGCCGCAACTACGATTGAAAGTACATTTTTTTCGCTATTTCTTTTCTATTGTTATTATACGAGCTAATAAAAATTACCATTCGTCAATTTTAAAGAAAATAGAAATTATAAATTTAATTTCTTTTAAGCATAATTAATTTTATAATATCGTTATCAGATGGCAGCGGGTGCTGTGTTACGTTCAAAAAGATCTTACTGGGGCCAAGATCGTCGCTGGGAAGGAAATTACTTATCCAAACAGGATGAGAATCCTCAGAGTGATGTCTTCAATTCCTCGATAAACAATCTTCGAAACACTGATCATTTCAAGACTGTCCTGTTTAGCGCGTTTATCAGGAAAACCAACAGGTTTTTTTCATTTTGTCAATCTTGTCAATTTTTTAATATACAATGTAATAATCTGACAAATTATGTAGGTTTAACAAGCAAGCGGATCGTGTTTTGGTAGTAACAGAACATGCCGTGTATAAATTGGACGATGTGAAATTTAAAAACATGAGGAAAGGCATGCCAATCGCGGAAATCACCGGCCTTAGCGTTTCACCGGGAAAGGATCAATTTATCGCGATACATTCGAATCGCGGAAATGATTTTATTCTGTCCATCACTGCCAAAGATGACAGGATCGGAGAGCTAGTTGGCATACTTAGCAACCGATACTATCAGTAAGACGTTTTAAAAATATTTTAAAGAAAATATTCCTTAATGTTATATTTAAATATATCTGCATGCATTGTTTCTAATAGTTATGTATAAATATATAAAGAAAGTATTTAAAGATTGTAAATTTCAGAGAATTTAATGTAATTTAAGTGAAAATTATATTTTTTAATTGCGATCTTATTTTGAAAAATAATGAATAATAAGTCTTGTTTTTTTTTTAAAAGATTGCGCGGCGCCGATCTGCACGTAACAGTGGACATCAAGTTTAAATGCATGCTAGGCAATAAAAGCAAATTATTACGTATCGAAGTGATGCCTGACGTAAACGAGCCTACATTCAGGAAAGACGGTAATCAAATTATTTATGCCATTCCACCATCAGTAAGTATTATTGATGGTGGCACTAATACTAGACAACAAATTCGCACGGCCAGTTAAAATCTGACAAATTCGAGGCTGACAATGTATCGAATATATTTTATAATAATATATATATATATATATATATATATAGATTAAAATATGTTGAGCATCATGATACTATTGTTCAGAAAATCCAACAATTTCGCGAGACGATCAGATTTCGCGTTTGAAAGTTTTCCCAGTTAAAATGAATTGATTGTTCTTTTACAATGCATAATTTTTTATGCAATATTAATATTAATGACGTGTGAACGTTATGACGTATGAAGATGCAATGCAATTTTGTTAGTAAGATTCAATTGAAAGTCCGATCAATGTTTGCATTTATTACATAATCATTTCAATTAAATGATATATAGAGAAATTCTTATTGCATCCTATTGGATCGGCACATATATTGATCGGAAATTCAATTTTTTTTTCTAGAAAAAGTTTTGGCAGGAATTATAATTACAGCAAATAATACTTGATATAATCATGTTTTGTCAAAAAACATTAATTTTTCTCTAATATCTATCAATATTATTCACTCTATCTGTTTCTCTCAACAAGTTTAGTGTTAATGAAAAATTTTAAAAATATTAACATTTTCTTTTCAATTAAATGCTAAAAAATTTGAAACTTTATCACTGCTATGCTTGCATAATAAAAATGCTGAATTCAAAGATATTTATATTGCAGTACAAGTTATGTAATATATGTAAAAGTCACTTTGAGCATACCATAAATTTTATAAATGCTGATATATTTCGTTAAATGTTGTGCACATAAGGCGCATTTTTGTCTGTAAATAATTATATAGTATTATAAATATTGTTAGTAATGCATTATATAAAGCATTATAAATAATGCTTGTTACAATAGTGTAAACACGAAATGTGAATTTACGAAACTAAGTTTCACCAGAGTATAGTAAATGCATAATTTATAGGAGATAATTTATCTACTTTGTGGAGAAACTATCTATTTTGTGGAGTTTTATTTCCCACAAAAAAAATTCTATCAATGTTACAACGATTATATAGAATTTTTTATTAACTCTAACGTATTGTAAGCTTTCTACTTAGAATCAGATAGATCAAAATATTTTTACAGCTTTTTTATATAAATATACAAATTATATCAAAAGCAAAAGAATAGCAAGAGCAAGATATATAACTTTACACCATAGTGCCTGCCAATTCAATACAAAAATAAGAATTAAAAGTATTCTTTTCTAAGAGAAATTTTGCATCCTTCCGTGTACTTAGATCTAGAAGAGACTTAAAAGATGTAGGAATATATATATATATATATATATATATATATATATATATATATATAAATACATGTATAATTAATCAAAATGTATGTATTATTTTGATTAGTTCGATGTTAATTTTCGATTTAACACGTGAAAAAAGATTATTGTATATTGTCATAAATGTCATTAATTTACTATTTAAACATTTATGAAGCATTTGTTAGAAACAAGATAGTTCACTCTTTTTTTAGTTTATATTTCTATATTTATAGAAAAACAATTATGTTATTTTAATTGGTATAATTGTGATCACAAAGCGCTCTACAGCATGTTGAAAATGTCGTGCCATTGTTAGAAAATAAAATAAAATTTTCAACTTATCTCTTATTCATTTCTTATATTCCTATCATGTAACGAAAACAAAATTGAGTGTTACCCGCACTTTCATTATATTCAATATATACATGTCACAAAGAGCATTTGTATCATTTTTTTATTGTTGAAAAAAACAATATCTTTATACAAAAGAATCGACTACACTTTAGTCGATCCGTTGATACATGTATATGTATCCTAATTCTTTCGGCGGGTTTTCGGATAAAGCAACCTGCAAGAATAAATTTATGTAAAAAAAACGAAAGTTTTAAAATATAATCGCATAAAATATATAAAAAAAGATTATCTAGAAATAATGTCATACTTTTTCATCGTTAAATATCACCCATCGATCTTCCTTCAACAAATGACAAACGTAATGGCCTACCATCGTTGATGTGCCCATATGTGATATGAAGCCCACTAGTTTGTATCCTAAAGCCCAAAAAAACAAAAAATAAGAGAAAATACATTTGATTTCAATGATGAATAAACAAATTTAACTTTGTAAATCTTACTATAAATTTACTCAATAATTATCTTTATTTGCAGTTTATTTTTCGATCTGTATCATTTAGGCACTAATTATGTCTTTATTGTTTTTTAAGAGATATATTTTCTTTTAAATGATTAAGGCGACAATTCGTAGTTTGAGAAATAAATCATTTTATGACTTACGACTACTTCCGTCTCTAAAGTTTTCTTGCGTTGGCGTCGCAGTACTATCTGTTTCTTGGGCATCGAGCTCGGCCTGATGACTGAAAATCCAATCAGCTGCGCGCTCCAAGTTATTATTGGTTGCTTTGAGCGCCTTCGTCGCTTGCTCCCGTGTAAAACCCATAGCCGTTACCATCTCCAAAGCAGCTTGATCCGCCACAAATGTATCTTGAAATCAATCAATTAAATAATAGTCAATTAAAGAAAATCAAGTAATTATAGCTACTCGATGTCTGAAATGATCCTTACCTGGCTTGAAATCGACTCCGGGTGGCACAAACGGTTCATCGAAATCGGAATCCGCGATATGCTCCATCACCCAATTGGTCGCGGCCTCGAGACTGCGGTTTTCGGTAAAGTACAAGGCCCGTTTGCACGCATTCGGTGGAAAACCCATGTCCGTCAATTGATCAAGAAGAGCCGTATTATAAACAGGCGGAGGTGGAGTCACGCCGTCTGGCAACAATTCCTCACCAGGTTGTAAGCCGTTTCCGCGCAAAAAACTCAAATCTACCGTATCCGGCATTTCTACCGCTACGTCTAGCTTGATGGGCGTCCAATCCTCCTTTACAGTAAATTTCTTTAGATGGATTAATAAATAATCCGGGAAACTGGCTAGTCTAGTAGTTCTAAAAGAGAATGTTATATGAAAGAAGGATTCATCGTAAAAAATCAGATTAATCATTTTTTAACAAAATTATTTGAAAGAAATTAGATAGTAATCAAATGTACAATAATATTTACTTGTGTGCTATCGTTTTCTCGTTTAAAGCCGAACTGTAAAACTGTTCCACAATTTCTGAACGACTGAAACTTTCCAGACACGATGACAATTTTATACGAGGTCTTACGAGAGCATTGGAATCTAACTTTTGCCCTTTTGCTTCAGCTTCCTTTTTCTGAGTCTCGTAGGCAGTCACTTCATCCTTATATGATATTATTAGTTAATTACTTTTAGTAACAAAAACATCACTTTTTTCAAAAACACAATCAAATTATATGTACCTTATTCACTGCAGCTTCCAATGGTATCGGCAGTGGCAAGATATATTCCGGCCGATGTGTATATTTGACTTTATTAGATTTGCTACACTGATATCTTTCCTCCACTTTAAATTTAAAACATTCCGTGGGACACACCTCATGCCGACTGTTTCGCTATTCGATTAATTTGGCGATTAAAATGGCATCGACGGTAACGAATATTTAATAATTAAGTCTAATAGTACACAAAATATTCGATTAAAATCCGAAAGCGATATTAATAATTACATTGAGTAGATTAATCAGATAAAGAAGGAATTCCTGAGCGTCTTGTTGCCGGTTCGAAAAGAAGCCAGGATGTCCTCGACCAATCAGGACCTTAAACATGCGCGGAGGAATACCTTGCTGCAATTCATCATCAGATTTACTCGGTCGTTCTGAATATTTGCCAGAGAGTAAGCCAAAACCCAGTTTCGCCCTAGAAAAATGGCAATTTCTCGAATTATGGACAATTGCCAAATTCTTTTATCCACAACTACCACAACTTACATTTGAATATTAACGTCTGATGCTGGGTCATGATAATTTTGCTGAAATATCTGTAGCGCCTTCTTCTCATATCTGAAATTTACAACCAATCTTAATATTCCTTTTATTGATAAGAAACTCCATTATTCATCCAAAAGTGGCTATGATATGAAATATAATCATATGAAAAGAAGAAAATCATAAAAATTATATATACCTTTTAATAAAATCAGGAATAATGAATAACATTTGCATGACACTATTCAGATAACAAGAATTCCCCAGATTTATTAGTCCAGTATAACCAGGACCATATAATGGTGTAAGCTTGCTGGCAGCTTCCTGGAGAGACACCCATTCGCCGAACTTTTGATTGAGATCTAATTCTAGCTCAATCATCGACTTGTCCGTCTTTTCCATCTGCGCAATATTGATACCCCAATGTGACAGATGCAATGTTAAATTCGGGTCATCCACCATATCGTCCTCGTCGTATGAAAATACATCGGCCTTGCCGCCTTTCGTAATCGTGCCTAGTTTCACAGCCAGCGGATAACCGGTCGAACGATAGTGCTCGATCGCGTGGCCATTGCCGCCACTTCCATCATAGAACTTGCGACCGCAGAGTATGCTACCATCAGTCAGATTCAACCAAAGATTCTGCGTAAGATCGCATTTCTCGCATTTCCAACCACTCGGTGGAATCTTCTTGCCATTGTCCAGTTGTTTCAGATTCGCAGCGTGTCTAAAAAAATTAATAAATTTTATAATCTTATTCAATTAATAGAAATTTTTTTGAGATATCTATCATAAGATAAATGTTATTTCAGAGATTAAAAAAGATTGAAAGAGGAAAATTACTTATCTATCTATTAGAAAGAAAATTTTCATGTCTAATATATAATATATTTCGATTATAATTGAAATTTAATACTAATACATTTGATATTCTGTAAACACATGTGATGAAATACAGTATTATCTTTATATTTGGATACAATTTTTTTAGCACTTTTTTGCAATTAATTAAAATCATTCAATTAACTCCAAAAAATTTTCTCAATAAACTCACTTTGATTCTGATCTGACCTCTCCGTCCCATGTATTAGCTACAGCTTCTACTTGCGCAACTGCCCATGCACCTTCCATTTGTATTATAGTTTTGACAGCAAGCTCCACCTGTTTACAATTTTGTACATGTCCCTCAAACATTACATTAATTAACACAATTCTATGAATAAATCTTACCTTCTCAGGTAAATTGTTCGAAGGATAGGGAATGGACCAGAAATCAGGTAGAACGATTATATTATATTCCTCCTCGTAAGTATATTTCTGTTGATCGGGCATGAATCCACCGGCTGTTCCTATTGCCAACCGCGTGATCTTTTTTTCAGGCCCATCTCCTTGGTCTTCAGATGGAATCTACAAGATTTTTATATATGTTTTTTAAAGTCAGATAGAAAGACTTGCAAAAAAAAAAGATATATATGTATCTGATAGATTCTTCACATATAATTTTTTGTAATATTTTTAACAAGTTGCAAGAGTAAAAATTATACATTAATAAAAAATTCCAACATTTGAATAAATTATCAAGGATTTAAACATTATTTAGCAATATTCAGATATAGAAACAAACATATCAAACAACATTGTAACAGTCATCAAACAACAATAGAACTATATCTAGTATTAGCGAAGCACGCGTCAGACTTTGAATATAAATGACATTGCACTTAAAAATCAAAGTTCCACTTAAAGAGACAAGATCTTCAATATAATTTCTTGAATAAATTAAAATCACCTCTTTTCTTGTACGTTTGATGTGAAGATACACAGGATACGAAGTCTTATTGTAGTACCACATAACATGTTCCTGGCTCAAGCCGAGGAAAGACGTGAGGCTAACGTACAGACCAGTAGGCGAATCCTGAATGAAAAAATTTTCGATAATTCATGTTCGTCGCTCCGGGTGGTATCGAAAACAGAAAAAGACAAGAATATCTTACTGGCGTGTCGAAGGAGTAAATGCACTCTTCCTTGTATATCCTGTCGCCCCTTCGCGGGGTGTTGATCGTGTTCAGGTGTTTCGTCAACGGCATCAATTCCATGGCGAAAAAAGCAGTGCCGGCGTATAATTTTGACAATTTCTCCCTTTCCTCCTTCAACAGATCTCAACGCGAAGATCCGCGCGAACTCCGCTAAACCCCCGCCGCTAGAGGCGCTAGTTGTCATCTAACCTAACCCTAATCTAATCTGTGCACACACCGCCGCCGGCTCGCTTAAGGTGCCTTTACATGGGAGCGTTTTAGCGTCAAGCGTTAAAGCGTCAAAAAGTGTGACATGCGCAGTGTGCCTAGTGATTTGTTGAAACGCGCTGGAGCAGTCAGTAAATCATCTAAATTGCGGAATATTATCAATATTATCATTATTATCAATATTATCAATATTATCATTATTATCAAATATTATCAATATTATCATTATTATCAAATATTATCAATAAAATGTCAGTTAATTATCGTTATCATCAATGGTTATTAGAATGCAGCAGCATTATTAATCATGAATATAAGAAACAAAAAAAGTTACGTGCACACTCCACACGTTATATCCTATACAAAGAATACATTGTAATAAATAATATTCATGTTGTATTTAGAAAACATATATTTATGCCAATTATTCCTTCTGTTTGGTTATGTTGTAATACGCTACTAATCGCGCAATTCTATAATATATATTGTATAATGATATCTATTATATCTATTATATCTATTATATTTATTATATATTATATATATTAATACATTTTCTATTAAGAATATACAATCTACTTACCTCTACCGTATTTATTAAAATTTTGTTACTAGACATTGTTTTAGCGGTTTTAGCGTCAAGATGCTGGAATCTGCCTGTTCAGAATTATGCGCAAGGGTGCTGCGCACGTGTTTTTGACGCTCGACGCTTGACGCTAAACGCTTCCATCTAAAGACGCCTTTATCGATGACACTGCGAGAATCAGGGAACAACGGACCGGACCGATTGTGAAACTAAAGGAACGATGAAATTTTCTTTCGAATATTTTTTTATTCTCTTCTTTTTTCATCGGTTCCTTTAATATTATTCTCAATTTTTTTTAATTTCATTTCGAAAGCATATCAATGTAATCGCAATTAATTGATTTATTCCTTTCAACCGATTCCAGTGTCTGTTGAAATATATTTCAAAGATTTTATTTGTATTAAAATTTGTGTTTTGTGACTAACTTCGCGCTGCTTCCACTGTTTCGATGCTTCAACTTCAAGCTTCGAGAATTGTAGTGTCGAGAAGCAAAGGAACGTGTCGTGAGACGCAGTTCGAAATACTGCGTATTTTTTCCCGAGTTTTCACTGTTCAAAGGTAAATTTCGCGTCCGATGGATTATCGCGAGTGTCTCTCGTAAAGTGACAGATGTGTGACTATCTTGACATTGACAATTCGATTGTGCAAGTGCGTCGAGCAGTGATTGAAGTCCTCTTCGCATATTTGACGTCGTTTATCTTCTCAAGATGTCAAGGTGTCAACGATATTGGAGCAACAATAATCAGGTGCGTGCATTATTTTTAAAATTATTTAGCTGCATCGATTTTATGCTGCATCATTCTAATTACTGCGAGTAATACACGTAATCGAAGAAATTGCTGCTTATGATAATTTCACATAAATAATAAAAAAAATTTTACATCCCTATTTGAATGTAAAATCATTACTTTTCATCTTCATATTTAAAAATAATACATTCATAAGTCATATAATAATTGTAATATTTTTTTTATTCATTTCTTACATCTTCTATCGATTAATATTTCAAGATTTTAATATTTCAAGATTTTAATATTTATTTTGCATAAGTATAATTTCATAATTGTAAAAAAATTGATAAAGTTTAATGTGACTAATAAATATATACACTTAAAATCGAGAATAATGCTGGCATAAAATTTGTAATTTTATCTAATTGTAAGTCTTCGCATGCGTGCATGTTACCAACTTAAAATTAATATTCCTACCTTCTTAAATTTTGTCATTAAAATTTCTATTAATTTCTAAAATTATCCTACATCTATTTTAATGTTATTTATTTCTAAGACTTATTATTAAAAAATTCTAATACTGCCGCTTTGTTAAATCGAAAATACAAGCGCGAATTTTGAACATCCCAGTGTCCCCTAGATTTTTTTAGCCAATAGAGACGTACACTCGAGCCGAGATATTTCCAGGCCTGTCATTGGTAGATCGCGGGCCACACTGGAAACGCAGTCTCATGAAAACCCTCCCGGCGGATCTAAGGCCGTAAAATCCTTTGTAGGGATGCCATTACACCGAGCGAGGCACAGGGGACCCGAAATCCGAGCTGTCACGCGACATTTTTCACGTCACGATTCGCTTCGAGAGCTCTCGCTTCGCGGTTAGTCCTCGAGGGCGGATCTCACGTGACGCGAATAAAACTAATTGCAAAACCGACACGACGGCTCGAAACCACGCGCATATTTTTTCCTGCTCGATATCGCATTTCAAAAAATTTCCCGATGAGATACGATGAGATGTTCGCGGAATTAAAAGATAAAAAATTCTTAACGGGGAAGAGAGCGAGAAAATTTTAATCGCGGGGAGAAAAATATTCGCGATACTCCGGCGCTGGAGAAAATCCTCGTGCTTTTCCGGGCGGGTTATATATAACCCCGCGTCGCGCAAGGTCAATGGTAAACGCGAAAGAGTCAATGTCAAAGGTGAACGTCGCTCGACGATGAAAAACGCCGATCGCCGCGAACGCATCTCGATAGATGTCATTAATTATTATTAACTCGTTATACGCGATCGCCTCAAGCGCACGCAAATCTCTCTCAGACTTGTGTTTCTCGTTTGATTGTTTTTTTTTATGAATGTGCAATGAAATTTTTTGTAGCCTAGACACAACGTGTAAGAGGAAGGCGCGCTGTGTAATCCATCATTTTCAAAGTATCCACGATGTAAATGCCATAAAATTGTGTTGTAGGATGCATTATGTCAAATTGAAGACATTGAGGAAAATTTTAAAGGTCAGGCAAAGTTAATGGATCCATTATCTGTAGCAACAATCTGTATTAATCTGATAATGATACAAATATTTTATCATGATATAAATACTTTTCTTCTTTTTACAACAAAAATAATTTCATAATAAGTTCATTAGGAACAGCGGTATAAAATCGTTGCTTATTTAATGAATGGAATTACAAAATCATTGATAAAATAAGCGGATTATATAAAGGTGGATTATTATAATTATTGCAGAAATAGAACTTCCGATTATCGATATCGGCAAAGTCATAAAGATTGCGCGAAGCAATTAGATGAGATATATTCTAGGATTTCTAAATAAATAATTACAGGAAGAAGGAGAGAGAAAGAAAGCAACATCGCTTGCTCGGCAATTTTCTTACAGCTGACTTATCAGTAACTCGAGCGAATATCTCAGTCGCACCTTTTATGCGTGCCATCGCGTTTACGTCGAGCTAACGCAATGACGCGCGTGCTGACGTATGTGCAACGAGATTATCTTAATGATTTAATTCAATTTGAATGATTTATGGGCGATTTTTCCATCGACTTGGCGGGGGAAAGGAAAAGTTTCCTAGTATATAGAGGCAAATAGAGGCAAATTTTTCGTTAATCTTAAAGTGCAATTAAAGATCAATTAAAACCATTAGGGTTTAAATTTGCGATTTATTCTATTCGTATGGAAAAATTTCGACGAAGCGCTTTCCGCCTTGTCAGAATTATTTTTAAAGAGCGATCGGTGTCAAATCGATGCCGAAGGATTTGTCATTGAAATTAAGGTCGGGAGTTCTGAAACACCTTGTATTTATATCCGCTCGGTCACCGCTGTTAACATAAATCATCTAACAATGCAGAGCACTTGAGGTATTTTTTATTAGCATATTGTTCGCGATCGAGCAAGGACGAATTTAAAAATTTGTGAAAGGTCACTAGAAACATAAATTTGCTATCGAGACGATATTTTTCAATCTGAATAAATGCCTTTCAAATTCCTCCCGGCGAGAACAATAAAAGACGCGTTTTTTTCTCACCTTATATATCATCTATAAAAAAAATGCAGATTTAATAACATATCACACGCAAACGAGAAAATTGGGACATAATTTTCAGGAGCCGCGACATTTATACCAAGTTTAAAATTCTTGCGCTTTTGCAAAACTCGATACTTAACAATCTCGATCGCGTCGATATTTTGTGATACTTTCCTCTCGATATCAGCGATATTCGATATTCGGAGAATACATACAGATTCGCGGGCGGATTAAAAAAAAAAAAGAAGAAGGAGAAGAAGAAGGGGGGCATCCCGATGCGGGACACCCCGTATAATAGCGTCGCCTCTTTTTCGGCGAGGCTTTTGAGCCTCGCGCGAGTGACATTGGCTGTTCCCGTATTGATTTATATGCCCGCCGCTGCATGCGGCCCCGGCCGTCCGCGGCCGGCTGTGAACGACGGCGACGGCGACGGCGACGACGACGGCGACGGCCGCCTGCCTTGCACTTGAAGATGCAATCGAACGACCGGTGCCTTCTTTCGCCTTTAAGGAGAGAGAAAGAGACAGAAAGAGAGAGAGAGAGAGAGAGAGAGAGAGAGAGAGAGAGAGAGAGAGAGAGAGAGAGAGAGAGAGAGAGAGAGAGAGAGAGAGAGAGAGAGAGAGAGAGAGAGAGAGAGAGAGGAGAGAGAGAGAGAGAGAGAGAGAGAGAGAGAGAGAGAGAGAGAGAGAGAGAGAGAGAGAGAGAGAGAGAGAGCGACGACGATGACGATCGATGGTGTCGCGGGGGCCCGAAAAGCACGCGCACGTGCTGCGCATCGCATCTCGTCTCCCCTCCTTCCCCCCCCACCCCGCTCATCCTCTCTCTCTCCTTATATACTCAGCCGGTTCATCTCCCCGCGCGCGACTCCTCCCCCGATCGTACGAGCGAGGATTCGCTAAAATCTCCATTAATTTACGTACGCCGTTGTATTTCTGTCTTTCCTCTTTTGATTGAATCGAGTAATAAATTGTTACGGGAGAGAGAGATGTCTCTTCTCCGAGATTTGATATATCGCCTCGTGTGCTTGGATTTTAGTTTTTAATTGTAAATTGAAGTAGAATTACCCGATAAATATTTTTTGGAAACTATTTTTTATTAGAGTGTATGTGTGTATCGCGGTTTTAGTAATATCCTTTTTTAAATTTTTTAGCAAATATCCCTTTTCCCAAGCAGACGAAAAATTATCCTCGAGAAAGTTTGATTCCCCGGAATCTGTCGAAATGCTTGCTAAAAGTTATAGAATAAAAGTTATGTAGGTTTAATTATGGTAAAAATTAAAAAGAGATAAAAGAAAGAATAAAGTATATTTAATAAACGTGAAGCACTCACGTCGCCTTCGCGCAAACCGCAACCGAGATGTCGATTCCCCCGGAAACCCTGCGTCGACTTCCTTTTTTCGCGCGATAATCCGGGTAATACCGGGTGACCCGCTGAAAACGGGACGTCTAAACTTAGCCTCTCTCGTATCGCGGTATTCCGGTAGATATCTTGCGTTGGATTTTTCCTCCATTTTTCTGAAACCAGATACAGGATGTCCCAGACTTAACGAATCAGCGTTAATGGTAGATTCCTGAGATCATTTGGAAACGAAAATCTTCATACCAAAATGTTGAGGAAGATGTAGTTTCAACGCTATAAAAGATTAAAAGTTACCAATCGACGCGTTACGTTCTCTTATGATCAAGGATAGCGCATTAAGGAGCAGGGAGATTCGTTAAGTCTAGGACACCCTGTATCTTTGGTAATTTAAGGAAAAACATTTGAACGGCGTCTTCGCCCTGAGGCACAAGATTTTCCGAGAATTTTTTAAATTTTATTTTACATAAATAGACATCAAAATAGTACTAAAAAATTTAGTTCAACTTACCTCTTCCACACGTGACGTAATCCCTGCGACGAAATGAAAAGAAGAGAAGGAAAAAAGACGAAAGAAAGAAAAAAGGAAGAAGGACACGATTATCATTAAATATCATACCTATTCTGGACTAATTCCTGCCGTTCTTCCGCTCTCTCTTTTTCTTGCGGCGTTATTGTTACCGGTGAAGTCCGTTGCCGCAACCTTTGGCACGTCGCCATCATGTACGGTATATGCTGCCGCCGCGTATATATATATGTTCCTTTCTTCTCTTCTCTTCTCGTTTCTCGTGGCCGACAGTGCACGTCCGGATCGGAGCTTTCCTTCGGCCCTTCGTAGCACGAAGGCCCTTTCAGTCTCGACAATGAAAGCGAGAGCCGGTTGCGCGCGCGGACCGCAGCTGATCTACACGGCCTCCGGCCTCGGTAATTGGATACGACAGTTTTTAATTAACGCGTCGAGACTGCGACTTTTAGAATGCCGCCGGTTCCCTTTACCACCCTTATGCACGCAATGTAATTGATCGAAAACACATTGCCATAAGTATAATCAGATTTTTATATAAATATATAATTATATAATTATTATATAATAATTATATAACTATATAATTATTACTATA